CTGGGACGCCCTGAACGGGGTCGATCGTCAACATTTTCAAGTTAGTTGGTACCCTTCCCAATGTCTGTTAATCATAGACTGCGAAATATTGAGCGTATGTCAGTGCACGCTGACGTCTGCTTGTCTCCATCATGCCCACAGCCTGTTCACGCTCTGCCTGCAGACGTCAAGCGCTAGTTCACACACAAAAAATAAATGAAGTCAAGTGTTGCGTGTTTGGCTATTGTATATGTACATATACCTCCCAAAAGAAGTACAAATTCATGGAATGAAATATTATCGGCTTTGAAAAATGACCGGCTGCGAGAACGGTTTCGGGGTCCAAAACCTAAAAGATCACTCATTGACAGGTTGTTAACGCGCTCACTTAATGATCGACAGTTGCCGTAAACTCTCTGTTCTTGCTTTAATGTAATACCTGGATCAGATTGGCATGGAGTCGTCTTCCCCTTATGAACGCCTACGCGATATGAGCTTGCTTCAAACCGGTAGAACTCAGTGAGAGGGACCTATATATTCAATATGTCTCAGTCTGTGAGGCGCAGACTTTGTAACAAACTTCTGCAGTCAGAAAGCGTTAGCTATGGGCCCTGCATAGGACGTCAAAGCCCAAGGTCGATTGATCAGAAACCAGGCGTTCAGAAATCCAGTCCAAACAGCTGTCTACTTGCGCCAAGCCACTGGAACTAAAGTTAATTAACAGACGAATAAAACTTGGCGACCACGCTACAGTCTCTGCTCGACGACCACGTTACAGTCTATGCTCGGTGACCATGTTACAGTCTATGCTCGGCGACCACGTTACAGCCTATGCTCGACGACCACGTTACAGTCTATGCACGGCGACTACGTTACAGTCCATGCTCGACGACCACATCACAGTCTATGCTCGGCAACCACGTTACAGTCTATGCTCGGCGATCACGTGTACAACGGTACCACCGTCAACAAATATATCCAGACGCCAATAGTGTGTAGAGACTGTATTGCCGATGATCTGGTGCCAGCTATGTCCAGATTTTCTCTAGACTATCTGAATTTGCGAGGACGTGTCTGGTAGCATTCATACAAACGTCTTGTGAACTTCAACTTCAGGCAGCATGACGTATTTGAGGGTTGATCTGTAATGATATGGGGAGGGGTCACGATGAATGGTCGCTTACTGGTACTACCCGTGAAGATCCGGGTTAAAATTGGTCTTCAGCAACCCATGCTTATCGTAAGAGAAGACTGACGGGATCGGGTGGTCAGACTCGCTGATTAGGTTGACAGACGTAATCGTATCCCAGTTGCGTAGATTGATGTTCATGCACTTGATCACTGGATTGTCTGGTCCAGACACGATTATTTACAGACCGCCGCCATATAGCTGGAATATTACTGAGTGCGGCGTTAAGCAACAAACAATGGGTGTCATTATGTTGCAACAAACAAACAAAGCTAAATAGTACTGTTCATAGAAGGTCACTGGACGGTACTACCGACATAACATACTAGTCTGTCTCACAGTCCCTCAAGCACATTATTTTCTCTTCCACCCAGTCATTTATGCAATGTTAAAGTCTTAAATGATGCAAGTCTTGATTTCATCAGGTTCAGAATCTGAATCTAAATTTTGAATCTACCATCTGAGATAGATCTAATACCATACTTGCGCCAGTAGTTGTGCTCTCTTGGCGCCATGATGGGAACTGTTTTGTCAACAACTAGTTTTGTCAAAAGGCACCAAAATCTAGCCCACCGTCCAGGTATACTAACTGCCTGTTTCCAGCAGCAAAACATCACCCGAGTACAATGGCCATCTATGAGTCATGCTGACCTTTCCGGCAGGGGCCACGTCTGGGATGTCATCGGGATAAGTGCAAGACACAGGCCACCCGCTACGGTAGCCGAACAGGGCTTGGCGATGCAAAAGAAGTGGTCAAAACTCTCTAAAACTATGGAAGATTGATTCGGACAACGCCATTCTGTATTAACAGATGTTTGACCAGTCCTAGAGGCAGGACATGTTATTGATCAAGTCATATCATACGTTCATTCTTTTACTACACAGACATGTCGTCTTTCTTGGTTGTCAGTACCTTTACAATACTCTGCCAATGTCATGTTACACCTGCTCCTTTCTTTTTCTTATCAATTTCTGTATCAGCTATTATCTTTTGTAGTACCCGTTTTTGGGGAGAGTTACAAAATTTGTCACAAGACATTGATAAGCATATGAAAAACGGGGTGGGGGGTTAGGGTGGCGAATGGTGAAAGCCACCGCTCGTCACGCTGAAGACCCGGGTTCGATTCGAGTACAATGTGTGAAGCCCATTTCTGGTGTTCCCCGCCGTGATATCGATGGAATATTGTTAAAGGGGCATAAAACCATAAAGCATGAAAAAACAAACACCTTGCTAAGGAACATACAGTAAAATGTTAAACAATTTCTTTCTTATTCTTTTATGTTTAAATTTATCTTTAAACTTCTTGCAGTAGAGTGAAAAGGTCAATAGACTGTTCATCTTCCCCTTTGTTTCTTTGCTGTTTAAACTGTTATCTGAGAGTTTGTCAAGTGTGCTGTGATATTCGAGTCCCTTTCGTCGTATATAAATCTATTGCAACACATATTCTTGCATTGAATCTATTGTTAACAGAAAACAGATATATAGCTGTCTCACAGACTACAGGCACGTTTAATTATGTAAAACGACACTTACATTAAATAAACCAACGACGAATTTTGTAATACGTGAAATGATGCTCTCGATAGAAATAACATCATTAACGAATGAAAATAACATGCAGATAACACCATCGTGAATTCTGTTATTCCATTTATGCCGCACACATCCTACTTATAAAGCAAGTATGTCGTAAATGTTGGCTTGTCAGTCAGCCTGACAGCCTCCTGGCCGGATGCCCGTGATCTCTCAACAAATATCCAGCTTGAGTAGTCAGTTGGCATCATGATGTATGGTGTTCTCGAGGCGTGTGATCACATGACAGAACCGGATACCAGTCTGACGTGATACTCAGTTGCAACGTCCTTGCAGTCATTCTCAACTACACAGACAATACGTCAAATGCTTACATGCATTAAACTGACAAACGTCCGTTTCGTTTTCTCAAATCCATGTCCATTTCAAATATAAGGGTGACAGTTATTTTGATTCAGAGCTTTATTGATAGATTGGTTCTCATTTGTGTTCATTTCCAGTTCTGGATTAGAATTGGATGAACGATTTTACAGCCGGTGTGTGTTTAGTAGATGCTTGGTTTTTGCAATATGTAAAGAAACGTACAACAAGGTTGGTTTTCAGTGACTTGAATCAATCTTGCGTTATGTGCTAATTGTATTGACCCAGTTCCCCTTGAACCCGTCTGCTGGTTGTACGATCTACCTTAATCTAACAACTGATTACTCACTTCCACTAGTTCACGCTTGGCGATGATTACATAGGCCACCTACCAAGATTTCATACACTGAGGTCAAGGTTGAGTAACCGGAAGTCCCTGAAGCTAAACCGGAAGTTCTTCACTCGTCTTCAACGTTTATACGAAATAACAGTTCGTGACTACGTTGTTGATATAAACGCTTTCAGGTTACAAAACACCAAATGTTTTCCCATAGACTTCTATTGTAACCTTATATGTTAAATTATCCAGGCTATCAACAGTCATTCCATGTACACATGGGTCCACTCTGGCCTTTAAACTACAATAAAACGCAATATCTGGCCAACTTGTCCGGCTTGTTTTGCGAGCACAGGAAGCGAAACACATCAACCCCAGTTCACCTACCTGAAAATATCTGTACACACAATAAGTACAAGTCATGGTGATTAAAATGACAGCACTAAATACTTAAAATTGTGGTTAGTTTTAATTACTGGTTGGATGTGCTTTTAAAAAACATAAACATCTTACACTATTTCATCAATCACACCTGTCACATGTCTCTGTCTCTCTTAACTTGTTATATACGGTCCGGCTCAGCGAGCAAGCGAATCTCATTTAGTGTAGTAGAACCTGTCAGAGTAGAGTTGTTTATATGGTGTGATGTCCCTTGGGTGTGTCTCTAGTATGATCTTCTCAGGGATCCGAACTATGTTTTTAAACGTGCACAACATGTAGAAAGATCAAGGGCATCTAATACATTTAAAAATCTTTGGGTATACAAGTGTGTAATATCAATATACCAAACTCATTCGATATGTTCACAACAAAAGTAACTTGACTTCCAAGCGCAAAATGCTTCGCTGTTTGTTTGTATTTTATCCACCCAGCACTTGATCACGCGACCATTGACCACGTGATCACAAAACGCAACTTCCTGTTCCCTAAACTTCTATTGCTTCTTGTCTGGTGTCCCCCGCCGTGAGTTTGGAATCATCTAATGCGGCGTCGCATTCATCAGTCAGTCTATTGCACTGGAGGTATCATCCAGCTGTCTAGGGGCAAGGCTATGCAGTGTTGTGTCTCTTGTGCCCGCCACGATCTTGGGTTCGAATCCCGGTTAAACCCGATTGTGTTTCCATGTTTCTCAGCACCATGCTCGTGTGTTTCACCAAAGTGACAAAAGACCTGCATCACTCCAGGTTTTACTCCCAAATCAGACTCATGCATTCATTAAACTCTAATACTGTTCACTGCGTCGTCAAAACCCACTTTTTCAAAGTCAAAAGATGTTTATTGTATTTCAGCACACGTGAAGGTCCGGGTTAGAATGAACCTCCGTAACCCATACGTGTCGTAAGAGGCGACTATCGGGATCGGGTGGTCAGGCTCGCTGATTCGTTCCCAATTGCGCATATCGATGCTCATGTTGTTGATCACTGGATTGTCTGGTCCAGACTCGATTATTTACAGACCGCCGCCATATAGCTGGAATATTGCTGAGTGCGGCGTAAAACTAAACTCACTCACACTCACTATTGTATTTCAGGCCACTTCAGTCAATGACACACCCATTTATTCTGATAGATGTATAATATAGATGTATTTGTTTCTTGCAGCAGTACAGCATGAAGTTGGTGTCGTTGAACACGTTGACGGGTACGGAGAGGGGCCGGGGAAGCATGGAGTCCGGGGGGTGGCGGAACCGGACACTGGGTCTCGTGCAATCTGCTCGTTCGCTTCTTCCACGACGTACGAGGACGACCGAGGAGACGGTGAACTTCGCCAAGTGTTCCGAGGCTGAGCGAGAGATGTCGGTGCTGGAAAACGGGACCGGTCACAACCTGGCGTCCCTGGGGAGGGGGTACAGCAGGGAGGGGGGAGAGGACGAAATGGAGCAGGCGGACGAGGTGGAGATGTCCTCACACCCCCGCAACAAGATCTCAGAGTGGCAGGCGGGTTGGAACGTCACCAATGCCATTCAGGTGGGTCACTACGAGATGTTACATACCATCTACAGTATCAAGAGCATCTGAGTGAGTGAGTGTGTTTATTTTTACGCCGCACTCAGCAATATTCCAGCTATATGGCGGCGGTCTGTAAATAATCGAGTCTGGACAATCATGTGATCAACAGCATGAGCATCGATCTAAGCACTTGGGATACGATGACATGTGTCAACCATGTCAGCGAGTCTGACCACCCGATCCCGTTAGTCGCCTCTTACGACAAGCATGGGTCGATGGAGACCAATTCTAACCCGGAGGGTGCAAGAACATCAGAAGCATCAGCATCACCAACAGCATCAATACCACATACCTTAGCATACTGCCGCTCACACATAGGTGAAACAAAAATAAATAACGATAAAAAGGTTTTTAAAAAATAGTTTCTTTATTTATTTTTTTGAAACCGCTCGCCTTTAAAATGGCCCATCCATTGTAGACATTTTTAACATAATGTTCCAACTCTGATTTTTTACACACAATTTGTAATGTCAAGGGATTTATTCATCCAGCTCAAAACTGAAATTCAGGAAAAGGAGCTCAGGGATTATGGTCTGTTCTTGAACTGTGTTTGCCTTTACCTTGCCTATGGAGGTACTCGAATGACAACCGAGCCACCATGACCTTCGGGTAATGGTGGACCCTCAGGGGACTTGACCAGAAGAGCTCACATAAGAATGATTTTTTTCAAAATGTGATACCTACTAGAAATATACATAAAACATAAAATCCTCTCACCTTTGCCTGTAAATTTTAAAAGAAAATCGCAAGAGTGAGTGTGAGTTTAGTTTTACGCCGCACTCAGCAATATTCCAGCTATATGGCGGCGGTCTGTAAATAATCAAGTCTGGGCCAGACAATCCAGTGATCAACAGCATGAGCATCGTTCTGCGCAATTGGGAACCGATGACATGTGTCAAGCAAGCCAGCGAGCCTGACCATCCGATCCCGTTAGTTGCCCCTTACGAAAAGCATGGGTTACTGAAGGCTCATTCTAACCCGGACCTTCACGGGTCGAAAATCTCAAGAAACAGAATAATGTATAACTGGCTTTAAATTTCTGTGAAAGACTACAGTCGTACTTCTTTACTCACATGTGTGTGCAGTTGGCACGGTTGCGGGGTATTGCCAACGTGTCACTTCACATATCATACCTCATTCATGTTGACGCGCGCAACAGTCATTTCATTTTTCTCTGCATATGATATTACCCTAAGCCTCCTCAGCGCCCCGTCGTTTCCACCGACAGTGTAACGTATGTTGCATTATCGTCCTTAATGTTTCGGCTGCTTCCACACTTCCGATGATCTCATCATCACAGTGTATAGAAATGGGCTATTTTCGTAAAATAGTGCCATCGATCTGTTTTCGATTGCCTTTCTTAAAACCCGATATATTCGAGTCGGAGTTGTCATGTTAGCAGTTTCATAAAATCAGAAAATATTGCAAGAAATTTGTAATTCGTTCCAACCAATGCAGTCAATATGACAACTCGGAAAAAAAGATATAAAAGCTGTCGAGTAAGTGAGGATGGTTTGACGAGTCTTTTTCCAGCAATATAACAGCGGAAATACGCTTGACATATTGTACACATGTGTAGAATCGAACCCGGGCATTCGGCGTGACGAGCAATCGCTCGAACCACCAGGCTACCCTGTCTTTTCGAAGTAATTCAATGCTTTCGTTAAACTCTGACAAGCATTTTATCGGAAACGTTACACTCTAAACTTTAAACAGCCTAGAATTGATACGCGTGACATCCAGATACACCGAATCACATATTCTGTGAACCCGTGAAGATCCGGGAAGGCATTGGTCTTCAGCAGCCCATGCTTGTCGCAAGAGGTGACTAAAAGCATTGGTTGGTTTGCCGACTTGGTTGAAGCATGTCACTGTATCCCAAACGCAATGCTCATGATGTCAATCACTGGATTGTGTGGTCCAGGCTCGATCATTAACAGACTGATGGAATATTGCGTGCTGCGTTATAAAACATATAGACGTATTTTCTGTCAATGTGTCTCAAAGCTATTAAATTGCAATAGCAGAGCATCGCATGCATTCTTTGTAAAGCAACCTCGTCGAATTGCCTGTATACTGAATTAAATATAATTTGTTTTACTGTTTTAGGGCATGTTCATCGTGAGTTTCCCCTACGCTGTGCTGCAGGGTGGATACTGGGCACTGGTTGCCATGGTTGTGATTGCATATATCTGCTGCCATACGGGAAAGATCCTCGTCAACTGTTTGTATGAAGAGGACGAACAGGGACGACGTGTGCGGGTACGAAACAGCTACGTGGACATCGCCAAGCACGTGTGGGGTGCCCGTTATGGCGCCCGTCTGGTCAACTGCGCCCAGATTATTGAACTGTTGATGACCTGTATCTTGTACGTCCTGTTATGTGGAGATCTGATTGTCGGAAGCTTCCCGGATAGTCCACTGGACCTCAGCTCGTGGATCATGGTCAGCACAGTGCCGCTACTCGCGTGTGCGTTCCTCCAGAGTCTCCGACGGGTGTCCTGGCTTAGCTTCTGGTGTTCCGTGGCTCATATGCTCATCAACGCCATGATTCTGGTGTACTGTTTGACGCGGGTCCGCGAGTGGCGCTGGAGCGATGTCCAGGTCAGGATCGATATCTGGACCTTCCCCATTTCTCTTGGCGTTGTGGTCTTTAGTTACACCTCTCAAATATTCCTCCCAACGCTTGAAGGCAACCTGACGGACAGATCCAAGTTTAGCTGCATGATGCACTGGACCCACGTCGCAGCGGCCATCTTTAAAGTAGTATTTTCCTACGTCGGGTTTTTGACGTGGGGCTTTGCTACCAAGGAGGTCATCACCAACAACTTGCCCACCCAGTCCTTCAAGATCGTGGTTAATCTCATCCTCGTAGCGAAGGCGATGTTGTCGTATCCACTGCCGTACTTTGCAGCCGTCGATCTTATCCAGACATCCATGTTTCAAGGCAAGGCGACCACGCCCTTCTCACCGTGCATCGACGACAACTTTCAGCTGAAGGTGTGGGCCCTTGGTCTCCGACTCGGCTTGGTCCTGGTGACGACAGTGCTCGCCATCTTCATCCCACATTTCGCCCTCCTGATGGGTCTGATCGGGAGCTTCACTGGAACCATGCTGTCCTTCGTATGGCCCTGCTACTTTCATCTGAAAATAAAATGGACGACTTTGTCGCGGGTTGACCGCGCGTTGGATGTGACTATTATTATTCTAGGTGTTCTTTGTGGAACTGTTGGCATGTACTACTCTGCGCATGCTCTGACACGCGCCTTTCAAGGACTTCCTCCAGATCCTTTTGGAAAGAAACATCTTTAACGCTAAAATAGCTAGCATGATATAGCCGTCATTCGCAATGGATCTACTTTCATCTGAATCTATTCTGAGGTGGAAACTACATGATTTTGCTTCTTGTGTAGGCTGAACGCTGTCACTAAGTGTAGACGTGGCCACATAGACGTGTGGCCAGACAGTACCCACCTTTATATTCGTGCAAAGAAGGACTGTTCCAACCTTTGCGTTTGTTAGTATTGAAAACCTAGTGCTGTGAATATTCTGTGGATACAGACCCAGAGTTAGCTGCCCCTGTCAGTAGTGTTTAATGAAACAGATATCCGCAAGAGGGCGACACCGACTGGTCTTGTCACGTTTACTGGCACCATACTTTCGCATTATCTCACTTGCTGATGAACTGCTTGGGCTGCTGCGTTTATCACGGTTTATTACCCTCGCGGGGACACACCGACGCTGACGTCCACGACGGCCCTGTTTTGTGATTATTCATTGGAGTTGATTAGTACAGTTATTCCCGCAGATCCGACCCTGTGGGACAGAAGCACCTTAGATATAGCCAATAGACAATCTCTACACCTCGTGCAATGGGACAACACACACACGCATTAACCCCTCACTATCACCTCGTCACCTCCCTAGTACCATCTGCAATCCATAGACAGGGGCGTAGCTACTATTGGGGAAAAAAGCCCAGGTTTACACATGATTATTGCTAAAAGGGTTGGGCAAGCCCTCAATACTATCTAAACATAAAGCTTTGCAACCGATCGGGCTTACACGGAAAAAATGGCTTGCTACTCGATTCCGTTTTGAATGTCTCACTCCCCTGTCTTCCCCATGTCTTCCCCAGCCCACTATCCTGAACAACACCTCTCACCCGCCCACTATCCTGAACAACACCTCTCACCCGCCCACTATTCTGATCAACACCTCTCACCCGCCCACTATCCTGAACAACACCTCTCACCCGCCCAGTATCCTGATCAACATCTCTCACCCGCTCACTATCCTGAACAACACCTCTCACCCGCCCACTATCCTCGACAACACCTCTCACCCGCTCACTATCCTGAACAACACCTCTCACCCGCCCACTATCCTCAACAACATCTCTCACCCGCTCACTATCCTGATCAGCATCTCTCACCCGAGGACTATCCTGAACAACACCTCTCACCCGCCCACTATCCTCAACAACATCTCTCACACGCTCACTATCCCGATCAACATCTCTCACCCGCTCACTATCCTCGAACAACATCTCTCACCCGCCCACATCCTCTCTCACCCGCTCACTATCCTGAACAACATCTCTCACCCGCTCACTATCCTCAACAACATCTCTCACCCGCTCACTATCCTCAACAACACCTCTCACCCGCTCACTATCCTCAACAACACCTCTCACCCGCCCACTATCCTCAACAACATCTCTCACCCGCCCACTATCCTCAACAACACCTCTCACCCGCCCACTATCCTCAACAACATCTCTCACCCGCTCACTATCCTCAACAACACATCTCACCCGCCCACTATCCTCGACAAGCATCTCTCACCCGCTCACTATCCCAGCTATCCTGATCAGCATCTCACCCGCTCACTATCCTGAACAACACCTCTCACCCGCCCACTATCCTCGGCAACACCTCTCACCCGCTCACTATCCTGAACAACACCTCTCACCCGCCCACTATCCTCGACAACACCTCTCACCCGCCCACTATCCTGAACAACACCTCACACCCGCCCACTATCCTCGACAACATCTCTGACGCGCCCACTATCCTCAACAACATCTCTGACGCGCCCGAACATCTTTAAACCCTGCCCACAACCTTGAACCCTGTATGGACCACATACACTATCCCAACACAATCTTACCCGACCCATTATCCTGAACAACATATCTCACCCCGCTGACAATCATGAACACCATATCTCACCCTGATGACGTGCTTGAAACCCATGCTATATTCTCCAAACACCATCCTGAACCCACGCCAGCCCGTCCACTACCCTGAACCCAATCTCTCCGCCCACTACCCTAAAACCAACCTCCGCCCCGACCACTACGCTGCTCGCTACCTAGAAAATCACACCAATGGCCCCTTTCCCCATCCTATGCCGCGCCCCACCCACCGCCCTGGATTTCGTCCTCGGCTCACGGAGTTAAACACTTGCACATACCCTACATTTAGCAATAAATTGTCACGTGAACAACTATGTTCTTGTTATTTGTTTCACCCCGTCCGACAGTAGGGCAGTGGGAGTACCCCGTGGGGTCAGCATGCTGGTCATTTAATCAAAATGCACTGGCTAATATATTGTCACATTGACACAAGACGGTGATGGGCTGAGGGACAGGTGAACAGACTAGAAGTGGTCACAATGATCACCGCCATAATGCGGGGGTACAGCCATGTCGAAATACCGTACAACCGGATCTTAATACGGTAAAGAGGCGTTCACAATGAACTTAGATACATACATACATTCTCGTCCCACAGAGGTTACTCCTGTCATATCTTCCTACGTAACGTCTGTTCTAATACGGCCCTTTCATGGTGTGAGCGTTCAAGACTCGTGATTGGAGGCAATCAGATTTAGTTGTGCAATCAGCGACGTTGTTTCAAAAGTGATCATTCGCAAGGCCTCGGTAATTTCCGTATGCTTCGAGAAAACTAAACTTCTTCCCCTGCGCGATGCGCAAACGTTTCTTTTTGACAGAACTCAGTCATGTTATGGCGGATCAGTGGCGTCTCCATCGCCCTCGTTGACAACGGACAAGCTAGCCTTTAAACGTCTTGTGTGTAACATCAACACAAGTCCCCTGCAGATGGGGGATATTTGTGGCCCCACATTTGCTTGTGTTAGTCAAGTTGAATCTAAGTCGATGTAACACGTGTTCTGATTGGATAGAAAGAAGGGAGATAATTCGTGTTGCGATCTTTTGCCGCTAGGGGATTTTACGAGAACCGGGAAATATGGCCGTATTAGAACAGAGGTTCGTAGGAAGATATGACAAGTAACCTCTAGCTGTGGGAAGAGAATGACATACATACGGTAGGAAACAATTAAGCAGGCGACAGAGATATGTCGTTACAGTAGAAACATTTAACCACTTACGTACGGGACAGGTCACAATACGCCAGAAAGAGGTCACAGTACGGCAGAGGGATCACAATACGTTAGACAGAGATCACAATACGCCAGACAGAGGTGAAAGTACGGTAGGAAACAGCTTACCATACGACGGAGACGTGCAAGTATGATACACTGAAAAATGTCACAACATGCACAGTCAAAATAAGGCAATAGTCACATTGCGATGAAGACAAGTCTCCAAAACGGCCTCCGAGTCCAAAGTGCGGTAGAGATCGAGATATCACAATACGTGGTCGTAATACGGTAGGATACATGTCTCAATGCGAGAGGGACAATACGTCAAGGCACATTATGTTAATAGGTACAGAGGCAAGTCCCAGTACGGTAGTGAGTTGTCGCCATTGAGTGGGAGGTATCCCTATCGAAAGAGATCAACAACCGTATGGTAGAGATAGGCATACGGCTAAAACATAGGTCACCATACCGTTCCGGAAAAGTGAAATCCCTCGACAAAAATGGTAACAGAATGTTAATTAAGAGTGAGTGAGTTTAGTTTTACACTAGGTCACCATACCGTTCCGGAAAAGTGAAATCCCTCGACAAAAATGGTAACAGAATGTTAATTAAGAGTGTGTAAGTGAGTGAGTTTAGTTTTACACTAGGTCACCATACGGTTCCGGAAAAGTGAAATCCCTCGACAAAAATGATAACAGAATGTTAATTAAGAGTGAGTAAGTGAGTGAGTTTAGTTTTACACTAGGTCACCATACCGTTCCGGAAAACTGAAATCCCTCGACAAAAATGGTAACAGAATGTTAATTAAGAGTGTGTAAGTGAGTGAGTTTAGTTTTACACTAGGTCACCATACGGTTCCGGAAAATTGAAATCCCTCGACAAAAATGATAACAGAATGTTAATTAAGAGTTAGTAAGTGAGTGAGTTTAGTTTTTCACCGCTTTTAGCAATATTCCAGCAATATCACGGCTTTGAACACCAGAAATGGGCTTCACACATTGTACCCATGTAGGGAATGGAACTCGCTTCTTCGGCGTGACGAGCGAACGCTTTAACCACTAGGCTACCCCACCTACCGTTATTTAAGAACTCTGCGGTAATGGAATGAGATACGGAAAAGTATGACTTATCCTTGTGGTGATGGAGATCTAAGCTAACCGCAGAATCGACAGGTCACAATACCTCGCGGGGCGGGTCACCAAGCATACGGTAATGGACAGGTAGAATCTCCACAAGAGACAGCTTACAGTGCGGTGTTAATAAAAACTGAGGTGCGGAAACTCGGGGGTTATCTCTTCGGTAATGGAGATCTAAGCTATCTGCAGTATCGACAGGTGTCAACGAGCCGAGTCTCCCTGTCACTTCACATCGACCACTCATTGCCTCTAATTGATTTCAGCGCTCGCAGCCTCCGGAGTTCGATAATTCTCTTTCTGCTTTGACTGTGGTGATTTAAACTCTACTGAACACTCGGACCCAAACCTATTACTGCTTCAGCTGAATTGATATCACCTTCTAGTTAACGCTCGTTACAAGAGCCGGGCCGTTTTCTTGGGCTGATTGCATCGGAAAAAGTGCAGATCAAGAGCACCTGGCTCGCGAGTTATTATTACATGTGGCCCCAGACAGATGGTTATCAACTTAACACCACGAAAGTGAATTATGATATGTGGTAGAGAGTTATTAAATGTGCCCGAGACAGAGGCTTTAAATGTGTGCCCACGACAAGCGCTTTTCATATGTGCCCCATACTAAGGGCGTTCATAGATCCCTCGACTAAGGCTTAGTCTCTGAATATATATAATTTTGATAGTAACAAACAAGCCCATTTATATTGAAAAGGAGCCCTAGGGAGACCAGAGATTCAGAGACTAAGAACATCTGCATTGGGGCTACATGTGCTGGGGTCATTACCAATTAGAAGTCACATCATACAACCATCAGATAACGCTATAAGTGAAAGGCATATTTATTGCCCCTCGTGTTCAAGCCCTGTCCTATCTCCATGCTGTCATCACCTCATGTGGGCCAGTCAAGTGCCCCTACTGCCTAACATTTTACTGTTGGGAAACTTGCAGCCCACAATGTCACTTGGACACTAGATGACCAAGGTGCAAGATCTGTCTGGAACACCAACAAAATTATTTATGAATTTGAACTTATCTCCAAATTCAAAAGTTTCCATTTGTATAATATGCGAAGAGGATATAGATAACCACCTTTTTTTAAACAAACTGAACCTGAGGAAATCTAGACTTGCTTCATTTAGGGCTTTAGCACTGCAGAGAGGGCTTGGCAGTAGGGAAAATAATGTGGTTCAGGGACTGTGAGACAAACTAACAGATCCCAAAAACATCGGGTTTCGCATGTGACCCGGACCAAGGGTGAGCACATACAATATACACAATGACCTGAGTGTTAATCATGCACCACCCACTATTTATATGAGCAGTTGGAAAAGCCTACATGCTATTGTATATGCTTCATATCAAAACGGTAACTGTGACATATTTTAGTCAACAAAACTGAAATGTGGTAACAATCTGTTTACAATCTGAGAGGAATACACAAAAACGTGAATATCAACAACCCGTGGGGATCTGGGTTAGATTTGTTCTTCAGTAAATCATGCTTGTCGTAAGAGTGAGTGAGTTTAGTTTTACGCCGCACTCAGCAATATCCCCTCTATATGGCGGTGGTCTGTAAATAATCGAGTCAGGACCAGACAATTCAGTGATCAACAGCATGAGCATCGATCTGCGCAATTGGGAACCGATGACATGTGTCAACCAAGTCAGCGAGCCTGACCACCCGATGCCGACGCCTCTTACGACAAGCATGGGTTACTGAAGATCAATATTCTAACCCGGACCTTCACGGGTCGCTTGTCGTAAGAGATGGTCATCAGGTGGTCAGGCTCATTGACGTGGTTGACACAAGTCATCGTATCCCAATTGCGTACATCGATGCTCATGCTGTTGATCACTGGACTGTCTGGTCCAGACTCGATTATTTACAGCTGGAAATAAAGCTGGAATATTGCAGAGTGTGGCGTTAAACCAACCTCACTCACCTTTGTTTAAAAGGTATAATTCAACAGGTAACAAATGTATTGAACAGGAGTGCTGCGTAAAACTAAACTCACTCACCTTTGTTTTTAATTTTCAACAGTAACAAATGTATGCTGCGTAATTAAAACCTTTGTTTTTGGCAACCAAGGACAGGTTAACAAATGTATTGAACAGGAGTGCTGCGTAAAACTAAACTCACTCACCTTTGTTTAAAAGGTATAATTCAACAGGTAACAAATGTATTGAACAGGAGTGCTGCGTAAAACTAAACTCACTCACCTTTGTTTAAAAGGTATAATTCAACAGGTAACAAATGTACAAATGAAAATATTCAATCATATATTACATGAAGTATAGCTGGAATATGGCGGAGTGCGGCGTTAAACAACAAACCAACCAACCAACCATTCTGGCAATCGAATTCTCAGAATCGGAATTCCTAGTCTGTTATGCAGACCCTAAAACAAATATATCTAATACAGCTTTTGCAAATCCAGAGTGTGGCAAGTCTAGATTACCACAGTTTCAGGCTGAAAATGAAGGTCTATCAGGTCCTTTTCATTACATTTTTCGAAGATATTTTAAGACCAGATTTTCTGTAAAATATGTTGATTTCAAAGACGATATGTTACTCTACGGAATCCCCTGCCATTCCTCATGGAGTGTCTGCGTCAAGTCCTGCAGATTTTGGACCGAAAAGGATCTCTAGCTCGAACTTGGCATCCGAGGCAGGCCCAAGGATGTTCGATTAGGTTCATATCGGGGCTCCTTGCGGGCCATGGTAATGCTTCGATGGCCTTGTTCTGCAAATGGGCGATGATGGTTCGAAAGTTGTGATGTCTCGCGTTGTCATCCATGAATATCGGAGTGGAATGGGGATAGTTATCAAAATGTGGCATGACGGTGGTATCCAGTACTTCCTGTAGATAACGTCGACCACTGAGTGTGCCAGATACTGTAAGATCCTAACACCATCACTGATTCACCACCAAAGGGGTCAGCTGCAAGGATCATCTCCTTGTGATACGCCTTGTTACGACTTCTACATACGCGACAACGGCCGTGGGTAACGTATTGAAGACAGCGACTTTCATCAGACCAAAGAACGCTAAGTATTCAAGTTGCTGTTTTTAGGAGCCTGCACCACACCAGACGTTTCTGTCTTGTGCCTGTCTGTGAGGAAGGGACGTCTGGTCGGACCATCCGTCTGCTGCCTCCTTCAGATGGAACTGATGAAGAGTCGGTTCCCATTCTCCATTGCCGGAGCACTTCCTCGGTATTGGTCATTGGATTGATCTTGCCAGACGAATTATATCTGTAATATGTTGCCATGTTACGAAAAGTTCATTTTAGTACTGTCATCTTTTGGAAAAAACTGTTGTGTACATACTGTAATTATGAAAGTCATACCCTAATGTACTTGGCGATTCCATAGCACGCGACAGGCGATAAATCTCTTTTGAGCTATTGTGTGAATCACGTGCATTGTATGTAGATTCCATCATGACAGGCTTTAGTCACCTGTTTCAACCAAAAATGTCAAACACTTGACCTTGGAGCAGGTGGAGCTTAACTTATGCTCATGTGTATAACTGTAATGGCCGTCTCTGTATAGCTTTGTGTACCTGGAAACAATATAAACTGTTTCTAGTTCTGTATGTGTAGCATTAGGGACCGTTCATAATTTATGGCGGGGGGTGGGGTAGGGGAGAGCGAGAGCGAGAGAAATGATTTTTATGGAGGGGCATGTACAATGTGAATTTTTCCCCCCTAAAATGTATGTACAAAGTAAGTGACCCCCCGCATGTCATGTACAAAGTCAATGACCCCCCTCTCCCTTTCCATATTTTTAAAGCATAATTTTGAAATATTTTTATGTACAAAATTGCTGAAACACACCACCCCCAAAAGCCTGTGTACAAAATTGATGACCCCCTACCTCTCCAGAACAAAATGGGTGAACACACACATCTCCCTTACATCATCACCTCCCCTAGCCATAAATTATGAACGGTCCCTTAGTGAAGGCAAACAATAGGTAAATAGTTTGTACTTGGGATCCAAGCCTCTTTGTCTTGATACATCAGTTCAGCTGTGAGTGTCTTCAATGTGAAGCATAGGAACATGGCAAGCACTGATGATAGGTTGTATTGCATGTCAGTCAAAGATGCATTGGAAGTATTTAACGAAGCATACAACTTTATGGATGACAACTTGTTTATAGCATAGAGCCAAGTTGCAAAGTACATGTAGATTCTTACACCATTACCAAGCTTAAGTCTACCTCAGCTTGATAATGGTGTAAAAATCTCCATCAAAACATTGCTCTAGGCAATAACAATGAATTCATCCATAAAGTTGCATGCTTTGTTATCTAATCACCAACCTCTAGAATAGGATCAATATTTCCAGTTGTTTGATCTGCAAACTCAATGAAGTACAAAAAACAGCAAAATGGTTTTCGATCTGACAAGATAGTTTATTATTATTTTTTGTTTATTATCTCCTATTATTTTGTACAAATGAAATCTGTTGTGTTGAGTCTGTCTCTCCATCTTCTACTCCTGGACTCCCCATTGATTCTGAAATGATGAAGACACAAGATTACACATGTACATAGACTTATCACATCATGAGAGACATGTTGCTATGGTTTCAATATCAGAGTCATGTCCTTTGTACTGAAAACACTTGACTACCTCATTAACCCAAGGTGAGGTGGGGTAGCCTAGTGGTTAAAGCATTTGCTCGTCATGCCGAAGAACCAGGTTCGATTCCCCCTCACTCATAAACTCAAGTCAAACCATTGAGTTGGATGGACACTGACTGACTGACTGAGTTTGTTTACACCTGCTTTTAGAAATATTCCAGCAACATCACGGCAGGGGACACCAGGAATGGGCTTCACACATTGTACCCATGTTGGGATTCGAACCCAGGTCTTCGGCGAGATGAACCAACACTTTAACCACTAGGCTACCCCATCGCCCCTGGATGAACAAGAAGACATGTAATGTCTAATAGTAAAACTCTCTTCATTGTTTGTCCCGACTTTCTGGGCTTTTTCTTGCCCCTACTTAACCCAACAAACATACAACACACATTACATGGAAACCTGTGAAGATCCGAGTTAGAATTGGTCTTCAGCATCACATGCTTGTCATAAGTGGCGACTAGCGTGATCAATGGTCAGACTCAATAACTCGGTTGACACATGTCATCGTATCCTACTTGCGTAGATCGATGCTCATGATGTTGACCACTGGATTGTCTGGTCCAGATTCAATTATTTAAAACTGCTGCCATGTAGCTGGAATATGGCTGAGCATGGCGTTAAACAACAAACATTTACATAGATACAAATAACATCTGAGCAATAGTCAAAGTTTTTCAGTGTTGCTTGACGACCTTGTTTGAATTCCTTGTTGAAATCTTCTTACAGAATTTTAAGCTACACAAATGTCCAGGAGAGTTAAACCTTGTAATGATCAGGTGACAGTCATATATTCAGTGACAAACATAACTGGTCTCCACTCACCTCCTGCTTGTGTAAGCCAAGCTTCTTTTCCATGTTGATAGCCAGCATCTGAGAGCGGAAGGACAGGTTCTTCGTCTTCTCGATGACCTGCTGGTAGGGAGATACAGCCTGTGTTCCCATCACCACGTGACTCTGCAACAAACAACCCGTGAAGATCCCGGTTAGAACTGATCTTCAGCAACCCATGCTTGTCGTAAAAGGCCACTAAATGGATCGGGAGGTCAGGCCGCTGACTTGGTTCAATGTCATCGCATCCCAATTGCGTAGACCGATGCTCATGCTGTTGATCACTGGTCCAGACTCGATTATTTACAGACCGCCGCCATAAAACTGGAATATTGCTGTGTTATGGCCTAAAACTAAACTCACACACTCACTGAGCAAACATCATAACTGGTCAGCACAGAAGTCAAAAGATGCCAATTTTGCCTGGATTTAACCATTATGATGATGCCAGCTGATTCTGAGGGGAAACTTGCAAGCCATTTTGATCACATATTGTTAAAACACACAGAACTGACGCAACCATAGGTCATCATACAAATTTATATAGAAGCAATACATCAACCATTAAATTGTTGGTGAAATCACTCAATCATATCAAGATCAATCACTGACTTGACTTAGCAATCAATGATTGCTTAATGAGACTAACAAGATAAAGGATAAGGCAAAATTAGAGATTCTTTCCCTGTATGTTTCATGGATATTACAAAACATAAAATACCACAGCCATAATAATGGTTTAATACTCTACACTGCAGCCATATCAACAAAGAAACACTGCCCCACATGCTACACCCACCTTTATTACCCCATTACGACAAATTAACATACATAATTGGAAACTAATCCATCAAAGCTTTCCTTATTGATTCTTGTATGGCTGATTAGCTCTGTTGTAATACACTACCCAGGAGAGGGAATGTTACACAGGTTCCCCAGGTTGGTATGTCTGATGTGACAAGCTACTGCTCATTAATATCTTACCAATTTCGAGTCAATCTTGGCATCTAGTCGTGCATTTCGGATCAGGTTGACGATCCATCGCTCAGCTTCCTCGGGGGACATGTTCAGCTTCTCTGCCAGCATGCTGAAATACAATTATGAATACACAGCAAATGTCATCCTTCAGTTAGTTGGCAATATATGGTTCCTGATAAAACTAAAAGATAAAATCTGGGCTCTTTTCAAGAATAAAATCCAAGGTATTATTTATACATCTCTACATAAGAAAATTTAAGACGAAGATACAACCTCCCTGTGTATACGGCAAACACATTGATGGATGTTCGCTTTGAACGCATCTACAACTACACACAATCCCCACCCCCACCCTCAAATACTGAACATTACAATACAACCATTCTTTTGAACAACCACCACAATAAAGCCTTCCCGGTTACTTCAAGTACAAAGATACAATCTCCCTGTGAGCACAATGAAATTTAAAGATACAACCTTCTCTGTGAACACTTAAGCTACTATGGTACAACACCCTGTAAAACCTTCCACTACATTCAACCCTCCCACTGCTAAGATACAACCTCCCTGGGAACACTTAAACCACTACATTCAACCCTCCCACTGATCTCTTCAACCAATAACATACAACCTCCCTGGGAATAAAACCACTACATTCAACCCTCCCTCTTATCTCTTCAACCAATAACATACAACCTCCCTGGGAACACTTAAACCACTACATTCAACCCTCCCACTGATCTCTTCAACCAATAACATACAACCTATCTGGGAACACTTAAACCACTACATTCAACCCTGGGAACACCTAAACCACCCACTGATCTCTTCAACCAATAACATACAACCTATCTGGGAACACTTTAAACCACTACATTCAACCCTCCCACTGATCTCTTCAACCAATAACATACAACCTCCCTGGGAACACCTAAACCACTACATTCCTGGGAACACCTAAACCACTACATTCAACCCTCCCACTGATCTCTTCAACCAATAACATACAACCTATCTGGGAACACCTAAACCACTACATTCAACCCTCCCACTGATCTCTTCAACCAATAACATACAACCTCCTGGGAACCAACCCTCCCTGATCTCTTCAACCAATAACATAAACCTATCTGGGAACACTTAAACCACTACATTCAACCCTCCCACTGATCTCTTCAACCAATAACATACAACCTATCTGGGAACACCTAAACCACTACATTCAACCCTCCCACTGATCTCTTCAACCAATAACATACAACCTATCTGGGAACACTTAAACCACTACATTCAACCCTCCCACTGATCTCTTCAACCAATAACATACAACCTATCTGGGAACACCTAAACCACTACATTCAACCCTCCCATTGATCTCTTCAACCAATAACATACAACCTATCTGGGAACACTTAAACCACTACATTCAACCCTCCCATTGATCTCTTCAACCAACTAACACCCTCCCACTGATCTCTTCAACCAATAACATACAACCTATCTTACTTAAACCACTACTGGGAACACTGATCTCTTCAACCAATAACATACAACCTCCTGGGAACACTTAAACCACTACTCAACCCTCCCACTGATCTCTTCAACCAATAACATACAACCTATCTGGGAACACTTAAACCACTACATTCAACCCTCCCACTGATCTCTCTTCAACCAATAACATACAACCTATCTGGGAACACTTAAACCACTACATTCAACCAACCCTCCCAACTGATCTCTTCAACCAATAACATACAACCCCTCTGGGAACTGACTCTAAACCACCACTACATTCAACCTCCCACTGATCTCTTCATCTCTTCAACATACAACCTATCTATCTGGGAACACCTAAACCACTACATTCAACCCTCCCACTTGATCTACAACCTTCAACCAATAACATACAACCTCCCCTGGGAACACTTAAACCACTACATTCAACCCTCCCACTGATCTCTTCAACCAAACCTATCTGGGAACACTTAAACCACTACAACCTCCACTGATCTCTTGAATAACTTACAACCACTACACTTAAACCACTACATTCAACCCTCCCACTGATCTCTTCAACCAATAACATACAACCTATCTGGGAACACCTAAACCACTACATTCAACCCTCCCACTGATCTCTTCAACCAATAACATACAACCTATCTGGGAACACCTAAACCACTACATTCAACCCTCCCGCTGATCTCTTCAACCAATAACATACAACCTCCCTATGAACACTTAAACCACTACATTTAACCCCAACACTGAACATGGCACCCACTAGGTTACAATCTCTCTCTGAACTTTACTACTAAGGGACCACACCCTCCTTCACCCAGTAATAATCCACCCTCTCAGAACCCACTTCAGCCATGCAGGACACACTGAAGACAACTCACTCTATGCTGATACACTGGTGGATGCGGCAGAAGGTCTCGAAGATCAGCAACCGCGCGTTCTCGATGAAGTCCTCCAGACAAGCAGTCAGGAAGAAGTCATTGACAAGCACCTGCAGAGAGGGAGATAACTCTTATTGTCTTGGCATGACATGCTCACAAACTAGCACAATATACAGTATCTATATTTCATGTATTTGATATTTTAAGCAATATTACACACACTCTATGTAGCCTGTAGATATTTGAGTCCTGAATCAACAAACCAGTGACATATTTTCAGCAACTGCCTGTGCCAATGTGGGCATAAAACCACAAACAAGTCAACTAAACCGGACAACCTGGGTACCACTTTACTAGTGACTACCGGGCATCAGGTGGTCTGGCTCTCTGACTCACCGTATCTCAAGTGTGTAGATCGATGCTCATGATGTTGATCACTCGATTGTCTAGTCCACACTCGATAATTTATATACAGACTGCCACCATATAGCTGGAGGTGAGGTGAGGTGAAATTGGGTTTAACGTCGTGCTTAAGAATATTTCGCTCATATGACGACGTGCATGCGTGGTGTGTATGTGTATGTGCGGCTGCTTGTACTAGCCCTGACTTAAGCTGGTTTTACAGTGCTAGCCCACTGAAATACCATGCTGCAGTGAAGCATGAATACCTCACTCAGACACATTATACTGACTCCGAGCCGACCAGTCCTTGTTGTACCCATTAATGACAAGCGCCAGGCAGGGACCAACAAGTACCATATTTCAACGTCTTTTGGTATGACACGGTCGGGGATCGAACCCGCGACCTTCCACTCTCCGGGCGGACGCTCTAACCACTACACCACGGAGGCGGTTCCATATAGCTGGAATATTGTGGAGGGTGGCATAAAACAACCAATCAACCAATAAAGCACTGTTAGTGCCACGACTGTCATAAATCTGTGTAAAGCTGTAGGAGTTACGATCACTATAGTGCTAAGATTACATTGTACGACAGCACCCAGGTACACTCTGGCCTATTATGACTTGTATAGATTGCCAAGGACTAATTGTGACAGGATTCCCAACATAAGGGATGCTTCAGGACAGACCAAACTTATCTATCCTGTAAATCAAAACATAAAATGTATGTAGTCAACAAGTTCCCTTACCGTCTCACATTCCCTTAGCTTCTGCTGAGCTCCATCGAAGTCAAAATTGACATACAAACATTCCACAAACTCTGTGATAGGATCTCTGTACGTGTAGCTCTCCTGAAAGTACCATGACAGTGTGAAAAACAACACATGCATACTTCAATACTTTAGAGTCCATTCCACAAAGTTCTACAGCTAACACAGCAATGATTCATGAATGTACGACAGTTGTTGCACTATGATCGATTTGTAAAAAGGGGTCCCAATACCATAAAGGTGTTCCTTTCAAGGTGACAAGACATGAAATAAATTGTCAAGCTGATCACTTTTTAAGCTATTCAATCAGTTTGTCACAAACTGAACATGCCGAAAAATAGAGCTGGTAACTACTACAGCATGTATAGCCATACCAATGTACAATGGGTGTCAATCCTTTAAATCAAAAGATGAACCACTTATCCCAAAACATTGTAAAACATACAGACAGGTTAGATAATTGACTAGAACAATCTTGATACCGAAATTAGCAGTTCTGTGACGTGGTTTGTGGGAGTGAGTGAGTTTGGTTTTACGCTGCTTTCAGCAATATTCCAGCAATATCACACCAGGGAATACCAGAAATGGGCTTCACACATTGTACCCATGTGGAGAATCGAACACATGTCTTCGTCATGACGAGCGAACACTTCAACCACTAGACTATCCCCCCCCTTTGTGGTAAGATTTCACACTATGGTGTCATATTCAGAAGGACAACTATGAAAGAGATTCAGTTTCTTTTGTCACAATGAGTCTAAAATGCATTGTCAAAGGGCACCGTAATGTAAGAAACACAACAAAGTTATGCAGATTTGTATCAGTTACAGAAGCATAGTTTTGACCTCACCTGCTGAATGACCTTGACCAGGTCTTTGAGCACTTGTCTCCGCCGGCCCTTGTTTGTGATGACGGCCGTGGTGAGGTAGCGCAGTATGTGGGGGCACATTGTCTGCATAGCATTCAGATACCTGTACATAAAGGGTTTCGCTATTGATAGTTTGCAGATACCAGTACATACACAAGGCAATTCACAAATGACAGTTTGACTGTTTGCCCACACTTGCTCCCTGCTCCCCTGCTCCTCCTCCCCCTGCCCAATCATCCAGAATCCTCCGTGACCCCCAAAACTTACCTTTTTTTTTGCCCCACTCCTCCTCCCCTGCCCACTCATCCCCCAATCCTCCATGTCCCCAACACTTACTCCATCTCCCCTGCATCTCCCTCCCCCTGCCCAATGATCCCCAATTCTCCATGTCCCCCAACACTTACTCCCCCTGCTCCTCCTCCCACTGCCCAATCATCCCTTATCCTCCATGTCCCCAACACTTACTCCACGGCATCTCCTCCCCCCTGCCCAATCATCCCCAATTCTCCATGTCCCCAACACTTACTCCCCTGCTCCTCCTCCCCCTGCCCAATCTTCCCCAATCCTCCATTTCCCCCAACACTTACTCCACGGCATCTCCTCCCCTGCCCAATCATCCCCAATGCTTCCGTGGACTCTCTAACACTTATTCCACGGCTCCTCCTGCAACCCCTGCCCAATCATCCCCAATCCTCCGTGTCTTCCAAAACTTACCCCTGCTCCTCCTCCCCCAAAACTCCGTACTCCCCCCTGCTCCTCCTCCCCCAATCATCCTCCATGTCCCCATCAACACTCCCTGCTCCTCCCTCTCCCCCCCAAATCATCCCCATCCTCCATCACTAACTACCTGCTCCTCCCTCACCAAATCATCCCCTATCCTCCATGTCCCCCAACACCCCCTCCCTCACCAAATCATCCCCCCTATCCTCCATGTCCCCAAACACTTACTCCCTGCTCCTCCCTCACCAAATCATCCCCCTATCCTCCATGTCCCCAAACACTTACTCCCTGCTCCTCCCTCACCAAATCATCCCCTATCCTCCAAACCCCCCCCAATCCTCCTACTCCTCCTGCTTTTCCCCAGCCAAATCACCCCCAAATCCTCCGTGCCCCCCACACTTACAGAGGCTGGTACAGGAACATGTCTATGATGAGGTCCCGGCCTTTCTGGTGGTTGAAGAAGACAAACAGGCTCCAGTGTAGCAGCCAGGTCCTCTGCTGGAGAGACTGCAGCGCCGATGCAAACGTCTAGACAACACAAAACATGCACACATGTACAGATACCAAACATACCCATTACCATATTCACTTCTTTATAACACACCCCTTCCTGTGAAACCCCTTCTACACAACTGTCTATTCTCGAAGGAAAGGTGAATAATACATAAAGGTGTGTGAGTGGATGTTCAGTTCAACACTGCTTTCAACAGAAACCTGTGTAGATTGGGTTAGAATTGGTTTTCAGCAACTCATGCTTGTCGTAAAAGGCAACTAACAGGATCAGTTGGTCAGACTCGCTGAATTGGTTGACACATGTTAACGTATCCCAATTGCGCACATCAAATGCTCATGTTGTTGATTACTGGATTGTCTGGTCCAGACTCCATTATTTACAGACTACCGCCATATACATGTAGCTGGAATATTGTTCAGTGCGGTGTTAAACAACAAACCAACCAACCGAGCTTTCAACAGAATTACAGTGCTATCACAGCACGAAGGGGGAACCCCTAAATGATGTAAGTGGTGCTGGCCACTTAGAAACATAACAGATGCAAACCAGCATTGAATCCCACCATCATAGGATTCTGCCATGACCAAGGGACACAACTCAACACAAATGCACTTCAGACAACCAGGACCCTCATTCCCTCACGTAATACCAAGCACATAGAGTGCATATTAGGAAGTGAGATGGAGAAAATTCATATAATTCCCCAGTTAATTCTGTCAAGTAGAGCCAAACTGATCTTTGTTACTTGTGAGTTAATGTTAAATTAATTTCATTCAGAAGATCTTTAGAACAATACAAACATGTGTAACTCTATCAGACACTAACAGAGTCTAAATGTTTGTGTCTCCCAATCAGTTTCCGCCAGCTACTCACATTGGAGTCGATGACATCCTTGAGTCTCTGCAGGTCCTCCAGGGCGACGTCCCAGTTCTGCATCAGGATCTCCGATGCCAGCTTTCCCCACAGAGCATTCACAAAGTTCCGGTCACCTGGGGGTAGCTTAAAACAGAACATCATAATAAGTATCAACATCATCTCATATACTAGGATGAAAAGTTATACTGACATTAGGTATACTATATCATATCAAGCAGCATTTATACAGGGCAACACCTGCTAATCTGTTGTGTAACTATATAGTCACATGAACTAGTGAAACCAAAGAATCATATTCCAAGAAGGACAAGTGGATATCTCTGAAATTTAGCTAAACCTGTAGAGGTTTCCAATTCTTTGAAGAGAATCGTCCTTGGGGTACATATATGCATATTCTGTGGCTGAAAATGTCATGTGACAGTTGTATCAATGTTTTAATAAAAATATTGTACAATAAATAAAAATCTTTTTTATCTATTATACGGCCCCCACCACGTGGAGTTACCTCCCTGCTACGCATGCGCAGGCAACCAGGTAAGCACCTAGGCCCGTATCATCATTCTTTCTGCTGAATAAATCAGTGAACAGAATTGCGGGGAGGTGGGTGGCCCTACCCCTAGGACGATTCTCTGCAAAGAATTGGAAACCTCTACAGGTTTAGCTAATTCTTTTTCATAGAGATCGTCCTTGGGGTACATATATACACTAACTCAGACTCCCAAAGACCGGAGGCTAGGGAGGAGGGAATTCTGTCAAAGTACACAGAAATAGCGATCGTTAGGAAGAATGTAACAGACGCCACAACACTCACCTGTCACGTGTCCCGAAGCTTCCGCGAGAGACATGATGGGAGGGTAACTGACAGGGAGGAAAGAACTGAGACCCGACCTAACAGGTTAAGCAAAGCAATACGCATTCAGTGCGAAAGTAAAGAACCCCGCCCACATCGTGAAACTATTAAAGAGCACCGTAAGGGGGAAAACCAACTCACAACCGACTATAATCTCAGGAGAGAAATCGAAAGTAGTTAGATGTGATAACAGACGATATATCAATTATACACAATTGAAAGCAGCGTCAACTGTCCAGATAACCAAGACTCACTCGGTCAGGGTGGCAGGACACGCGCACGATCACGAGAATGTGTATCGAGCTGATAGTGCCTGATAAAAGCGCTAGGCCTCCTCCAAATAGTGGCAGAGCATATCTCTTCAATGGGCAGTGCCGATGCAAAAGCCTTTGAAGTGGCCACTGCCCTGACTGAGTGAGCCTTCAAACCCTCAGGGGGAGGCTTGCCCTTAGCCTGATAAGCAGCACAAATGACCGATACAAGCCAGCGTGATAGGGTCTGTTTGCTAGCCAGCATGCCAGCCTTCCCACCACCGTAACAGAACAGATCGGTACCCGTACGGATCCCTTGTGTTCGTTTGATATAGACCTTGAGGGTCTTACGGACATCCAACGGGTGAGTGCTCGTTGCAGAGGTCCCCGATGTGAAAGGCTGGGTAAAAGTAGGAAGTTCGATAGGAGCTGTCACATGGAAAGCGTGATCGATCTTCGGACGGTAAGTATCCGGGAGGCGAATACTGACACAATCTGGATGGAACACAGTCAGCGCTAGTCTGCCGACATCATGTAAGTCGCCAACCCTTCGCCCAGATGTTACCGCCACCAGAAATACGGCCTTCCATGTTAACAGCTGAATGGAAATAGCCGATAGACATGAGAACGTAGGACCGGACAGCCCATCTAACACGATTGACAAATCCCAAGGTTCTCCAGCCCCGGGAGATAAACAGGAATCACCTGACAGTCGCACTGGTCGCACCAGAGGAGAAATTCCCATGTCTCCCGAAGGAGCGCTAGGGACACCGTGCCGCCTTGCTTTAGGATGTACGTCATGGCCGTACAGTTGTCCAACTGAAGACGAACCACCTGGCCCTGAACATGCTCCCGGAAGCGTTCGAAAACCAACCACACAGCTCTCAGTTCTAAGATGTTGATGTGAAGGAGGGCTTTGGCCCAGAGTCCGGACACCGACAGACTGCCCAGAACACCCCCCCAGCCCTTGAGGGATGCATCGGTTTGAACTGTAAAAGCTGGCATTGGGATTTACAAAGGGAACCCCTTGGAGAGATTCCCGACATTGGTCCAGCACTGAAGGTGAGGAGACAACCACCCAGGGACTGTGAGACACTGCTCCAGATCCTCTGAGTGAGCCCACAGACTCGCCAAAGCTTGCTGCCACATGATATAGGGCGCATCCTCAACGCCTGCCACACGACAGAGATAGTTGCCGCCGTATGACCCAGTAGACGGAGCCAAGTCCGCGCTGGTGCCTGGCGCTGGGAGAGGAACGAAGACACCATCTGCCGTACTCTGGTGACCCGGTCGGGCGACAAAGAGACAAGACCCTTGTGAGTTGTGAACCTCGCCCCTAGAAAAAACAAGTCCTGGGTGGGTACCAAGTCGGATTTCTTGAGGTTTATGATCTACCCCAGTCGAACTAGAATGTCTATCACCGTGTGGGTAGAATCTAGGCTCGCTGGCTGAGTTAGAGCACTGAGCAACCAGTTGTCTAGGTAAGGGTAACAACGCCTTCCTTGCGACCTTGCGAGGGTAGCCGGCACTAACATGAGCTTGGTGAACACCCTGGGGGCAGTGGATATGCCGAAAGGGAGCACTGTGAATTGGTAATACATCCCGTCTTAAGAGAACCGGAGGTACTGCTTAAACGGTGGATGAATTGGCACATGTAGATCACGCATCCTTTAGGTCGATCGACATAAGCCAATCGCCGGGCTGAACAGAGGAGATCACCAAGCGAAGTGTCTCCATCTTGAAGGATGGAACCTCTAGCATGCGATTCAACCCTTGAGGTTGAGAATGGGACGGAAGGAGGAAGTACGTGGAATAAAACCCGCCTGTTCCTCGCCCGGCAAAGTCTGAACTCCGTCTCGCGAGTATACCCGCCTTTGACCGATATGACGGCACTGGAGTGCGATGTATGCTGGTGAACTCTGGTGGGCCTCGCTTCCACAGTGGTAGATGGCCGACACTGACGGTGGATAGCACCCAAGTGTTGCTGGTAGCCTTCTCCCACTCCGGTAGGATAGAGAGACGTGTGGTAAAAGTGAGTGAGTGGTCCCCTGCAGATGAACTGGCTGGAACGGACCCAGGGCGACACGGGAGGTTGGGGCAGACCCCCCGCGACTGCGAAAACGCTGCTGGGAGCCAGACGAAGAGGCCTGCTCCTTGCCCTTACCTTTGGTGAGATGGCTCCTCCTACCTCTACCCAGCGGCCGAAGCCAGCCGGCAGACTCGGGCATAGGCTGCGCCCCAGAGGAAGAACCCGCTACGGGAGCGAGAAGCCTGCGGTTGCTCCAACAAGGCCTTGAGTCCTTGAAGGAGGTAGCTGCTGCAGCAGCCTCCCGAATGACCTGCTGCGCCCCCGGAAACAACGTCGCTCCCGGCCTAAACGGAGGGCCAGCAAGGTCTGCTGTGTTGCTGCCGAATAACAGGATGTAGACAGCAACAGCTTGCGCATCCCCATGACTGCGCACATTACCGTAGACGCGGCAGACCATAAAGAGTCTCGCGTCAGGTGGGCCTGTACTTCGGATAATTGGCGGAGCAGAACAACATTCGGGGAAATGTCCCCAGTGCTCCCTTCCGCCTCCAGAACCGACATTTGTATCGAGGAAAGGTACGACTCGTGGACCACTACCTGCACCTGCTGCATGGCACTCCGGTAGACTTCCTCGTAAGTGGAAGTGAACAGTGGAACTAACCGCCCTTGCTTAGCAGCTGGGGGAAGCCGAGCCTCCCCCGAGGACGACCGGAGTAAACACGCACTCGTCAACCACTGGCACAAAGAACAGAGAATCATCCCCCCAGCTGATATCTCTGAACAAGTTTGGGTAGATTGAACCGTAGGTGAGAACCAACCAGGAGGGGACCCATCACGTCCTGCACCAGGGAAGGCAAGATACGGAGCTGTGTCTGAGAGGGTTGCCTAGGGGCAAACCCCTCACCCGGCAGGCGGAACTCAGTCGAGTCCGAGCGACATGTCGGCACCGCGGCTTGGGGAATATACTCGGCAATATGTTGCCTAACCTCCCGGAGAGCCGACGAAAAACGGAAAGTACCCTCCGACTCCTCGACCTCCATAGACTCGGCACCCTAGCCCGTTCCTTAGCCTTTTTGGCCTTGGACAGGGGAACCACCTGGGTCAGGTCCCCTCCCGCCTCCCGCAATTCTTAACAAAAAAGGAAGTCAGCCGCCCGTCTGTTCTGGGCCCATGGAGAGAAGCCCATGCACAACTCACAGATGTCAGGGTTATGCCCTGCTTTCTCCAGGCAGCATAAGCATTTGTCATGCTTATCAGAACAGGGAATATTTTGCCCGCACGCAGCACATCCCGAAAACGCCTGAAAGCAAACACGCAAGCATGTAGCTGACGGTGTACACACAACATAACATACATGTACAAAACACTGAAAATTACGTGAATGCGACGTGACAAGAAATACTTGGTTAATAATGCAATATTTCAACCACGCGGCACGCTAAAACTTCCTGCCATGGAATAGGAACACTCGCATAAACCACGGGAAAGCTAGCGTAAAAGTGTAATACAAAGTCACATAAATGAGAAATAACAGACTGCAAAGTCGCTAAAACATTTCTCAAGACGAATAAAGACCATACATACAGTTGTTGAAGTCTCAGACATTCTTCTACAAGAAGTAAATCAGCTAGTAAGTCAGGTTGGAAATATGTGTGAATGCTTGGGTGACAGCAGAAGGAATGATGATACGGGCCTAGGTGCTTACCTGGTTGGCTGTGCATGCATAGCAAGGTGGTAACTCCGCGTGGTGGGGGACGTACATTAGATAAAAATAGATTTTTATTTATTGTACAATATTTTTATTAAAACATTGATACAACTGTCACATGACATTTTCAGCCGCATAAAATGCATATATGTACCCCAAGGACGATTCTCTTCAAAGAATTGGAAACCTCTACAGGTTTAGCTAAATTTCAGAGATACGCACTTGTCCTTTTTGGACACTCTACACTTGTTTGAGTGTATCACTCTATACTTGTTTGAGTGTATCACTCTACACTTCAAAATGTCACATGCTTTTGTGAATTATATATGATACAAATCCCAACATCATTGGATGTATGACCACCTGAGACGCCAGGCCAAGAAAGGGGACACTGATAAGTGTGTGAGAGTGTTGAGAAAGCGTATGACTCCTGCAATGGTTCTTCGGACTCACCAGAACACGGACGAAGTACAGGTACTCTGCTGCTCCGGAGTAGTTGCCGCACTCGTACTGGAACTTGGCGTAGTTGTAGAGCGTGTCAACCATGTCTTGGCGGAACTGAAACAAACAGAACACTGCAGTGAGAAGAAGGTGACAGATTGATCAACAATATGTGCAGATAAACATCAGAACTGCCTTTCATGAATTCAAGCCTTGTGGGACAATAGCCAAAACAGTGGTCGATAGTGTGAACATCCACAATGTCTATGAGTTGGAATTAGATGCAGATGAGTTCTCTCTGTTCTACTCACCCCATGTTCCTTGTGTAGAAAGTCAAACAGCTGACGTCCATCTCTGCAACAAGCAATACAAGGGTATCGGTGAATGAATTTGTTTCTATGCTGGAGTCAGCATACTGTCAAACTGGAATGTTTTGTGAGCAGGAAAGCTATGAAAAAAGTCACAGATATCTTCTGGCAAAACTTTCAAGAGACAGTTAAGGCTATTCTTAGCCACTCACAACAATTTCAATGCACAATCTTTCCAGATTTGCAGTAATTACCATGGACCAGATATACAAATGACTAAAACCTCCAGTAAACAAATGATACAATTAGTGTTTGATGTAACATCAAGTCCTAAGCCTGACAATCTAAACTTCTGCCGTCAGCTCTACTAGCAAGCCTGAACCCACAGCACCTCTCAGTACACTCAAAGACAATGCTTCCTGTTTGACATAATGTACTTACCGTGAGCTCTGGATCTGCCGCGTGACTTCAGTGTCCTCAAAGATCTTGGTAATGACCTCTGTCGCTGCCTGCAGTTTCTTCAGGCGGTGCACGACCTCCATACGTTTGTCCTTCAGTGCTATAAACAATGATAAATCCATTCCAGTATTTTTCAGTTATAAAAACATGCAACAGACAAGTCTGTTTGTGCATTTTAACAAAAGAGGTCCACACCAACATCCTTGACCAAACTGATGTCTGGAGGTTGCCCACAGCATCAATTATTTCATGTTTGCAAAATCACTGCAATGACTTTATAAGATTCTTTGTAATCATTTGAGCCTCATCATGATCATAAAGCATTGGACAGAGATTTGGGGGGCACCTTGTGGAATAAAGTACATCTCTACCGTGACTGTACCTGAAATTTTGACCAGTTTCACGTTTCAAACTGTAAGTGAATTTCACAATCTCTGTTGTTCCTGTAAGTTTTGTATTTGCTGCACTAAAGCACAAATCATAACATTCTGTCACGCCGAAAACTCAGATTCCTCACATAGGTACAATGTGTGAAGCCCAATTTTGGTGTCCCCCGCCATGATATTGCTGGAATATTGCTAAAAGTGGCGTAAAACCATGCTCACTCACTCATAGCATTCATGCTTTTCTTTAATCAATGTTCATGGAATATACCTTATCGACCTTTAAGCTGACTTTATATTATATTTGTTGTGTGAACACATTAGCAGTGATTTTGAAGCCTATAAAAATCAGTAGGACAAATGTCCTGAGTGGGTGTCTGTCGATATAGGCTATTGACCTAAAGCTCGGTTCCGCAGGGCGAGCCTGTTCGGCATTTTTGACATTTTTTAATCCCAATGCCATCATATAACTAAATTGTTCATGACATTTAATGTTGCAACTTGGATTATAGATATACAGCAAAATTAAAAGATCTAATCCCACTGTTGATAAATATGAAATTTATTTTTCTAACATTTTTTTTTCAAATAATACAACTACAACTTAAATAAATTGAGTTTTTAATGAAAATGCAAGCATTTATAGTCCAGAAATATCACTTAAATAAATTGAGTTTTAATGAAAATGCAAAAAGTCCAGAAATATAGCAAAAACTATGGCGATTTTTTTCCATTTGTGACATGTCATAACATCCCGTGCCTTTTTCTTTTATATTTTCATTTTTACGTAATCAGAAAATTATTAAAAGCCACTGATATCGGGGAAATAGGCTGACCATACATATTATTTAAGAAATCTTTTAGAGGCGACCATACATATTATTTAAGAAATCTTTAATAAGATTATAAAGATTTCTTAAATAATATGTATGGTCGCCTATTTCCCCGATATCAGTGGCTTTCCCGCCGGTACCATGACACAACAACGGAAAATACCTCCGTTTTGAAAGCTTCAGATGAATAACATAACAGGCGAATCGCTTGATGGCGGTATCGTTAAAGCTCTGAACATCAACAATATCACTCTACCCTTGCCGACAGTATTTTCACAGTTGTAAGAAGCGATTTTATTGGATAAAGATTGGTTTCAATGGCGCTTTTCGCCACAGTCTGCTATAAGAGTCGTGATTGGTCAAAATCAGACCGTGACATGAGGCAGCTAATCATATTACGGCAATGGATACTGTCCTCGTGGCGAAAAACTTTTATATTTAGAAGAAAGTTTTGGGTAAAATAATGCTTTTCGAACATATTAAGCAACATAAATCGCTATGTATAACGTAAATTATGGAACTTATTGGACATATCGTGCTAGGTTATGACCTGTGACAAAAATGCTTCATGCATATATTTTGCATTAAACATTGTGTCCAAGCTGAAGATTAAGGCGGGAAAGCCGAGATGTCACTTGTCAGTGACTTGACTTGCATTGCATGATCGCACAAAAGATGGAAATAGTAGTTTTATATGTCACGATTGACAACTTTTATGAATGCTATTGTTGATTTTATTCATTAGTTTATTCAATTTATTTTATGATTTCCTTGAAACATTGTTACATGCGGGTGGGGTCGGGAAAGCCCGTTTCTGATTGTCCAATGCTTAAAATAGCAGCCAATTGCTCAATCCATTACATGTACATTTGGTAGCTTAGTGTGATAAAAATTTATGCGTAAATACATACACGCCGCGGAAACATGATCAAGATTTCGTGGTTAGTTTTTGATGAATTCGTAAATGATAATGTTCGTAATTTATTAGGTCCAATATGTGAAAATAACATCGAAATTATCGATCGGCCCGAGTGTCCTAATTAGTAAGAAAGTAGTCGGTCATTTGAAAATGTTATCGGACTATGACCGAAGGCCGATGACAATCTGAAACCCTGCATTAGGGCTGCTGAAGCTTCAGTAGTAACATGTTTTGCCACTGACCATGATGATGCTTGGACTGGACACAGCAGATTTGTGAGTCAAAATATAGTTAATAAATTCTACACACGTGTGTTTCTAAAGAGGCTCATAAGAACACTCTTCCCTTCGTGGATGACTTACTGGTGCTCGTTGAAATACAAAATACTGCCTGATTTAGCCAACCAGCATGCTTTATACAGAATGCAAAACCTGTTTTAGGTCACGTTCACGAACTACGTTAATATCACTCAGAGATCATTGAGAATGGTTCTGGTTGATATTGCATGCATAACAAATCATGTTTTGTTTCTTCTCAATAACTTTTGAGAAATAGTTAAGATTCGTTTGAGATTAAATTACATGAAAGAATTAGATGGAATTATGGGTCCTCCATTCAACATGATTCAGTACTAACATACGGAGCAAAGTGCAACTAAGTATGGACATGATGGATACTGACTATTAAACATATTAAAATTTCAAGTTCAAATGCAACCAATTCGGACACAAATAAGAGTAAGAGGCACATTATATTCCCAGTCACTAACACAGGGCTCCCGATAACTTTTGGGGGTGTGAGTGTACTTGCACATCATATTGCAAGTGGAGGTGTACTGAGAATTTTGAAGGAGTACTGACATGTTTTTGTGTGAGCGAGTTGATGTGGTTTGTCTGAACGATTCATTGATCACCATGTATTTGTATTTGAAGACGCGTGAGAAATAACTCAGCGACTGTGTGATGCGTGAAATGTCAGGTCCGACTGGATATAAATAGGAACAGTGTAGTTTTTAGCCAATCGAAAAATAGGGATGCATATCGTTGCATGGCAACGCAAGGGATTCCTACTGTCGGGGTTTCCTTATGTGTCAAATCGTGGTTCGCAAAAGAAACTTAACAACAAGTATTTATCCGAAATAGATTTCCATTTGCACGATACGCACGGAAATTAAATGCTAGACGTACGAAGGTATTTATGTGCGTACACGATACGCTTGAAATCTTATATTATGTAGTACTTAATTGATTTTGAGGCATACATTACGCCTGTACGCCCCTTATCTGTAGCCCTGCTAACAGATATGTTTCCAGTGATTCACGCCATATTCCCAGTCATTGACAGATGTGATATTTCCAGTCATTGACAGATATCTCTTTTCCATTTATATTCACGCACACCGTACTCACACTCATTGACAGACATCATTTTCCTGGGTATCCTCACACTAACACATTTCCAAGAATTGATACGTACAATAATTCAGGCTATTTTCACACATCATATTCCAAGTGAGTGTCACACATTTTCCCAGACCTATTTCAGTCCCCTTTCAACAGGGTAGACTTGGTAATCAACTCACTGTCAGGAACGTTCTGATCCGGGTAGAGGTTTTTGTGGACATCCATGGCGAAGTCCACCATGTTAGTGTTGCTGAGCAGGTCAAGCTTGCCTCGAGCCATCTCCTTCTCATCATACAGCTACAACAAAAGGTCAAGGTCACCATATTTTCATTCCTTGGCCACAATATAAATTTATTCAGTCTCAATTTTTACCTGTACATGTTTGTATACTAAGTATTGTGCACTTTTAAGAAGTAAGAAATCGGACACTTAATCTTTCCCCATTTATCAGGAATCAACCAGCTGAGAGAAGACTGAGAGGAGCTTAGGAACACTTGACAACCCAGCAACTGTCTGACGTCACTGGGCATTGTTTCACCAGTGTTTTTGGTACCAAAGTTTCCCGAATAACATCATAAGGTATTGTGATATATTTGTAAAGTGTGAAGTCCTGAACTCTAAAGTTAGGCTGTGACATCCTATTTTCCCTATTTTCAGTCAACATACATGTATTATTTCGCAATCAGTACAATCTGTGAATTAGGATATTGTCTCTGTTTCTTTAGGGTAATTACTCAGTTTTAGATATAGGCTGATATACATAAGATAAACATGCATTTGTTTTAATACTATATCAATACTAACAAAGGCAACATACTTTACGGAAGACAACTTCTTTATTACATTATAAGACAATGTTTCAGTATAGATTCTTTATTATTTCTCATCAACTTCTGAAATGCCAATCAAACAAATTCCATCAATACTACCAATAATGTTAGTGTAGTCCTTCTTGAACTTAGTTTAGGTAAATATTGAGTTCATGAGTTCATATGATGCTGACACACGAAATAATTAATAAATTATGTTGTTTAGTGTTGTTCACTTGTCTAGTGTCAATAATATTCTGAATTTGGCAAAAATCTACCTAATGTGCTTAACATAATAAGTCACACATCTGGGATTGGCACTATACTGCATAATATTAATAATGATAATACATCTAAGTGGTGAATACTGAATGGCACTTGGTCAATCTGAACACCCACTAATAACTTACAACTATACCTCCGAACTTCACTCAACTTCCGCAACAAATGAAAAGTGAGATAAATGACTAAATAATTATCCCTTCACAAACGTAACAGATAGTAATGACGTATTTTATCTTTGCTCATTATATCAACAACAATACACTGGTATAACAATAAATTCGTGTTAATTATGGCATTAGGTAATTTATCGAAATAACCAGGTCCTACGGAGATACAGCCTTTACATGAACAGATACATATGTGAATATATACGTTTTAGTACCGACAGCTTCCATCATGCATCTTTTACACAGCTGTTGGTTTCACAGAAAAATAGGTGATCCTGAATACAAGGATGTCTACCATAATGACAAAAACAACATATGTAATAAAATTGAATCCACTACCTCTTTTACGGATAAAAACTCGAGAAGTGGGAAGACTAGATGCCGGTCCAAATATTGGCCCATACGCGTGGTTAAGTCAAACTCCGCCATGTTTGTTGAAAAGGAAGTGGTGGGGTCGATGTGAATTTAGAACTGAGGTCGGAAAATGGAATACTTGTGAAACAGATACGAAAACAAATGTCATTCTAATGTCCTTTTATACACGAACAGAATGTTTTAATTATACATTAAAATACGCTGCAAATCGGCTTATATGGATTTATTTATTCATATCTGTGCACAAATCAGTTTATTTCGCAAGCTTCAGTCCCTTAGCTAATTTCTGACTGGGTCTCTGTCTACCCATACCTTTGGCGGCAGTTTATTTCAAGGTCCTAACTTTTGATCTAGCGGCGGCGCATTTATCATGCGGTAACAGTTTTTTTAAAGTAACTACCACCATTACAAATCTGCCCAAATATTTAAATTCACAATATCATGTACCGAGCTAATATATTTTCCAGACTTAAAATAACTTTTCAGAGACTAACCTTTGCGAAATAGTTTCGATTATCAAACTGGTAAATGTAATAGTTCAAACTGTCGTTTTGCAATAAACTGACGTTTGCGCTTCCAAACAAACAACCAGTCAGAGAAATAGCTGACCGTGAAAACTCCGAACATAGTTTTAACTGTGTGTGAGGAGTTGTGTCGCCAAAACGAGCGATGTGAGATGTCATTCCAGAAAATATTGTTGTAAATATACAGCCTGAAGGACTTGTTTGGAGGGGGATTAATACACAAATCCCATTTTATAACAGAAAAATGTCCTCAGAAAGCAATGGTGACAGGGCAACAGACATCCACGTCTCTTTGAAACCTGCTAATGATGGAGAAAAGAGCCGAGGACAAGAAGATGACGCAGGTTTGATCCAGTATCCTCGTATCTCAGTGCTCATGACTTTTAGTCATGTTGTTGTTATTTTATTAAAATGCATGTTGGCGTGTTAACATGGTGTCATATGATTCAGAAGTGTGCTATCATTTCAATGAGTCGATATGCGATGGTTGTTCTTGTTTAACAGAAGATCAGATAACGAAACAACAGGATATTTAGCATTTTATATATATTTTCAGTTGACGGATGTTTAATCTTTATTTCTGTCACAAATAATGTGACCATTGGAATACCATTGTGGCAATTCCGATTGTCTCGTTTGACCCGGAAATTGAAGCAACTCTCTATTATCGCGGTATTGGTATTATCTTACTATGGCACACGGTACAAGCAGATGACGCTGTGAAACGTTTACTAAGATAAGTAACGAATCTAAATAGTTTGATCATTAAAAATATGTAGGAATTTCATTCACATTAGTAATATCATCATGTTTTTAACCCAAACATCTGAAACTTCTATTCATTTGGATACAAGGTAACAATAACGTTACAAAATATTGTTTTTCCGTCTTAAAACGTACCATACAAGTTGCTGCCGTGTGTAGAGTGAAGTTGCATAATACGTCACTTCATGTTAAATTTTTAGCAAGGAAAATATGCAAATGACCTTATAGTTGTTGCAGGATTACTCTTGACGAAGTAAGTTTTGATTCATGCTAGATTTAATGGCAGTAGGGGTCATGCTAGTTTCAAAATGTTCTAGAACTTACTGAAAAGATGAATGCTTTATATTTCTACAATTAGACATGACATTCCAATGAAATAAATGGCTTTTTCAAGAGCGATGAATATATTTTATGTAATTTGCATATGAAAACAGCCGATGCAGGGCGTGGTGTTTCTGCTTTCCCAATGTTTTCGCGTGCCGCGAAAATAGAGAGTCCCAGTATACTATGGTAGTGAGCTTCTCCAAAGCCCAAGTCTAGTAAAATTCTGTTCAGTCTTGTTAGCTGAGATTGAAAAGACTAAGCGATAACACTAAAATATATGAGAAATGATACTACGAGCCAAGCTTTGGCAAACAGACTCAAAATTATTTGGCACATACTGAGTGAGTACCAGTACAGACCTAAATAACCATTTTTGCACCAGGTAGAGTTTGGCAGCAACTCATTCCATGGGTTCAATTGTAGGCTTTGGATGATGTTTTTTGTTTCTTCATAAAGTTTTACAGTTTGATTTTTTGTGTATGGTATGAACCCCTGGTTTCTTGTATTACAGATCAGTGTTATAAAAAGAAAGTTTGCTCAGATGTGGTTTTAGGCAACCCGTTGCTTCACACTGTAGTGATATGCAACTGAGGCAACAGCTACCAAACTCTCCTTTGTAAAGAACCGCCTCCGTGGTGTAGTGGTTAGAGCGTCCGCCCGGAGAGCGAAAGGTCGTGGGTTCGATCCCTGACCGCCTCATACCAAAGACGTTAAAATATGGTACTTGTTGGTCCCTGCCTGGTGCTCGGCATTAATGGGTACAACAAGGACTGGTCGGCTCGGAGTCAGTTTAATGTGTCTGAGTGGGGTATTCATGCTTCACTGCGGTATGGTATTTCAGTGGGCTAGCACCATAAAACCATGCAGCTTAAGTCTGGGCTAGTACAAGCAGCCGCACATACACATACACACGCATGCACGTCGTCATATGAGCAAAATATTCTCAAGCACGACGTAAAACCCAATTTCACCTCACCTCCTTTGTAAAGAAAATGTAACCAATGTATTCCATGAATCTAAACCTTTGAAGATCTGGATTAGAATTGGTCTTCTGTAACCCATGCTTGTCGAAAGAGGACTAACAGGATGGGGTGGTAAGGCTCGCTGACTTTGTTGACGCATGTTATTGCATCTCAATTGCATAGATTGATGATCATGATGTTCATCACTGGATTGTCTTGTCCAGACTCAATTATTTACAAACCTCAGCCATATAGGTGGAATATTGCTGAGAGCAGTGTTAAACAACAAACCAACCAACAATGAATCTGAAGTAAGGATTTTTATTTTTTCAGAGAATGGTGATGACCCAGATTGCCCGGTGTGCCTACAGACCTGTATCCACCCAGTCCAGCTGCCATGTTCCCACATTTTCTGTTTCCTGTGTGTCAAGGGTGTTGCCAGCCGCAGCAAGCGATGTGCTCTGTGTCGCCAAGACATCCCATCTGACTTTTTCTGTCGCCCCAACCTGGTGAGAAAAGGGGACCTGCAGCAAACTAAAGTGTTTGATGACGAATACCAGTGGTTCTATGAGGGCCAGAATGGATGGTGGCAGTATGATGATCGCACAAGCTGTGACATGGAGAGCCATTACAAGAAGGGAGTGAAGACATTTGAACTGCTGATAGCAGGCTATGTATATGTTATTGACTTGGACAAGATGATCCAGTGCCAGAGAAATGATCGAACAAAGAAGCGACGTGTCAAGAGAGATAAAGTCAACCTGCCTGGAAAGAAGGGTGTGGCAGGGCTCAAGTTCGGCAGCAATGGTAGCTCTGCTGGCGGGGGTCAGGAGTGTGATTCTGATCGCCCTGGTGCCGATGGAGACGAGACGACAACACCCACAACACATCAGATCATGGTCCCCATTCCCATTCATCCAATGGACCGCACTGTTGGGTATACCAACTCCCTGTCGCCACCCACCCCGTACAACACACCCCAGACCCCTCAGACCCCTGCTGAAAGTCCACCCACTACGTCTGTCCCTTCAGAACAAGATCTCACTATGCAGCTGGAGCGTCTGAGGCTTGGAGATCCCAGCATTCTCTCAACAAGTCCTCAGGACTGGCCCCCAGGTGCAAGGCCAGCAGACGTCACCCTCGGAGCAGGACTGGGAGGGGCTGATGGGTCGGAGGTGTTCACACGCGTGCGACCTCGGGGACTGAGTGAGACGTGCACAGAGCGGGAGGAGGACGCAGCGGAGGATGTGAGAGCTGGTCTGCAGGAGACTGAGACTGAGATTTACAATCAGATGCAGGATGATATGGAACAGACTGAAGCACCAGCAGAGCAACTCCGTAAACATGACGTGTGACAGGATTAGAGATCCTTGGTGAATATGTCAAACATGTTGCAACGAATCTTTCATGAACATAATGTACAACATGTTGAAATTCAGCTTACAGAACATAATGTGTGATGAATGCCCTGTTATCATGTGTTACACAGAACATCTGATCATCGTGACATAATGACTCCATAATGTCCATGCAAGAGATGGGGGACGCGATGCGATGAATGCTTCATTAATGATGTGGCATATTAATATTAACTGATGAAAATGAATGTTTATGGATATAAAGAATATGTGTGACATTATATGCTTCATTAATAATGTGGCATATTAATATTAACTGATGAAGATGAATGTTTACGGAGCCAAATAATATGTGCTACATTAGGATTCATACGTTGAAACTGATTCCATATTTACATCATCAGAGAATGATGAACATCAGAACATTGTTAATGGTTTTAATGGTGATTACACACACTGCACTTTGACTTGTTTGCTTGTTATGCCTGAACATCATTCTTATATTCAAGGGAGTGTCATGATACATATACGTAGGTATAAATACTTATCACTATACTTTTGTCCCAATATGATACATATTGTTATACCAAATCTGGCCAATTTTCACATGAAATTCAACATGTCTGCAGCCTAACGAGAGGTTTCTTTGAGCTTGTTTATGTTTAACTCTTATGCTTGTTAGTGAAAGGTCATTTTAATAGTTACTAACAGTATTATTCCATCAAATTAGCCTTGCTTTTTATAATAGAATGTAGGCAATATTTTGCCGAATGCATTGTTAGTCTGGGTTGTAGGAAATAAGTCTGTAAGTATTACTTTTGGATACAGAACAAAAATGTGAATTGATGCTTAGGTAGATGTATCAGGTGCTGTATCATCAGAAGTATGTGTATCACAGTGCATTGATACATCAGTGGATAATGGCCGCTCTTTTATGTTTCCTTACCTGTACTTAGATGTGCAACCTGTGGTTCGAGTTCAGCAGTTGTGTCAAGTGTCCAGCACGTCAATGTGGATGTATTTGCCGTATGTGACCTGTCATTTTCTCAACTATCTTTTCTTTTCAAAAATGTACATGAATCATAAGGATGAACTTTTATGATAGACTTTCATTTACAAGTTTCTGTCCAAATTGACTCCAATCAGACTTAAAAGATTATCAAGATATCATTGCAGTTATGCAACTGTTGGTACAAATGCTGGGTGTATTTGTAACTCGTTGTCTTTGTTTTGTTAGCTATGTCCTCAGTACAGAGAGGTTTTGGCATATGATTGAATGAACATGAAGCTCAGGGTCAGATCACTTCCTGTTGCTTCATGTACCAAACTTCAGGTTTTGATGCTGTATCTTGGAAACAGAGCCTATTGTGACATGCCCAACTGAAGAGCTTTTTGTCTCAAACGATGGGCCCAGAGCAACCTGTGCCCATTTGAAGTTCCTGTTGCACCATTTGCCTGATGACTGGGCCTATTGCAACATGTGCCCAACTAAAACAGGTGCCTGAATGAAGGGTGTCTTGAAACATGTGAAAAACTAAGGGCCTGTTGCAACATGTGCCCAATTGAAAGAATATTGCAACATGTGCCCAACTGAAGGCCTATTGCAACATGTGCCTGACTGAATAGACATGTGCCCAACTGAAGGCCTATTGCAACATGTGCCCAACTGAAGGCCAATTGCAACATGTGCCTGACTGAAGAGCCCTGTGCACCAGGTTCCAAACTAAAGCCATGACATTTGTGACATAGCCATCTGATCTGATGGGCTTATGCTATGTGTCATCCCAACAGCTGGGCTTCATGTTACATCCTCCCAGCTGAAAGGCTTAATTAATGCTAGACATACCCAACACCCAAACATAATGCTACATGTACCCAACAACAAATCTAAGTGCTACATGTACCTTACAGCAGGGCTTAATGCTCCATGTACCCAGCAACAGGGCTTAATGCTACATGTACCTTACAGCAGGGCTTAATGCTTCATGTACCTTACAGCAGGGCTTAATGCTCCATGTACCCAACAGCAGGGCTTAATGCTCCATGTACCTACAGCAGGGCTTAATGCTACATGTACCTAACAGCAGGGCTTAATGCTCCATGTACCCAACAGCAGGGCTTAATGCTACATGTACCCAACAGCAGGGCTTAATGCTCCATGTACCCAAGGGCAAGCAGGGCTAAGTGCTACATGTACCCAACAGCAGCAATGCTTAATGCTACATGTACCCAACAGTGGAGCTTAATGCTGTTACATGTACCTAACAGCAGGGCTTAATGCTACATGTACCCAACAGCAGGGCTTAATGCAACAGGGCATGTACCCAACAACAGAGCTTAATGCTACATGTACCCAACAGCAGGGTGCTACATGTACCCAACTTAAGCAGGTACCCTTAATGGGCTAAGCAGGGCTACATTTACCCAACAACAGGGCTAATGCTACATGTACCCTTACAGCAGGTACAGTGGTGCTAACGGGCATGCTAGAATGCTACATGTACCCAACAGCAGGGCTTAATGCTACATGTACCCAACAGCAGAGCTTAATGCTACATGTACCCAACAGCAGGGCTTAATGCTACATGTACCCAACAGCAGGGCTTAATGCTACATGTACCCAACAGCAGGGCTTAATGCTACATGTACCCAACAGCAGAGCTTAATGCTACATGTACCCAACAGCAGGGCTAAGTGCTACATGTACCCAACAGCGGGGCTAAGTGTTACATGTACCCAACAGCAGGACTTAATGCTACATGTACCCAACAGCAGGGCTAATGCTACATGTACCCAACAGCAGGGCTAAATGCTACATGTACCCAACAGCAGGGCTTAATGCTACATGTACCCAACAGCAGGACTTAATGCTACATGTACCCAACAGCAGGGCTTAATGCTACATGTACCCAACAGCAGGACTTAATGCTACATGTACCCAACAGTGGAGCTAAGTGCTACATGTACCTTACAGCAGGGCTAAATGCTACAGGTACCCAACAGCAGGGCTTTATGCTCCATGTACCCAACAGCAGGACTTACTGCTACATGTACCCAACAGCAGGGCTAAATGCTAGATAAACCCAACAGCAGGCGGAAGGGCTTGGTACCCAACACTGGGCCACAAACAAGCATGATGCTTTGTAAAACATTTGTAGGTAGTAGAAAATGATGATCAATAAGTGTTTAGATGTGGCCAGGTGATCTAGATTTTCATGTAAACTGTTGTGAAAAAGTAATGTTTATTTTGTTTATGTGTTATGGAAAATATACCTATAAATGTTATGGTGCTTGGAATATTTTCAAGCCACTTTTTCTGTTTTAGCTCACCTGGTCCAGCCAAGAAATGTCAAGAAATAAGCTTGACATATATTGATTAGTTTGGACAAGGCTATTTATAGAATACTCCATTTTAGGATTGGTCTACTTCTCGATGACTTCAAGTAAAAACTGATGTGAGCCAACTTTTAGTTCATATAAAGGTTTGGTGTAGATGACATTCCCCATTCTTGCATAGGCGAGGGACATATGGGATTCAGTGTTTAAAGCACAGTATAAGCTTTATGTCCCTTAGCTGTATCAGGATCCGCTGAGTGTGGGTTAAAATTGATCCTCAACCAGTAAGCACTTACATAAGTGGTAAATGCAAATGATCTTTGCCACAGTGGGGTTTTCTCCCACATATAATTGAAACATTGAGCAGTGTTAAGTTCATACCCACATTTTGGCGGGAATTTGGGAGACATTCAATCTCATTAAAATCAATGTTTTCTCAGACACAATAGCCCTCTGTGTGGAATGAGTATCGTTTTACGCCGCTTTTAGCAATACTTCATCAATATCACAGCAGGAGACACCAGAAATGGGCTTCACACATTGTACCCATGTGGGGAATCAAACCCAGGTCTTCAGCTTGACAAGTGAACGCTTTAACCATTAACCATTCAATATTATCAAAACAAGGTGTCGAGGAAATGAAGCTGAGTCAATCTTGAAGGTGAAGCAATGACACATCCTTCATTTAGATTAGGTGGTCAATGGTCACTCAGTGATTGTCTGGTACAGCCTTCTTTGAAAGTGTCTCAGTAAAATAGTGGGTTGCCTAATGGTTAAAGCATTAAAATGAATCCCCACATGGGTACAATTGTGAAGCCCATTTCTGGTGTCCCCACGTGATGTTGCTGGAATATTGCTAAAATGTAAAACCAAAACTCAGTCAGTCAGTCAGTCAGTCTTAGTAAAATATCTGGTTTCACTGTGATTTGGGGATGTCTGACTGGCAGTAAGGTTACATCCAACTATGCACTTCAGTCTACTTGTTGAAATAAATTTATCACAATTTTGGAGAGAAACTCCTATTTACAAATTGTAATTGTTGAACAGCCATGCTGATATCTTACACAAGGACATAGAGATGACCTGTGAACATTAAGTGGATGATATTGTTCACATGTTCAAGATCACTGCAGATCATCTGTTTGAATTATAGTCTGTGATGTTATCCACTTTCAGTAATATATATGCTAAACAGTACAAGAGTGTTATGTCATGATACTTTAACTAACTAATCAGCTCACAGAATTACTGGCAGCACAAACAGATATTGAAGCATTTTGACACTCATTCTTTCCAATTCTTTTTTAAAATCCTTACTTTTTGTGTTGGAAGCAGAAAAGCAATTATGTGTAGCCAGGAATAACTCCAATTCAGCAGAGTTCTTGCTGCTTTGAATGGTATAGGTATGGTGCTGACAAACTTAGAATCATTATCAGGCAAATCCTACAATTATATGTTCCTGGTATGCCTAAGGGAGGTTACTCTGTACAGGGAATTGCAGTGCTTTAGCTCAGTGAACGACCTGTGTTTCTGATGATCAGGCCTTGAGTTAATATGTCTACAGATGGTTGACCCTATGTCTGGTTGACAGATTGAATGTAGCTGCAAGGTTTTGTAACTGTACTGTGAATGCAATTTGTCCGAAGCAGCCAGGCCAAGAGGATTGTTTCATTTTGTGAAGTGTGTATGATCTTGTATTTTGTTATGCCACGTGTAATGTGAGCAGCTAGTTGTATATTGTGACATGGCTGGTGTAATATAATCTTACCTATTTATTCTATTACGTTATGAATGTATGTGTGCATGCATCAAGCAACATGGTTGAAGGCGACCATATTTCCATGTAAGCTTTCTTCCTGAAGGTCAAGGTCACCTGAGCCCACTTTCACAAAGTAGTCTTTGCTCTACAATCATTGTTAGTGTGTGTTAAAGTATAGGTTTTATGTTAGTTTCAGTGCGAAGATTGTTTTGTGCAGCTGGGCAAGGCTGGGTCTGTATTGTAGATTTCAGTGTTTAACGATGGCCATCACGAGATTTGTGTTTAAGTTTGCTGTATGAGTGTGGATCAATGCCTGAGGATTAGGGCTGGGACGGGTTAGAAAAATGGAATTGAGTACCCGCATGCACTTACCCGAATCGGAATCGAGTACCCGTACATATAAGGAATAAAGCGCTTCTGTCAACTTTCTGAATATTTAATAGCAAGTTGACAGAGATTATTATAGAAACCTTGAAAGGATGGCAATAAGACACTGAAACTGAACTTAGGTTATTTAATTTACGTCCATTTAACAAATATAGAGAGTAACACCATTACATGCATTCCTCGTTAAAACACAGGACTTTTCGTTACTGCTGTTACTGTAACTTGACTCCTCACTGCTCATGCTCGGATATATTACAGTCTTTAATAATATCGTCACGATGTGGCTGAAATATTGCCGATGTGACGTTAAATATTAACTCACTCACTCTTTAATAATAACCTCCATTAATCGGACAATACCAATGATGCAAATGTGTGTTACGTCAATAATGAAAAAGACAAGTTATTATGTGCCCTTGCCATTAGAGAGTTCTCTCCTTTTCCAGGTACTCGATTCCTAGAAATAGTACTCGATTCCAGCTGTACTCGACCCGGAATCGAGTACCCGTCCCAGCCCTACTGAGGATATGTATCACTGAACATGGTACATGACAAGAGGTAACTAACCTCGCGTATCACAAGGCGAGGATACATATCTTGACATGTACATGTATTGTGGCAGAAGGTACACTTCTTGGGGTTACTATTCTGATCATATATCCATGATCATCAATATGGGCTATATACTGCATGACTCTTGCTGATCATGGCTACCCAAGGACCTGTTGAGATTTACTTCCCTCACAACTGCTGTCTAATGTACACGTATCGTCTTGTCACTCTGTTGTTGAGTGACTGTGTGTCAGTGGTTTGTGTTGTCATCTGCTTCCTGAAATAAACTCTGTCCACTGTAACTGGATTTTTTTTTATTTTTTTATTTATTATTGGATATTTATATAGCGCACATATCCACGCACTAGTGCATGCTCAAGGCGCTGGTATTTTTTCCCTCGATCATTGGATGTCAATCTCAACGGCACATCTTATTATCAATCTCAGCTCCCTGGAGAACATACAACTCTTGCTACCACAAGGCGTACCGAGTTATTGCGGCTTTCCCATCCTTACGAGGTACCCATATACAGCTGGGTGGACTAGGGACACATAGTCACAGTACTTTGTCAAAGTTCACTGCACATTGCTGTACCCGCAACTAGGTGTTTGCACGTATTCATGTGGCCACGATCTGGTCATATACCAACGGATTCGTGGGTTCTTTTAAGTGCACAGGGTTGTGTACTGTACACTAGGGGTTGTGACAACACTGAAAGAGTCTGCACACAAAGTTGACTCCAAGGTTTTTACACCCAATCCCTTCACCTCATGCTCGCTGGATCACTAGCCTGGCGCCTTAGCCAGCTCGCCCACCATGCCCCTTATATTTTCAGATTATAAGCTGTTTGATTTTAGTTGGATCTCTTCAAGTAATCAGAAAATGTTCAAGAACATTCCATTTTAAAGGACAATCCAGCTAAATCATTGCTTGGTGTTTTGTATGTGGCAGTGGTTTGTAAATACATATGAATCAATGGATTGTTTGGTCCCAACTTCGATTACATCATGAGAATTGATTTACATAACTGCAATCTAAAAAAAGGATGGCAAGCAATGGGATAACAGATGAAGATGCAGGAGTGATCTCACGATTCAGCAATGATGCCAGATGTCTCTCCAGAATCCATTGTGAGAGTACTGATGTGTACAGTTATTGTCAGCTTCCTGTGGGCGAGTGGTATGCTTTTACCACGTTTGTAGCAATATTCCAGCAAAATCACGGCGGGGGACACCAGAAGTGAGCTTTACGGCTTGACAAGCAAACACTTTACCAACTAGGCAACACACCACCCCTCTTCCTGTGGGAGGAAATCCTGTCGTGATGCGGATGACTACTCCGTGAAATCCACAAGCGCAGGTGATGACAAACCGCCATCATCAGGACAAGACCCGTGAGATCCGCGTTAGAATTGATCTTCAGTAACCCATATTTGTAAGAGGTGCCTAATGGGATCGGGTGGTCAGGCTCGCTGACTTTGTTGACACGTCATCGTATTTCAATTGCATAGATCAATGCTCATGCTGTTGATCACTGGATTGTCTGGTCCAGATTCAGTTATTCAAAGACCGCCTCCATATAGCTGGAATATTGTTGAGTGCGACGTAAAACTAAACTCACTCACTCATCAGGACAAAGAAATATGTCCAGCTTGCACAAGGGACATAACTCTGCAAAGCAAAGATCCCTGAGATGATGCCAGAAAGTGCTATCTTGTTACCTCCCCTGGATAGCCTTTCCGTCATAACTTCTGGCTTCCAAACATTGTGTCATGTGAGCATTGACACAAGATCATTCATTTGACAACACTGAAAACTGACATTGCTTAAAACATTATTCACTCACAGTCAATCGTTGTTTGTAATTAGTTGTATATGTGTTGACAGGTTATTTTCAAACATAACCGGTCACAAGCATCAATATTCAGATGTTTATTTCATTCACTATCTTAAACCAACAATACTACATTCACACAATCTTGATTACACAAAAGGTTTTGATTACAATCTTGGCACAATACAACAACATATCACTAATGATATTGGCTAAAATCTGTAAAAGCACTGTAACATGATAAAGAAAATCTGTGTGCCATCATCCTGGACGTTTCAGGATCCATATAGGAGGCCAGCGATTTCTACAATGATAACAAACACATTTGATTCGCAGCTAAAGGAAGAACATCACGCAACCTTGTATACACAGGAAGATACAATATCTTAATACATGATAGATCTCTACCCTCAGGGCTTGATTTTATGGAAATGAAACCTGCTTGCATCTTCGAGGATTGGTAGTGATGACATAGAGCATCTTTGTAACAAGCTTATTCTGGGTCTCATAAGATCATTTTTGCCTACTTCATAATATTTGATGACATTAACACTAACAGTCATTCAATCACTGTCCATGTCATCATCAGAGTCACTGCTCCAAGCCAGTTCCTCATCATTCTGTTTTCAAGTTAGTCTATGTTCTTTGAACAGCGAAGTATTGACATGCTCTGGTCGTAAGCCATTATAAATATCATGTTGCATTTGGCAGTTTTAGGTTGTGTCACTGCAAAATCTAAATGCTCTAGTCCATCCCTGACCCTGGAGGTTGATATTTCAGGCTGAGTGTACAAGATAAGGCAGCTCTTGTTTACCCTGGAGAACGTCACATCTCATTTTACCTGTTTAACACAGGAAAGATCTTTATCATGGAGTCAAATCTCAGGTGCCTGTGTTACACAGGGAGGGAGTGAGTTTAGTTTTACGCCACTTTTAGCAATATTCCAGTAATATCATGGCGGGGAACACCAGAAATTGGCTTCACACATTGTACTGTTACACTGGGTAGATCTCTACCCTGATCAATGTCGCATCTCTTTCACCTGCACAACACAGGGTAGATCTCTACCCCTGGACAGTCACATCTCAGGTTGCCTGTGTTTTAAGCAGGGTAGATCTCTACCATGGAGAGACACATCTTAGGTTTCCAGCATAACACAGAATAGATCTCTACCCTGAAGAGTCACAAGACTCAAGATAATATCAATTACACAAATAGAATATAACACAGATTAGATGAGGAAGCACAGTTGCTGGATGCTGTAGGTAACACAGTATGGCACATCTGAGCAGAGTGCACACTAGGTACAGTCCGTTTGAGTCAGAAACGGACCGATGAATTGCAAATTTGATCATTGTACAAAATTGCCACAGAAATATAAATAGTACACATGTTTATCATTTACTAATACCCAACAGCTTTCTTATATTTGAAATTGTCCGGACTCCACCAAAAAAGTTGTTTAACAAACTATCATTAAAATTTTGACACAGTTCACTATGTGTTACGAGGGAGGAGTGCAGAGGAAGGGTGTTTGAGGAGCACGTGCACAAGTGCCGACAAAGTTATTGATTCATTAACCTGTGCTGTGCCGTCTCCATCCTTTCTCGCACACCTGGCTGTCCTTTTCTTTGCACTCCTCCCTCGTAACAAATAGTGAACTGTGTCAAAATTTTAATGATAGTTTGTTAAACAACTTTTTTATTTTTAGGACATAAATTCTGCAAATAAATCACAGAGTTGGTCTGATGTTCTGATTATGATCAGCATTTCATTAAGTATTATATGTTTATTATTTTTCGAGTTAGATTGCAATTCATCGGTCCGTTTTTAAGCCAAACGGACTGTAGATATACATGATACATAGGTGTGGCACATCCGAGTGATATTATGGGCTTGCACATTTGATTCATGCACTATAAGTTCAATACGGTTGTGCTTTGCAACACATCACTCACACAAACAGTTATAACAGCAATAACACATAGACATAGTCCGTAAAAGGCAATGTTTGATTTAACATGACTAAATATTACTGTCATGATAAAGCCGATATTGTTACCACAGTAACATTGTGGTAAGATTTTTCTTTGATTGATTGTTGTCCTGCACCCTCAACAAACATTTACATGCAACCAACAAAACGTTTACAAATCGGTAAAAAAACATGCAATACATTCTCACATTCTTCTACACTAAATTATGACTGAGCAATTCATCACTATAAAACAATAACATCATTTTGTTCATGTTGCAACCAGTAACCAGTCGGCCAGTTCTCCATTACAGGCTCCAATTTTTCAACAATCTTAACACTGGCAACAAAAGCAGTGGGTGATAAGGCAGCAATCCTAGTTTTAACAAAAACATTCCCGATATAATTCCACTCATCAATCCTAACTTTAACACCAGCCATATTCAGATCCCTGTCCACTCATCAATCCTAATTTTAACACCAGCCATGTTCAGAGAGCTGTTCACACAATCCTAATTTTAACAACAGCCATGTTCAGATACTTGTCCACTCATCAATCCTAATTTTAATTTAAACCATATTCCTGAATTAAGTCCACACATGAGTCCTACTTTTATCATCAACCATGTCTGACATTATTCTGCAAAACATCACTAATCTATGTAACTTCAACATCAACCGTGCTCAAAATGACAGTTCATTAATCTTAACTGCGGCATCAACCAATTTCCATATTAGTCTGAAATCCTCACTTTGACATCAACTGTGTTCCTACCGAAGGTCAGCTCACTGAACACATGTTGCCTACAGCATGTATAGAAACTGATTTTGGAATTTCGACAACACACTCCAGGCACACAATATTGTCTCACCTACTTCAAGCACATATTGTGTGGTCACGCATTACGAACACATTAAGCATCTCATACACTTCTCATAATAAGTCAACATGCAATGTGTCAATACACAATCCAGACACTCGATATGTCAAGGGACAATCTAGACATATAATTTATCTCCCCATTCCAGACCTTTATCAACATCCAATTTAGACAAACAACATGAAGAGACAATCCAGACATACAATATGTCTGTCAACACACATTCAACACATACAATGTCAACAGACAATCCATGCCCATAATGAGTCAACACACATTCTAGACACACATGTCAACACACAATCCCAACACAGAATGTATCAATAGACAATCCATGCCCATAATGAGTCAACACACAATCTAGACACACATGTCAACACACAATCCCAACACAGAATGTATCAATAGACAATCCATGTCCATAATGAGTCAACACACAATCTAGACACACATGTCAACACACAATCCCGACACAGAATGTATCAATAGACAATCCATGCCCATAATGAGTCAACACACAATCCAGACACTATGTATGAACATGCAACCCAGACAACACAATGTGACTAGACATAATCCAGACACACAATATAGCAATAGGCACTGCAGACACGCAATGTGTCAATAAACAATCCAGACACAATGTGTCAACATACAATCTAGGCAAACAAGTGTCCAGACACAATCCAAAAGTACAATCCAGACACACAATCTATTGACAGGCAATCCAGACATACAATGAGTTAACACACAAGACAGTCTCACACAGCTTGTAGTCACAATCACTCAGTGAGCTGACCCGATACAATACCATCCCTTCACACATAATAACACCTGGTTATCACACACAGGAGCCTGTGCATCAACACACAGAAACTGGTTCACAGATCACAGATGAGCTGGCCTTGGTGTGACCAGACAAGACCCCAGGACCCCAGTCAACGGTAGTTACTTCACTGTCTTGCTCTGATCAACTTAGTCAGTGTCAACACGACAAAGTGACAAATTTTGGCAAGGAAAAGAAGACTGAGAAGCACTGCAAATACTCTGGCAGTCATGATATTATGCCTGACATCTAGCGCAGATAACGTCCCTATGTGACCTCCTCGCTAAGAGCGTGCTGCCATCCACAGACAGCCAGCTGCTGTGGACCCAAGGGCCACCTTCCAGTACAGGGCTCGGCCCTCTGACGTGGCCAGCACCGCAGTGAAGAGTCCGCCCCAGAAGATAAAGGCGGGTGCTGTGGAGGAGAGGGGAAGACTTGACACAACTCGCTTGCCTGGGAAACACTGGCGAGGCTCACTGCAACTGTTGTTGGTGGAGTAGAAGTGGGACAGAAGTCTGGAAGAGATTGGATAGAACATGTCACACAATAATCATTATAAAAGATTGCATTGGGGACTGAATGTAACCTACCTTCTCATTATCTTTAACAAAGGATTCAGCTTGACCGAAGACATTTCCCCTAATTTTTGATACTTCACTACAACCTACCAACCAACCATCACATCCAACCACCCATCGGCTACCTCTAACCAACCATCAATCACATACAACCAAGCATCCATCACCAACCATCCATCAGCTACAACCACCCACTCACTAACTCTAACCAACCATCCACCACCTCTAACCAACCATCCATTACCTCTAACCAACCATCCATTACTTGAACCAACCTTCTGCCACCTCTAACCAACCTTCCACCACCTCTAACCAACCATCAACCACCTCTAACCAACCATCCACCACCTCTAACCAACCATCCATTACTTGTAACCAACCTTCCACCACCTGTAACCAACCATCCACCACCTCTAACCAACCTTCCACCACCTCTAACCAACCATCCACCACCTGTAACCAACTTTCCACCACCTGTAACCAACCATCCACCACCTCTAACCAACCATCCATTACTTGTAACCAACCTTCCACCACCTCTAACCAACCATCCATTACTTGTAACCAACCTTCCACCACCTTTAACCAACCATCCATTACTTGTAACCAACCATCCATTACTTGTAACCAACCTTCCACCACCTCTAACCAACCTTCCACCACCTCTAACCAACCATCCATTACTTGTAACCAACCTTCCACCACCTCTAACCAACCTTCCACCACCTTTAACCAACCATCCACCACCTCTAACCAACCATCCATTACCTCTAACCAACCATCCATTACCTCTAACCAACCATCCATTACTTGTAACCAACCTTCCACCACTTCTAACCAACCTTCCACCACCTCTAACCAGCCATCCACCACCTCTAACCAACCATCCACCACCTCTAACCAACCATCCATTACTTGTAGCCAACCTTCCACCACCTCTAACCAACCATCCACCACCTCTAACCAACCATCCACCACTTCTAACCAACCTTCCACCACCTCTAACCAACCATTCATTACTTGTAACCAACCTTCCACCACCTGTAACCAACCATCCACCACCTCTAACCAACCTTCCACCACCTCTAACCAACCATCCACCACCTGTAACCAACCTTCCACCACCTCTAACCAACCATCCACCACCTCTAACCAACCATCCATTACTTGTAACCAACCTTCCACCACCTCTAACCAACCATCCATTACTTGTAACCAACCTTCCACCACCTCTAACCAACCTTCCACCACCTCTAACCAACCATCCATTACTTGTAACCAACCTTCCACCACCTTTAACCAACCTTCCACCACCTTTAACCAACCATCCACCACCTCTAACCAACCATCCACCACCTCTAACCAACCATCCATTACCTCTAACCAACCATCCACTACCTCTAACCAACCATCCATTACTTGTAACCAACCTTCCACCACTTCTAACCAACCTTCCACCACCTCTAACCAGCCATCCACCACCTCTAACCAACCATCCACCACCTCTAACCAACCATCCATTACTTGTAGCCAACCTTCCACCACCTCTAACCAACCATCCACCACCTCTAACCAACCATCCACCACCTCTAACCAACCATCCACCACTTCTAACCAACCATCAATCATGCTCTAACCACCAATGCATCACCTCTTCTTAACCATACATCACCTCTCCCTTCCCATTCATCTATCATCTTTAATCATCCATCACAACCCTGATCTACTCACTTTTCTTTTTCTTGGAAGCGTTGCTGCACCCACTGTGAGAGCTTTTCCTCCTTGTCCGGGACTTCAGACAAGGGTATACGTGATATATGTAGGTGAAGCTGTTTGCTGCCTCCCTGCAGGAACTCTGTCAAGCACCACCATCATCATCTCACACAACCAGTTATCTCCGTAAAACACACACATACAAATGTTCTATGGTATAGTCACTAGCTTAAACCAAGGAATGAAGATATTGCCATCTCCAAGCCAGGGGAAAACCTGTGAGTACATGTAAGACTGAACACTTTATTGACACAGCTCAAGTGGTAAAGTTTCTCGCCTGACATTGTGGGTGAACAGCAAGATGAGTAAGTGAGTGAGTATGGTTTGACATAGCTTTCAGCAATGTTCAAGCAATGTCACAGCAGGGGGCCACCAGAAATGGGCTTCACACATTGTAGTTGTACCCACATAGAGAATTAAACCCAGGTAATCGGTTTCCCGAGCAAACACCTTAACCACTGGCCTACCCCACCATCCCCACAGTAAGGTGATGAGACATGATGTGCTCAAACTTATGTGCACGTTGGTCACCAATGTAGCAGCCATTAAAGTCCCTTGCAGGGATTCAAACCACAACCATTCTGATGCTAAGTCGGAAGCCTTGTCCACATGATCAGATACGTTAACCCTGTCAGCATGCCGAAGTCACATTGTTACCTTTACAGTTATCACTGTCAGTTCTTCACTGTATGTATACACCTATCCATCACATGTGCTTGTGAATACATTAGGCCAATGGGGGCCAAGGGGTAGGCTAATGGTTAAAGCGTTAGCTTGTCATGCCAAAGACCTGCGTTCAATCCCCCACATGGGTACAGTGAGTGAAGCCCATTTCTGGTGTTCTGCCATGATAATGCCTTAATATTGCTAAAAGTGGTGTAAAACTAAACTCACTCACTCACATTGGGCCAATATGTGCTGGTAGCTTGTCTTATTTCCCCCGCTCAAAAAATAAATTCTCATGTTTTTATTGGCCAAAAATGTAAACTTACAACAAAAAATTTGGATTGTTTTTTTGACACATATACACTTCATAAATTGCCCAAAATATAATAATTTTAGTATTTAAAAGGAATATTACTTTGCCAGGTGATTTTTATTTTTTATTTTTCCCTCCTGCCTTTAGGTTTTCTGAGGACAAAAATTCGTAAAACAAGAAATAAAATTGGTCTGGCCTCAGCTAATAAACTGAGGGTGTGTACAACTCATAAGAGTTAAATGAGCCATGAATACCATTGCCTTGTGACACCGACTCTACTCAATGTGATGTTTGTTGCACTTGTAACAGGGTGTGGAGTCATTTCATATATGAAATCCTTATTTCATTCAAAAGTGTGGCTAAGCAGCGTGGCTGGTGAAACAAGCTGTAAAACATACCTGGCATCCCTGGAGAAGACAGTCTCTCCCCAGTCTCCTTGGCTACTGTGTTGCCATAGGCGATGGTGATATCATAAACAGCATCCAGACAGGTCCTCATCTGCAGCAGTCCTACCTGCAGGGCTCGGTAACGAGGGGTGAGGACGTGGTGGAGGACGGGGTAACCTGCAGAAACAGAACTCGTCAGTGTAACAATCTGGGGAGAGTATCATGGGAGGACGGGGTAACCTGCAGAAACAGAACTCGTCAGTGTAACAATCAGGGAAGTGTATCAGGTGGAGGACGGGGTAACCTGCAGAAACAGAACTCGTCAGTGTAACAATCAGGGAAGTGTATCAGGTGGAGGACGGGGTAACCTGCAGAAACAGAACTCGTCAGTGTAACAATCAGGGGAGTGTATCAGGTGGAGGACGGGGTAACCTGCAGAAACAGAACTCGTCAGTATAACAATCAGGGGAGTGTATCAGGCGGAGGACGGGGTAACCTGCAGAAACAGAACTCGCGTCAGTGTAACAATCCAGGGGAGTGTATCAGGTGGAGGACGGGGTAACCTGCAGAAACAGAACTCGTCAGTGTAACAATCAGGGGAGTGTATCAGGTGGAGGACGGGGTAACCTGCAGAAACAGAACTCATCAGTGTAACAATCTGGGGAGCGTATCAGGTGGAGGACGGGTAACCTGCAGAAACAGAACTTCGTCAGTGTAACAATCTGGGGAGTGTATCAGGTGGAGGACGGGGGAAACAGAACAGTGTAACAATCAGGAGTGTAAGGTGGAGGAGAACCTGCAGAGAACAGTCGCAGTGTAACAATCAGGGGAGTGTATCAGGTGGAGGACGGGTAACCTGCAGAAACAGAACTCGCCAGTGTAACAATCAGGGAGTGTATCAGGTGGAGGACGGGTAACCTGCAGAAACAGAACTCGTCAGTGTAACAATCAGGTGGGAGAGGGTATCAGGTGGAGGATCAGGGTATCCTGGACGGGTAACCTGCAGAAACAGAACTCGTCAGTGTAACAATCTGGGGAGTGTATCAGGTGGAGGACGGGGTAACCTGCAGAAACAGAACTCGTCAGTGTAACAATCAGGGGAGTGTATCAGGTGGAGGACGGGGTAACCTGCAGAAACAGAACTCGTCAGTGTAACAATCAGGGGAGTGTATCAGGTGGAGGACGGGGTAACCTGCAGAAACAGAACTCGTCAGTGTAACAATCAGGGGAGTGTATCAGGTGGAGGACGGGGTAACCTGCAGAAACAGAACTCGTCAGTGTAACAATCTGGGGAGTGTATCAGGTGGAGGACGGGGTAACCTGCAGAAACAGAACTCGTCAGTGTAACAATCTGGGGAGTGTATCAGGTGGAGGACGGGGTAACCTGCAGAAACAGAACTCGTCATTGTAACAATCTGGGGAGTGTATCAGGTGGAGGACGGGGTAACCTGCAGAAACAGAACTCGTCAGTGTAACAATCAGGGGAGTGTATCAGGTGGAGGACGGGGTAACCTGCAGAAACAGAACTCGTCAGTGTAACAATCAGGGGAGTGTATCAGGTGGAGGACGGGGTAACCTGCAGAAACAGAACTCGTCAGTGTAACAATCAGGGGAGTGTATCAGGTGGAGGACGGGGTAACCTGCAGAAACAGAACTCGTCAGTGTAACAATCAGGGGAGTGTATCAGGTGGAGGACGGGGTAACCTGCAGAAACAGAACTCGTCAGTGTAACAATCTGGGGAGTGTATCAGGTGGAGGACGGGGTAACCTGCAGAAACAGTGTATGTCACTGTAACAGCTGAGGGGAGCGTTACAGTTTGGGGAGCGTATCAGCAATTCAGAAATGGAAGTTTACTGCTTACGTCTTACTTTTGGCTCATTACCATTGAACACCTTCAGTTCAGTGAAGAAAAAATTAATGCTGCACCATATTTCTTAAAAATCAAAAATTATCAAAAGGCACCAGTTAAGCACTAGACTGACACGTTTCAACAACATACATTTAACAGTTTTGAATGTGCTGATCACCACATCACAATCATAACCTGACTCATGAGCTGAGCATCATGAAAATGGAAGTTTAAGCTCACAGACGGAAATCACAGCATCCTACCCTGAGCCTTGGCAAATTCCTGACTCTTCTTGATGACATCAGGCAGCTCTGGGTTGAAGCGAGTGCCTTCAGGGAATACCACAAACCATGTCTGCAAAATACAGCATAGCTGGCTGTCAAACAAAACAGACATTCCTTGAACAGCTCACACCCAAAACAACTCTGCTATCATGACAGTGTATGAACACTGAAGACTACTTACATCAGAATGTAATTAAACATACTTGTGTAAACAAAACTGGTTAACATATGAAACAGTCTGATCCATCACAGTGGAGACTTTGACTGACTGACTGACTGAGTTTGGTTTTACGCCGCTTTTAGCAATATTCCAGCAACATCACGGCGGGGGACACCAGAAATGGGCTTCACACATTGTACCCATGTGGGGATTCAACCCGGGTCTTCTGCGTGACGAGCCAACGCTTTAACCACTAGGCTACCCCACCGCCCTGTGGAGACTTTGAACTAATGTTGACATACAAAAGTCAAACTAATATCAATATGACTTTAAATGAGGCAAAGCATGGCACAGAGCAGCATGTATCCATTCCCTGTGAAGGTTCATTTCAAGACATAAACAGCAACAATGCAATCACAGTTGCAGTAAATCTCGTGACGGCGCAATCTGCCTATCATGTATACCCTGGCTACACTACAGCACTTACAGGGGTCTTGTCTCTCTGAAGTCGCTCCAGTTGCCGACTGGCCCGATCTTTATCAAATTTTCCACTTCTCTTGACATACAAACAGTCATGCTGGAAAAGTAAATCTGAATCTATACATTCATGATCAACAGAGGCGGAAACAGCTTTTTGAGAAAGGGGAGGTGCACACTTCTGAGAAAGGGGGTGCACACTTCATTTTCACCTGTTTTCGCGAGAGTTTCAATGGTCATTTAACAAACTTTCAGGGCAAAAGGGGGAGGGCACCACCTATGATCAATATGGTTGAACATCATTGTACATAGTGTTCAGTATGACTTATGCCACGACATACTTAACAAGATACCAGCAGTATGCCTTTTGGCACCAGTGGCTATCTATAGATTAACATAAACACTGCTACAAGCCTTTGTTATATGAGCGAGTTGGTGTTCAAACAAACTCTCATGGCAAACATGACATCACAACAGAACTGGAAGATCCTGACACATTATGAAAACTAATTACATTTACTTTTATTACCATATGGTCATATTCAGTGTTCAACTATGGTTTGAGACTTGATGGACATGTTATGAGAAATGAAAAGTTCAAAGACATGAATGAACATGTCAGTACTGACCTGCGCCAGATAGAATCCATATAAGGGAAAGAACCTAAGACCGTCTTTCAGGACATAGCGGAGAGTTCCCAGCATTCCCTGCCTGATAGCCAGCATGTCACACACAACCCAGTCCACTGTGTACAAAGAACACATTGTGTTGTCATTACACTAATCATTGCTGGAGACAATCATACCGGTGAACATTCTTTCCAATCACTAATGATATGCTATTAATTCTACTCCCCAATCACTCCTTTTCCACCTCCCAATCATTCCTCTTCACACCTGCCAATCATTCCTCTTCACAATCACTCCTGTTCACACCTGACAATCACTCCTTGTAATAGTTCCCATACATGACAGATAGAACTTATTCAGTCCAAATTTTTAATTCTGGCTTGATCACACCAAATAAGATGGCGATAGAAACATCGTGAGAGCAAGTAACATTCATAATTTTAAATAAAACGAAACATAACCCTAAAATGAAATGGGATCATATCACACTCCTGTTCGTTCTTCACAATCATTCCTGCTCACACATCCCAATGACTCCTGTCCACACTACACAATGGCTCCTATTCACACTACACAATGACTCCTGTCCACATTACACAATCGCTCCTGTTCACACTTCACAAACGCTCCTGTCCACATTACACAATGACGCTGTTCCTGCTTCACAATGACTCCTGTCCACACACAACGCTCCTGTCCACACTAACACAATGACTCCTGTCCACACTACACAATGACTCCTGTCCACACTACACAATGACTCCTGTCCACACTACACAATGACTCCTGTTCACACTTCACAATGGCTCCTGTTCACACTTCACAATGACTCCTGTTCACACTCTCACAATCATTCCTCTGTTCACACTCTCACAATGGCTCCTGTTCACACTTCACAAACGCCTCCTGTTCACACCTCACAATGGCTCCTGTTCACACTACTCCTCTGTCCAATCACTCCTGTTCACACTGTACCAATCATTTCTGTTCACACTTCACAATGACTCCTGTCCACACTACACAATGACTCCTGTCCACACTCCTATACAATGACTCTTGTCCACACACACACTACACAATGGCTCCTGTCCACACTACACAATGGCTCCTGTCCACACTACACAATGACTCCTGTCCACACTACACATTCCTGTCCACACTTCACAATGGCTCCTGTTCACACTTCACAATGACTCCTGTCCACACTACACAATGACTCCTGTTCACACTTCACAATGACTCCTGTCCACACTACACAATGGCTCCTGTCCACACTACACAATGACTCCTGTCCACACTACACAATGACACAATGACTGACCCTGTCCACACTACACAATGGCTCCTGTTCCACACTATACACAATGGCTCCTGTCCACACTTACACACAATGACTCCTGTCCACACTACACAATGACTCCTGTCCACACTACACAATGACTCCTGTCCACATTACTCTCCCACACTTCACAATGGCTCCTGTCCACACATCACAATGACTCCTGTCCACATTCACGCACCGCTCCTGTCCACACTACACAATGGCTCCTGTTCACACTTCACAATCGCCTCCTGTCCACACTACACAATGGCTCCTGTTCACACTTCACAATGACTCCTGTTCACACCTCACAATGACTCCTGTTCACACCTCCCAATCACTCCTGTTCACACTTCACAATGACTCCTGTTCACACTTCACAATGACTCCTGTTCACACTTCACAATGACTCCTGTTCACACTTCACAATGACTCCTGTCCACACTTACACAATGGCTCCTGTTCACACTTCACAATGACTCCTGTCCACACTACACAATGACTCCTGTCCACACTTCACAATGACTCCTGTCCACACTACACAATGACTCCTGTCCACACTTCACAATGACTCCTGTCCACATTACACAATGGCTCCTGTCCACACTACACAATGGCTCCTGTTCACACTTCACAATCGCTCCTGTCCACACTACACAATGGCTCCTGTTCACACTTCACAATGGCTCCTGTTCACACCTCCCAATCATTCCTGTTTACACCTCCCAATCACTCCTGTTCACACCTCCCAATCATTCCTGTTCACACCTCACAATCGCTCCTGTTCACACCTCACAATAGCTCCTGTTCACACTTCACAATCGCTCCTGTTCACACCTCACAATCATTCCTGTTCACACCTCACAATGGCTCCTGTTCACTCTTCACAAACGTCCTGTTCACACTACACAATCACTCTTGTTCATACTACACAATCATTTCTGTTCACACTACACAATCACACTTCTCAAGCAAATATAAGAGCAGATGAAACACACAATATCATTAAAGTTCTCAGTACAGTTCTAGCGGGCATTCTTGACCTACCTGTACACTGGTGGTTGGACATGTACAGAACATTCTCCTGCTTGGATGTCAGGACATCTGTGTCCCCATACAGGTAAATCTGGCACAAAGGAAAAACAGACTGACTGACTGACTGAGTTTGGTTTTACGCCGCTTTTAGCAATATTCCAGCAACATCACGGCGGGGGACACCAGAAATGGGCTTTACACATAAGGAAAAACAGAAATCTTCACATTTATCTATAATACATCAATAATGGCATAACATTATTGTGACCATAAATACTGCACAGATTTAAATGCATGAGTAAATTTAGTTCTTGACTACTTTTAGCAATATTCCCACACTGTTAATATGCAAGGCCAGCTGAAATGGATTTCACATATTGTACCCCTGTTGGCCGCTGAAAATGAAGCAGTGAGTGAGTGAGTTCAGTTTTACACCGCACTCAGCAATATTCCAGCTATATGACAGCAGTCTGTAAATAATCGAGTCTGGACCAGACAATCCAGTGATCAACAGCATGAGCATCGATCTGTGCAATTGGGAACTGATGACATGTGTCAACCAAGTCAGCGAGCCTGACCACCCGATCCCGTTAGTCGCCTTTTGTAGCAAGCATGGGTTGCTGAAGACCAATTCTACCCCCGGATCTTCACGGGTCGAAAATGAAGCAGAAAATGGGTACTAAATATTTCAAACAAAAACAGTTAAAAATCGTCATGGTGAGCAGCAACAAAATGTCAGTTGCTTCTGATGACAGTTTACTTCTCAATACCCCAATAAGAAAGTGAGACACTTTATGGACAACAACTTCTTTGTTATGTATGATGCGATCAGGGATTTACAGCACGCGAATTCCTGCGTCCTATACTCATAAAAATTGACAATGGACACAATGAAATTTATTAGCGCATCTTCAGGGACGCAGAAAAAGTCTAAATGCTTTTTGTAAAAATTCCAATCAAGTAACAATAAGTTATTACTGAGTTTGCTACTAGCTGGGTTATGGTATCATTTGCAATTTAATTACTGCAACAATGTGATGATCATGATACATGCTACAAAAACAGTATTAATAATAATATTGAAGTGTCTGGGAACCCCATTTTGTAGTCCGGGACCCCCTGAAAATTAAGAGTATGAGTCCCAGGGACCCTCAAATACTGGACCCCAGGTAAATCCCTGATGCGATGTTTCGATATAGATTCTTATACCATTGTTACTCTTGCTTGACAATGGCACAAGAATCTACACCGAAATGTCGCATCATATACAATAAAGAAGCTGTTATCCATAAAGTATCTTACTTTCTTATTACTCAACAACTTCTAAATTGCCAATCAAACAGATCAATGTCATGGTCATGTTCGGTCTGGTATTCCATACAACCAGTAATTGCCAGGATCAGGCCACTGCAGAATGCCGAGTATGGAAGGGATAGACATTAGTCTGTTCGTTTGAGACTCGTAAAAACCTAGGGGAACTACACATTACTATACTGAAAGCCATTAAAAACGCAATTTGACATTCATACTTTCTTTACTCACACAAATGTCAACATATATAAATGTAACTGACAGATATGTTTTAAGCGAACATCTGTCGATAATTTCATCTGAAAATGTCCAATCAACAATAACATCAGTGACGCAACAACAACATTTAACAATGGAGGGGTCACTTTCAGTCAATATCGTGTGTGTCCACCGTGCACTACAAGAAATGCTCGCAGTCTCCACGGCATTGAAAGACACAAACAGCTGTGGGATGGTCTGCCAGTGATATTGAAGGGCCTGGGTCAATTCAGCAACTGTCCTTGGTAGCAAGTCTTTCTCCTCGACGTCGATAAATCTGTTGACGTCCATCTGCAAAGGATACGTTAAACCTGGATTCATCTGTAAAAAAGACATCTCGCCATGGCCTGTTGCCAAGATTGCACCCATTAATAGCTGCCCATTGCTGTCTGGCAAGTCTGTGGCAATGCAATAAGGTTGGAACATGGTATGAGCGACAACACCGGATGTTGAAGGCAGCAAGGCGTCTTCGCACCGTTTGGGTGCTGACATGACGTCTTGTCCCAATTGTCCTCCTTGCTGTACCAGCAGCTGTTTGGAACCGATTTTGCAAGTGTGAAACTCGGATATTCCAGTCCTGTCACGTTGTCGTCACAGGTGGTGCACCAGCACCACTTCTGGTGGCCTGAGTCAACCAACACTGGATTGATGCACATTTAAGTGCCTGGCAATCATCACATTTGAAGCACCTTGGCTGACCATACCGATAGCCTGATTCCTTCCGTCTTGTTTCAAACATGGCATTTTCTCAAAGTGATTGAGTTTCACAATTCCTTGTGCTTTTAAAGGGCCTGGGTGCAGGAAATGCATGTGCGTGTTTCATGAATGTGGTTGTGTTTACGAGAAATGTCAAAGGTTCAGTTTTAAGCATCGAAGTTCATGCGAGAGGAATGCTCGGGGACTCAAACTCAAAATGGGCCAGAATAACAGCCTTTTATCCCTACATCCTCTGTATTGCAGGAAAAAATCTTCAATAGAACTTTTGTAAGTTGCAGGACAACAAATACCAAATTGCGTTTTTAATGACTTTCAGTATATTTATTTTCAAAAATCAGTATATTTTTCCTGAACCACAACAATAACATGTGCTCCAGTTAGGGTGCATACTGGAATCGAAACATATTGTTGCCATTTCCTGACATCACCTGGAAAACCAGGGGCATACTCTGTAGGGGTAGGGGTAGGGACATACTCTGTAGGGGGGTAGGGGAATACTCAGTGGGTCAGTGGGGGTATTAGCATACTGTGAGGATAGGGCATACTTTGTTCATGTTGTTGGGGGCAGGGGCACACATTGTGCGGGTAGGGGCATACTCAACAAATGTCTTTATTAATATACTTCCTTGGAGTCCAAGGAAGTATATTAATAAAGACATTTGTTTACATGCAAGTCAAGTATGTCACAAGTGCCCACAACCTGTAACCCGTTTCACAAAGCAACATTGACTATCAGGCACCACCCCACTACCCCGAATAAAATTTTCCCTGAGGAACATTACCCCCTAACCTTTGGACTTCATGATTTATGTGCACCTCCCTTCTCCAAATTCCTGGATCCGCCCCTGAAGTTCATTATGGATGTGATCTTAGCTATGAGAAGACTAACTCCACAACTTGAGCACAGACTTCCGAACATCGTAAAGCTAATGAAACATTACATTGCGGAATCGGGGATAGATGCTAATGTCAGTTGAGATTCTGTAGCCGAATTACGCAATTTAGCCTTGTGCCAACAAGGACAATGCATATATTACACATGCTTTTTGTATGTTGAGCATAACTAACAAAGCGAACCTTCAGTTAAAAATGAAATCGCATCTGCCTTACCTCTACTCCTGTGTAGTTCTCAAAAAAAAATAGTACAAGTCGTTGGTAGGCCGAATATAAAAGGTCGTCCCCGCGTCGGTAGTAACGCCTCGGTAGAATTGCGGTTGCCATTCGCACCGCCATCCATGCGGTGATGTAGGCTGGGGCTGACCCCAGCATAACTGCAGTCGGGACCACCCATCTCAGTGACTGCAGATACACCAACAAGGACAACAACATCGTCGACCTGTCAAAATGTGCTCTGCAACCATGTGAGAAAAACGGAAGTGGGAGATACCAGCGATACGCATGCGTCTCTTGCGGCTGGTTTCGCCTTTGACCTCTGTGTGACGTCACAGATGTAAACTTACACACGTGCAAAGGCGATGATTGACCGGACAGGTCGCTGTCAAGTGGAATGTGATGACTTGATGAGAACTTCACACTTCCACATGTCGACAGTTAGCCCGGTGTAGATTTTACAAGATGAAGAAAAAAGACGACAAAGATAGGCCGTCATCTTCTACAGCGAAAGAGGCTGTTGATGCCACATCTATTCTGAAGAAGTTAACTCCCAAACTGAAAAGGTACTGTACTGTACATTTCTATCAGAAACTGGGGTGTTTTTTCAGACCAAACACACACAAAATGTCCCGAAAAAAATATGTTTTTTGTATTATAAAAATAAACTGCCAGATGAAAGCATGTTTTGTTCTTGTGTTGTGGATGCAACATAAATACAAGTACAACATAGATCAATGCATTATTCTAAATCATTAAGTGATAGTCTTTTTGTAGTCTATGTGATTCGTTCAAACATAGTGAGTGACTAGCTATTGATTTGGATTTTGACGATTTATTTTTTAAATTACCTTTTATTTAAATTTGTTACTTCATAAGTCCTGTTATGTCAAGTCAATTAAATTCTTTTCTAATTAATACCAACATCACTGATGCGGAAAGCAAAGTATTTAGGTGTCTTCAATAATTTGAGAGGGTTTTTTATTCAAATAACATTTAGAGTTTTTATACAAATAAAATTAACACAAAAAACTTGTTGATGCTTGGTTGACTTAAATGTAATGATCCACTTGTAATGTCATTTTCCCAAGGATCAGGAATATTGCTTAACAACTTTTGATAGTAAAAACCTGGACCTTTCATTTTATATCTGTTCTTACAATATTCTAAACTTATATTACAATTGTGTAGTCTTTGTGCAATTTTTTTTTATTAATGCAAATTTTCAGTTTCCACAACACTGCGATGGAATTCATTTTGGACCATTTCATCTCTTTTTGTTACCAAAAATCACACAAAAGACATGAATTGTAACATACATTCATCATGTTTGTATTAATGTACCTTTCAATAATAAATAAAAGTAATCTTAACCAGTTAAAAAAACATCATACATATAGTTAGGGTAATTCATCTGGATACTTCAATCTTTATTTGCTGAATTGTGTTTTAAAACTTTTTCATTGGAATCACAAATAATCACAAAGAACACTCGCCTAATGATATTTTTACTATTTTTGCCATTGTCCAAAGAGGTAAAAAACCATAAAATACAGGAGTGATGTGTTGGAATTGAAGGTATGTGCACTAAATGCATACAGTTTTGTTGTGCATATTTTAATTGTTTTTAATTATGACATCCTCAAATATACTTTTTTTTTAAAACACAGAAATATGCACATGAGTATTGCATGAGGTTCAACTCTAGTACACAAAAATGAATTTTTTAACTGGCAAGATAATTCTTGAAGTTCGTGTGCTTTAACTACTGATGCTGTTCATTTTCAGATGAAAATTACAATTTGAGCTGTTGACTTTGTTGACTTGGACAGATTTCAGTTCAATATGAAACTTTTGAATTATTTTTATGTATATGTGTTTCCATTGAAGTGGTCATAGAATACATATCTACAGGAAATCTATCTGTTTTAGCATGAATACTCAGTTCAGGAATGTATGTATAATTAAAAAGCTACTCAAGGAACTGAAGAATTTTATTTCAGCTAGGAGACCTCAAAACATGTACAGTGAAACCTGTCAAAACCAGCACCCCAGGGGACCAAAATAACATGCCAGTTTAGACAGGGTGCCGGATTAGACAGTGACGATCATTTTCCAACATGGCTGCCATTTACACTTGTCAATCTCTCAATCTAGAGTACCGAGAGGAGTGTATTGGATTAAGGGACCCTGATTGGACTGCTCATACCCATGCCGGCTTAGAGCGTTTGATTCATCGCGCAATCACTACGTCCTGATTGTCTAGTGTGCCAAGAGGATTAATTAGTGCGTGTATTGGATGATGGGTCCTTGATTGGACTGCTCATACCCATGCCAGTTTAGAACAGTGTTAATTGCAGTTAAAATTGCTTGTTGGGACCGGAAAGTCGTGAAGGAAACACAAATAGACAGGTGCCGGATTAGACAATGTTTTAATGATCATAATATCGTTGTAAAATGGACCAAAATTATATTTCTGAATAAAATTACTCATGGCGTTTTTCCTAACAATTGATGTTGGTGTTACAGTCGTTCACACATCACCAGAGCAATGAAGACAAAGCTGGTATTTCCCAGGGGAATTCTAGACAGGTGTCCACCTCAAGCCTTGAGAAGACAGGTGAGAGCAGGGATAAGCATCTTCTGACTCGGGTGGTTGTTGTCATGGAGGATGATTGACATGGAAGGGACAAGGTGGTTGTCATGGAGGGTGATTGTCATGGAGAAGGTGCTTGTCATGTAGGTGATTGTCAGGGAGAAGGTGGTTGTCAGGGACAAGATGGTTGTCATGGAGGGTGGTTGTCAGGGAGAAGGTGCTTGTCATGGACAAGGTGGTTGTCATGGAGGGTGGTTGTCAAGGCGAAGGTGCTTGTCATGTAGGTGATTGTCAGGGATAAGGTGGTTGTCATGGAGGGTGGTTGTCAGAGCGAAGGTTGTTGTAATGGAGGATGGTTGTCAGGGCGAAGGTGGTTGTCATGGAGGGTGGTTGTCAAGGAGATGGAGATGTTTGTCAGGGTGAGAGTAGTGAGAGTGGTTGTCTAGGAGATACAAATGCCTGTCAGAGAAGGGATGGTTGTCAGCAAGATGGTCGTTGTTAGGGAAAAGAAGGACTGTCTGTCAGGTGGTAGTAAGTAAAGGGGTGGCTGTCAGAAAGGGGGCAGCTTTCAAGATGGGGTGATGGGGAGGGTTTGCCAGAGAGAGGGTTTTCAACAAGAAGATAGTTGCCACGTGGAAAGGTGGATTGGTGTTTTGGATAAAAGGGAGGTGGTGCAAATGGTTGTGAGAAAATAGGCACAATCATGGACACTCATCTTTAGCTATTGGGGATGTCGCTAAAATGAAATATCTCCAAAAGCTGCTTTACAAATTTCAGCAAGTCGAAAGTCAGTTGGTGATGAGCAAAGACCAGACTGGTACGAGGATCTCAGTGACGACCATGTCAGTGCCTTCAAGGAGGTGAGTTGTCTCCCATATCAGTGCCTTCAAGGTGAGTTGTCTCCCATGTCAGTGCATTAATGAAGGTGAGTTGTCTCCCATGTCAGTGCCTTCAAGGTGAGTGAGTTGTCTCCGAAGTCAGTGCATTCATGGAAATGAGTTTTCACCCATGTCAGTGCCTTCAAGGTGAGTTGTCTCCAATGATAATGCATTCATGAAAGTGAGTTGTCTCCCATGCCAGTGCCTTCAAAGAGATGTGTTGTCTCCCATGTCAGTGCATTCATGGAAGGTGAGTGGTCTCCCCATGGTGTGTCTCCCCATGTCAGTGCCTTCAAGGTGAGTTGTCTCCCATGATAATGCATTCATGAAAGTGAGTTGTCTCCCATGCCAGTGCCTTCAAAGAGATGAGTTGTCTCCCATGTCAGTGCATTAATGGAGGTGAGTTGTCTCCCATGGCAATGCATTCATGGAAGTGAGTGGTCTCCCATGTCAGTGTCTTCAAGGAGATGAGTTGTCTCCCATGTCAGTGCATTCAATGGAGGTGAGTTGTCTCCCATGGCAATGCATTCATGGAAATGAGTTGTCTCCCATGCCAGTGCCTTCAAGGTGAGTTGTCTCCCATGGCAATGCATTCATGGAAGTGAGTTGTCTCCCATGCCAGTGCCTTCAAGGAGATGAGTTGTCTCCCATGTCAGTGCATTAAAGGTGAGTTGTCTCCCATGGCAATGCATTCATGGAGGTGAGTTGTCAGTGCCTTCAAAGAGATGAGTTGTCTCCCATGCCAGTGCTTTCAAGGAGATGAGTTGTCTCCAATGTCAGTGCCTTCAAGGTGAGTTGTCTCCCATGCCAGTGCATTCATGGAGGTGAGTTGTCTCCCATGTCAGTGCATTCAAGGAGATGAGTTGTCTCCCATGCCAGTGCTTTCAAGGAGATGAGTTGTCTCCAATGTCAGTGCCTTCAAGGTGAGTTGTCTCCCATGCCAGTGCATTCACGGAGGTGAGGTGAATTGAAACAGTTGGTTTGTTCCCGATATCGTTACATTCAAGGTGTTGACTTTTCTGTACATTAGAAACATTGAATCATCTCCCACTGATGTGTGGAATACACAGAGACAGGGTGACATCTTCTGTTGTATGACCCAGGTATTCGATATGCTGGATTCGAGCCACACCGGGACGTTGAATGCTGACAGTCTGTACGAAGGGCTGCGACGCGTGGACAGTGAGATCACACGGCATGAGGTGGAGGATGTGCTGCGAAACCTCGACAAGGATGGCAACGGAGAAATTGATTTTGAGGAATTCCTTTTTCACATCAGTCACCAAGGTGACCAAGAAACTGGTGAGTTATCATGGTGATGGGGACATGGCAAGTTGTCACAGTAAGGGACCGTTCATAATATATGGCTAGGGGAGGTGATGATGATTTTTATGGAGAAGCATGTACAATGTGAATGACCCCCCCTAAAATTTATGTACAAAATAAGTGAACCCCATGCATGTCATGTACAAAATCAATGACCCCCCTTCCCTTACCATAATTTCTAAGCATAATTTATGACAACCCACACACCCCCAATGCGTGTGTACAAAATTGATGACCCCTAGCTCGCCAGAACAAAATGGGTGACCCCAGAACGCGTGTGTACAAAATTGATGACCGACCTAGCTCGCCAGGAACAAAATGGGTGACAAACCCAAACACACACACACACACACACACCCTTAAAATCATCATTTACCCCACCCACCCTCCCCACCCCATCTAGCCATAAATTATGAATGGTCCCCAATGATGGAACATGAATAGGATGTAGTCAGTTATCCTAGTTACAGGGGAACAGGTCAAGGGAAATAGTCAGTTGCCCTAGTTACAGGGTTACTTGGCCATGGAGATTATGAGTTGCCATGAAATTGTGGGGAACAGGTCAAGGGACATAGTCAGTTGCCCTAGTAACAGGGTTACTTGGCCATGGAGATTGTGAGTTGCCATGAAAACAGGGGGAACAGATATAGTCAGTCTAGTAACAGGGTTACTTGAATGGACATAGTCAGTTGCAGGGGAACAAGTCAAGGGATATAGTCAGTTGTCCTAGTAACAGGGTTAAGGGACCATGGAGATTGTGAGTTGTCATGAAAACAGGGGAACAGGTCAAGGGACATAGTCAGTTGTCCTAGTAACAGAGTTAAGGGACCATGGACATAGTGAAATATCCTAGTTACTGGGGAACAGGGCCAGATAGAAATTCGGCTGTCATCAAAACAGGTAAACTGGACAAGACCATGAGTTTTCATAATGAGAAAACCGAGTTATTGTCATAGGACAGAGCATCATTGTCGTAGTTGTAGTGCAAATTTGTAGACAAGTATTTAGGGCAATGGTAAGTTTCATTGTACTAAGAGATAAATATTTGATACATTCTTTATACATATGAATATGTATGTGGATGTTACCTACAGATGGTGAGGAGGGTTCCGGACGTAGGAAGGCCCTCACCAAGCGCCAGCGGCTGTTCTACACTGCCATCACAGAATTTCATCTGAAGCGCACCTTGGAGACCATCCAGAAGGCACATCTGGCTCGGGTCAACCAGCCCCATGTGTTGAGTCACTACACAGCAGGTGCACGGCTTATCGGGCTAACTGACCGCCAACTGGCCATGGAGATGAAGAGGATGCAGAAGAGCATGAAACAGCAGGACTCTCCGTACGCTAAGCCACTACAACTGGTGGTCAAGGAGGGAGGGAGGAGGGCGGTCAGGAAGGCAATCAGGCCACGGAGGAAGCCAGGGCTTCCTGCAGCAACAGCAACAACAGCACCAGCAGCATGCAGTGACACAACCCCAGTCACAACCCAGATGAGTCTTATGAAGCAAATGGCAATGCAGCCCACTATCTGCATCCCCAGTGCTGGGCCTTTGCCAGCTCATGGCAGCCAGGATGTGAAGGGCAGTATGACCTCAGATCAAAAGAAGGTTGGATGGTCCGGACTACGCACCAAACTCCAGGACACCCCCCAGCCTAACGTCACCTTTGATAATGACCTGAGGGTGGGTTACACTTACATCTCCACAGCATTTCACCATGTCATGGCTTACTTGTACACCACCATCATCCATCTTTGTTGTGAGGGTAGTGTACCTTACCCTTTCATGTATTATTTCTTGAAGGCCAAATCAGGTTTCATGTGGTCAACAAAATGGCAATGGTGTCGCTTCCAAATTTGTTATTTTATACATATTCTCTGCGACGGTCGTATTGCCCATTTCTTACCTGTCTGCATGTATAATTCTCACATACTGTATTGGATCTTGCATGAATAGTAACAATGATAACAAGTAATAAACTGCCATGTTCTTGAAGGATGTCAATGTGTTATATTTCTTCCACAGGAATCTTTTCGAATGCTGTCAGAGAGAGGGAGCATCATGTCCAAGTTGCCAGACCTCAACAAGATATTAGCGATGCGAGACAAAATTGGTAAGAGTGTGGGTGGGGGAGAAGAGGTGACTCAGAGTAGGAATGGATAGTGGATGGTTGGGATGGGTTTTTATTTAATTTGAGGAATTGACATCGGGTGGATATACCCTCCAATGCATTGATCATGCTATGTGGAAAACCCCACTGAAATGGGTGAATGAGTGAGTGAGTTTAGTTTTACGCCACTTTTAGCAATATTCCAGCAATATCACGGTGGGGGGACACCAGAAATGGGCTTCACACATTGTACCCATGTGGGGAATCAAACCCGGGCCTTTGGTGTGACGAGCCAATGCTTTAACCATTAGGCTACCTCACTGCCCCTCATGTAATATGACCTACCTCTGGAGTGTGTCATGTATGTGACCTACATGTGACATGTGTCATGACCAAACTCTGATGTGTGTGACTTCTTCATCGTCCTGACGAGCGAACACCTTAACTACTGGGCCACCCCAGTGCCCCCACTGAAATGAGTACATGTACCATTACAATGCATGACCAGGCTGTCTCAGTGTTTCATTGCTACCCTTGGGATTGGATTTGTCCCTTGCTTTGAAACCTGGTTGATCCTGGCACAGTTCATGAACACACCAACCCGAGTAGTATAGGGAATGGGGGTTTTGGACCAGGTCCAACAAAAGCCTCTGCAAAGCCTTATTTGTGAAATAAAGGCTTTGGCGGACCCTTGATCCAGCTATCATTACCCCTACTATAAAAAAGTTTGAGACGCCAGCCGGATACGAACTCCACATGTCCGCACCACTTAACCGACTGAGCTACGGGGACTTGGCTGAAGTATGTCAGTTTAACGGGTCTATCCTGGGATTGCATCATCGCTCCACGTGCCGCTATGCCGCGGTTGACTGGAGGTAACATTGTGCCGCATGCGGTACGATCAATAATTCCTGTCTAACGAGTCCTCTGCCTGGCCCATCCCTCAAGTAGTACAAGTTAGGCTCGTCTGCTTTGATGTCCACTTTATCTATGTTGTAAGTTTTGACTGACCATATTGGGTCAGTGGCTCGCTTCACGACTATCACCCTCGTGTTCCCCGGCTGATATAGATACCTCACTAGGGCCCTATCTGGTATCTGTTTCTCTTTCCACCGCAATGGAGCAGCCGACTCTGCCACTATTGATTTTAGTTTGATAAGCGTCTGCCGGTTTCTTGCGGTGAGACGGGTGACTTCATGGTTGATTGCCGACACCACCTTAGGCAACCTCGCGACCCATTCAGTCGATCGCTTCCCGGTTGGCCATCTCCCTAGCATGTTAAATCTCTCAACTATGGCTTGGCTGCGATGGGCTCCGGCCGTGTTTGGCTAGCAGTTGTGACACGACACCCATGAACTCCCGCCCCGGGTCAACTTGCAGCTCTGTTGGCCACGCCAGCGGACCTGCGTTTGTATATACGCTCGAATCCTCCTGGCTACCTGGGCAGAATCTTTTCATGGGTCAAGGGTTCGGCTTCCTTTGTAGCGACTGGCTACGCACGTGCACTACGGTTAAGGCATACTTGTACCTCTTGTCGCGGGTAGGGTAGGAATAGGAGGTCGGCCTGGTGAATGCTATTAGGTATGTTAATACCAAACTTCCTTCTAGGCACGTGAGCGTGGTGCGGTAAATAGATCTGCCATAGGGCTTGTTTTTCAAGCCACGCTTTGGCCTCCCTCGGGTACTTTCGCCATTTTAGCCAGCTTATGTACAGCTAGCTCCTTTCCAGTACCCACGGGCTATAGTAAATAGCCTCAAACTTTCTCTGGTTCCGTGACATATATATACCTATGTCCTTGGTTCATTTTCTCATGCCCGTGACGCTGCGATGCGTGTTTATCCCATCAATAGCTATCCAACGCTTAGTGTCCATCGGCGACAGGGACGCGTCTTGTTTATAGTCAGTCCAGATATCTTATGCCCATCACTTCTAAGTGTGTTCATTTTATGTCTAAAGGTACGGGTCTTGAACAGGGCTTCCTTTGAATCTGGCGTGTTTGATGTGTTGTTTAACCACGTACTTCTTAACACCCTTAGCCTTCGGATCTCACCATTGTCGGCCTTCAGTATGGAGTACATCTTAGGCCTCAAACCTATGTACTCGGCTATGGGCGTGCCAGCACACTCGTCCTTCATCTTACCTAGGACCTTTTTATTTACCGTGCTGTGTATGGCATGGTCCTTGGGGTAGTCGCTGGTGTCATACAAATCGAGGCGTTTTTCATGTCCTCATTACACGCCCTCCGCTTGAATCTCCATCAGCAGGGAATCCGGTGTCAGTGTACAGCACTTCACACCTGTCGTCGTACTGTTTCTTAAGCTCGTTGTAGTAATATGTTGAATATCTTGCTACGGTTGAATGCCGGACTGGCTATCAGTCTCCTGAGCTTGTCTTCCTCATTCGACCGAACCAGCTTCACGGTCACGCGTTTCCTCAGGTTCTCCATAGTCTTACCAAACACCGAGTTGTTCATGAGCTTATAGAGATTTTTCTCAAAGTCACTGGTGGCAAGCTTTCGGAGGTCTGTGAACGATGTACTTAGTCTTATTCATTAAGTTGGGCACGAAGTTTTCAACGCCTGCCACCCGCCCACCTAATAAGTTATGTTGGTACTCAGACATCCAGTCTGGGTTAACCCTCATACTTCGGGGCCAGGGGTAGCTGTTGTGTGATGTGTGTAATGCCTTGGGGTATTCCAAGTCAACCTCGAGGATATAACCTTTGTTCGAATCTGGTGCGATGCTCATAACATCGACCTCCTGTGACGCCCATTCGAATCCCCCTGTGGGTAGATACTGGCTCATGGCCCACCCGTACAGGTTGTTGGCATCGAGGTAGAGGATGTGAGTGGTTGGCTTGCTCGGGTCGTGAGCCCTTCACGTATTGATTATTTGCTTTTCGGCGTATCGCTTTGGTTGCCATGGAGATCCCGCCGCAAGCCTTTCTCAATGAATAGGTGCATGTCGTAATCGGTGAGCAATTCCAACTTAACTCCGGTCTTTTTTCAACAAGGCATCCCACGACAGATGGTGTAATACCACGCGGGTCGAAGTTTATACTGCTTGAAACATGTCTGCCTAAACGTCTCAAACACGCCGGCTAACAGCAGTACATCTGTCCTCAAGTACAGGTCGTGATAGTCACCTAGATTCTTACAACCTAGTTTATTCCATACATTAATAGCGTGTGAGTAATCATCTTGGGATATTTCCGAGTCGGTCAGATTGCTGTAAAATTCTCTGATGGGGGTAGTCTGGTGTCGGCGAACTTGGCCCAACCATCCATGTACTCATAGGGTACACACCCTTCCTCATCAGCAGGGGTCTAGTCTCGGCGCCTGTGTATCGATCGGTAATAGGGAAGGTATTGTTGGCTCTTGACCGGACCAGACTGTCGAAAGTGACGACAGTAGGAACTGAACCGAGTCAATGAACCTAAGGCCGTTCAAGCTGAAGGAGATGTATCTCTCCATGTTGTTGGGGATGCACGTTATATTACCTATCGATTTTCGCGATGGCCTGCATGATTAAGTGAGAGTCGTACCCTCTCAAGTTGTGAAAGACCACAGGGATGTTTATTGTCTTAGGGATGATTCTAAGCTTGAGGTTACACACGCTGTGTGAGCTGCTCTATACTTACCGGTTACGTGGCAGTGATCTCTCACGGAATCACCATTCAGTGGTGAGTCACACGTGGCAGTTAGTGCTACAGCCATAAGCTAGCCTGTCGGCTTTGGTCATACGCATGGGAGCCGACTCTATACAGCGCATTCCTAATAATTTTTTTCTTCCTCCCGCAAAACACTTTAGAAACCTTTCAGCCGTGCCAGGACCCCTGTACACTGCGCGGGAGCTTTGTTTTCCCATCACAACGGACGACCACGTGATCCAAACCCACAGGCTTCATGCTCTTGTGTTTTCTGTGTGAAGCTCTCACCTGTCGGGAGAGTATTGGGAGTATCCCCAACAACCCGGGCGTAGCCTCAACAGGTTTGACCAAGGCTTCAAAGTCGGTATATGATATAAGGCACAGACATTTGGTTCTTGTGGTTACCGAATTTTAGGATATTGTCACCTTCCTTAGGCATGTCAGCTTCGTGATGGCCGTCTGCCCCACACCTTGGCAATCCTCCCGTGGGATTCTAATAAATCAGCTCGTGTGAAGCCATGTAGGCAACGCCGCGAAGTGGGTCTTTTCTCTGTGTGCCGATTGGTCATACAACAGCCTGCTAAAGTGTTTTATCCATGTGTAGTGGTACTTGTCACCCTCGCTGAATCATGAATATATTGATAGCGAGGGGTTCCCCTGTCCCCAGTTGGGGTTCCCCAACGGACTGACCCTGTGTACTATTGTTGTGTTACCTTCATGCCCAAAGACATTTATAGCTAGATTATTCTGTTTTTCTATTTTAGTTATCTGGGATATGGGGGTGGGTTCATCTATACCATCCCAGTTGAGCCCATCGTCTTGGGGATAGCTAGAAAGCCTGTCTGAATGAGTGTCAGCTGGAAACAAGGCTGACCTGATAGCTACCCTCAGGCAATCGTCTCCTCTATTCTTGACGTTGACCATGGCATGTTTTTTCCTATAGTAGGGTAAGTCTAGGTATGACCTCCCCGCCTCTGGCGACGCGTAGTTAGCTATGTCTAGATAGACATTATCGATTTTATCTACAGCCCACCCGGACCCCAGGTGTGTGTAGCGTTCTAGGTATTCTCATTATCTGCTGCTTATCGAGTGACATTTTAACTGTGATCTGAAACTTGATACTTCCCAGACTGTTTAGTTCCTGGTTTATTTTATCAGCTATCAGAGGCTTGATATCTGTGATGTCTATGTTCCTATCAACATGCATGCGCCAGCCTCTCAAATAATTACCAACAAGCTCAGTCGCATGAACTGTAGGTCAATAGCTCTATTCTGCTGTAATAGTTCTACAAGCTGTGGTTTCATGCGGGAATACCGCCCTAAACCCAAATCACGTACCTCGGCTTTTAATTGTAAGTGGGAGGTTTTGCCTACGGGGCATGTGATAACAATGCGATTAACCCAGCTCTCCCCAGGTTTGAATAACCCTTGAGCCCAAGCTGTTTGTGCTTGAGGTTTTAATTGTTTTACCGTGGGAGGGGCTTGTATGTTAAGTAATCTCAACAAGGCTGGCTTCCTCATTCGAGAATAACCAATTACACCTCTCTGTCTCGCGACCTGCTTAAGCTCATGGATAGTAAGTAGCCCATAGTTGCACACACCTAAGAATATCAATCTCTAATTGGGCTGCCATAAAGGTAAAAATCATAAAATCACTAGATGGGCCGTTTCAATCCAGTACTTACACTGTTGGATATAGTATTCCTTGAAGTTGTACATGTATTCCTGTATACTTGTAAAACAATGTATCTGAGTATTGAGTCGTGATGTCCCGCCCACATGTGAAAGGCGAGTATACCTTACCACCCTCCTTAATCCATACCACTTCAATATGACCTGAAATCTGAAGCGTCCCCATAAGTTCAGTTCATCTTTGAGTATGTTTTTGACCAGAGATTCGATGCGGGTATACTTTCCTGGGGGTCAATTTCCACAAACATAGCTATACGTAGGTGTGCACAATCTCTAATTGGGTCACTACACTGCTATCTTGAGAAGTCGCTACGTTCTTTTATGTAGGCCTTTTTATTCTGTAGATGAGGTGATGTCTGACTCACGTTAAGCCCGTGAGCTTTACATAGGCAGTAGTGCCATTTAACCCCTATACCACACACAGAACGCGGCGTAGTTAAGGCTTCCCATGTGGAAACAACAGTACCCCTCAGTCCTACATTTCCTACCACAGGGTTCTTTCTTCCCCATAAGTATGTATTCACATCGGTATGGAGCAGGTCTCATGTTTAGCATACTTATATGAGTATTTAGTCTAATTGTTTACCAAATAGCGCAGTCGGTCGCTGCTATACCCAGCGATAAAGACCAGTTCACGGTCCATTTGCCCTTGGATGTGTGTGTAGTACTGAGGCGAGTGTGGGTTTATTGAGTGGTTGCAACTGTTTACCAGTTAATAAGTAGTATTCTTTAAGCTGCGTCCTTCGACATCGTGGAATGTTTGAGCGGCATGGCTCTCACGCCTGAGTTGTTCGTTAATGTAATCGATCCTCTGGAGGCGTTTTTGGCGTACTCAGCCTGTGCTGTCTGTAATTTCTCAATAAGCGAGATCGTGCGGCTTCCTTTCTTCCTGTATTTCAGCGGCGTGTGACTCTATTAGTTTTGAGAAAGGAAATTACTCGCGGAAAATGCTAGGGCATTTACTAAGCCCACCAACCATCATGGCAATCGTAGCCATCCTATATTTACTTCATAATATTTTCAGGTAGTATCCTTGTTTTACTAGGATGTCCTTTGTAGCCATCGCCATACCAAGGTTCATTATGAGCATACCCATATCCTGCAGGTTGAAATCTAGCTTGATAGTTGGTTGTTTAAGCACCATTTTGGTCAACCCGGTATCCTCTGGCTAGACTGGCGACCGCGGTGGCGTGGTATCGCGTGGATTGACGAGCGTTTTCCCCTCAGACATTATGTATGTGATATAAAATATTAAATTATAACATGATATGTGGGTTGACCTCTAATTGCGGGGAGGGTTTCTCTCCCCAGGATCCCTGTGAGGGTTTCCCTCACTGTGTATGCGTGTATATAACCATGAGATAGCCACGGCAGCAGTTGCTTATACAACCAACAAGAGTCGAGGGCGGGTGAGTCACGTGATAATTTTATGTTGGTTACACCACCGTTTTTTACCAGCAGCTACTCTCTTAGGATTCTTCTGCCTGGTGACTGTCACCTCGGGAGGGGTTCACCTCCTGGGGGTTTCCCAGTTGTTGGGGTTCCCCAACTTTGGGTTCACCTCCTGGGGGTTTCCCCAAGTGTGGGGTTTCCACCGTCACCTCTGAAGGGGTCTCCTGTGCATCCATCTATACTATTATTATTATTTTTTCCTCTCAAATTGGCAATGCTTTGCCGTGATAATCGCCGCCGTCACGGGGCTAACAACATACCATATTTGTGGTACAGCTTCGCAGCTAATAGAGCTCAAGGTGTGTTCGATAAAGGGTCTTTCTCAAGGTCTTCCCACAGGTAAAGTCGGCTCTGGGATGGGAAGGAAGTATGGCCTTAATACCAGTGTATATCTGGGTCATAGCCGATCCTATTGTCTTTGTCATCTCTGCGCCGAGCGGGACTTCATTATCTAAGCGTACAGCTTATCGATTTCTTCCGAATGACATTTTGTGAATTTTATCTGGAGTGTACTCCCCAAAGTAATGTTTGGCTTTGCCGCCAACAATAGCGCCACCAGTTTCTCTAAGCTTGTCATCGTCCACTGGCACCAACGGTTGCTCTAGCAATTCCTCACACTCCATCTTATAATGTGATAAGTAAGTTTTAGTTTTAACTATATAATATATCGATATAAATGAAACACAGAGAAATGCAGGTTAAGTTGCACCACGACAAACACTTCAAATACCATAGCTACTAATGTTAAAAAGCTAAGTTTTACTTAGCATTGCTAAGCTTTGCTTAGCTTTTACTTAGCTTTGCTTAGCTAAAACACCCTATAGGCTACTGGTTGATCGGTCTTGAGCACGAAGCTTAAGCGTGTTTAGTTTCAGCGAGCTGTTTCTTCACATCGTTCCCTATCATGTTTGCTCATCACATCGTTCTCTCTCAAACACTCTTGAGCGAATCGCTGTCCTTGCAGTGAAATAAGGCCACCATCGCGTCTGCTCCTGAGGTCTTTCAACACCGAGTTGAACTTCTGCGTTAAGCTTCAGGCGCTGTGATTTTGCGTGCCGGCCAGAGAAGGCCAGATGCGATAGCATGTCTCTCTTTTTGTTATCTCGATTGATTAATCTGCGGTCGTCCAGTATGAACAGTGTCGACTCCCTTTAAATTTCGTGAAGAGCTTTCAACCAGTCCTGCAGGCGTATCCCTGGGTCAACTTTGTATGCGTCGGGTCCGTCATCACCCAAGGTCTTTCGTTAATGCGTTTTATTCATGCCCAGAGTAGGGCACATGATAACGATGTTGTCGAACACATCCCTGTAGTACCCTCCAACATATCCAACATGAAAGCGGTCTTCCCACAGCCAGTCTGCCCACACACTATGGCAGTGTGGGTGTGAAGTAAATCAATAGATGGCTTGCGCGAATCTCCCATTGTCTATATTAAGTTGCGCGTCCATAATAGCGTACAGATATAATTTCAACTTGCCAGCGGGTTGAGCCTTCTTGGTAATCTGGATTATTTATCCCTCGCTGCCGTTGTCGACCGCTACCGTGCAGTTTATCGTCATCCGTGGATCGCATGTCCAACCATAGGGCGTACTTGGTTGTCAGGTATTCACCGATCTGCGCGGAGGATAGGTCCAGGTCTTTGGTTATGTATGGGTGTTGTTTGATGGCCGGTAGCTTTTTATCTCATCCCACTGCTGGTATGGTCTCATACCATGACTGAACAACTGGTTGGGCACGCCCTCTATGGTCACTTCCACCTTTTCAATCTTTCGGGTTGAAAAACTTCTGCAGCTGTCCCCCTCGGGCGGCTCGTAATCCTCCACTGGGACGACCAGGATACCTTTCATCGATCGGCGCCGGCATGTTTAGGTTGATATTCCACACAGTGTCGCTCTTATCACACAATACGACTGATCTATGCCTCAGTATGCGGTCGTTACAGGATGGCCTCTTCCCAGAGTACTGGCTTCGAACCTGCCTGTCCAGCTCCCGGGCTGGTGACCATGTCGAACTCCAGAGAGATGTTGTCTATGCGGCGTAACTGGCCTCATCACCGCTTGGCGTGCGCATCTACTTTACTGTAGTCGATTAAGCGTTAGCTCGTGATTCAAGCCTATCACCCAGCGGCCTGGTAAAAGCGGTAGCGTGTCCGTGAAGCAACTTCGAAGTCGGCGGCGCACGCAGAACCGGTTCCCGTGCGGCTTGGCGATGGCCTTTTCACAGTCCTTGATCTTGTCTAACTGGTCTTGCGTGAAGCCATACCCTATCGCGCTGACCGGGTTGATTTGCTGATACCTTGGTACACGTCATTGATGCGTTCTCCCTCCCTCGCTTTTCCAGAGGTCCTCGTAGCAGTGAAAGGCGCCGCTGTCGTCGATGCTCAGCACCTCGTTACCACTGATCTTGATGGTGGTTTTCTTGATGATGGCTCGACCTACGTTCGCACTAGTTGGCGTTTGTCGTTGGTGGAGGTCAGCGTGAGGTTGAACGCCAGTCGAACCGTGCCTGGTACAATGAGGTCATTCTCGCCAAGGTTTGGGAATCTAACCAGCAGAGTTTGATTCTGGTCTATCTTGCTGGGATTGTTGGTGATGGTCACCGACTGGCGACGGCTCTGGCCCCTAGAGGCTCTCTTGATCTTCTGAAAGGATCTAGTTTTCTACCGTACATTGTTATATAAATGAAATATATAAGTTTTAATTCTAAATAATGGCTGAGTACATACCTATGGACGACATGTGGGATGATAGTGCCCAGGCATTCGAGGATGACACCATATTAGAATGAACCTTCATTCTCGCAGAAGACAACGAACTTCGTGAAGCAGGGCGTCACCGGGTTTCTGATGGTTTAAAAGGGATAAAATTACGTAGAGCCGTGGGGGCGAGATTATTCAAGTTTTTTGTTGATAACAATGGCACGCGCTCGCGACTGAAGGGTAAGCCGGAGATCGATCTCATGAATAAGCGCACTAGAGAACCGCTTGCCTTATCAACACTCAGCAGTCGCCATGGGAGTGACTTTATCCGCGATGAACTAGGCTTCATAGATTATGGGAGTATACGGCCTAAGCTTCCCATTCAAGATCTGCAAGGCGTCCAGAAGCGCCACATCGGATCAAGACATGACTGATAACATTGAAAAGCTGTTGGCCACCTACCATGACAAACCCTTACCGGGTTGAATTTACCGTTCGGGAACTGCGGGGGCTGGACATGGCCATGCAAACCATTAGCGGACATCTCGTGGAACAACACGGCCAAACTGGATGCGATAGAGCGATCACATCGCCCATGAAAGACCAAACTTCGGTGAAGCTGAGGGGGCGAGTCTCTGAAAGCCACCATCGAGGAGCGAATCGTAATTTGGAAGGAAAGGAAGACCGGCTGGAAGCGGCATCCTCCTTCGAGACCAGCTTCGATCCCAGGTCAGCCGTGCGTGGAAACTGTTGATCAAGTCCTCTACCAGGACACCACGCTAGCTGACAGGATTGAGGATACTGTTCGGGAGCAAGGGATCACCATCGCCAGCATTCTGACTGCATTGGGGTTCATCATATCAACCCTGGTCGTGTCATTAACACCTGCGGGCGGTACCCCGCGCCTGCACCAAGTGGTGGAAGCGTCAAATCCTGGATAAAAAAACTTCGGGGAGGCCCTGGCTAAACTGGTTGGTAAAGGCTGCTGAAGCCCTGCCCGGCATCCTGGGTAGCATCGTCTCGTAGCTGCTGAGCTCTGGCTAAAACTGCCACGTGGCTCAGTCAAAACCTGTGGGCAGCCACCGCCGCAGTGGCGGGTCTGGTGTGCGTGGCGGCTAAGGAATTTTTAACCAAATGAGCCCCAAAGCTACCCCCACCTACCACCAGGGCTGTTTTCACGGTCGATGTGCTGCTGCAGGTGTGGGGTCACCCCACAAGGGGTGTTGGTTGAACCCTAGGCTCGGGGGGTGGTGCCACTATACCCGTTTCACCGATTCGTGGGTGGTGGGACGTGGGGGACGCTGACATCGAGGTTGGCGCTTAACTTTTGGTCCGCCATGGCTATGACTATTTCGTTGTTGTAGCCCACTACTTTCTTTATTCTCAGTTGCATATCACTCAGAGCCATGTACAGCCCCACGTCGAAGGCGTAGTCGACTTTCGACCTGGCGTATTCCAAACACGTCTTGGTAGCGTTTGATGGCACTCGGGAGATCAACTGGAGCATTGATAGCATCCTCAGCGTTGACAACGAACTGTTTCTGGCGCCGTAAGCAGTCCCTTACCGAGGATGTTGGAAGCGTGTTAATGCGTCTGCGCACTCCAACAGCCGCCACACGCGACGCGTTGAATAGAGTCGTTCAATCTGGTGACACCGACGCGAGTAAACCCAGCATGAACATTTTTCTAACCGTCCTGCGGTTGACTGCTCCACTTTCTGGACGGTGAAAGCAACACCACCTTTAAAGTTCATACGGGCATCCCTCCATTCATTACTTCGACAAAGCAAAGTCCTGACATAGTACATCTCGTTTCAGTAAATCATCACTGACTTCTTTCGAATTCGCCCCATCATATGGAATACCCAACCCATGGTTCGCCCCGGCATACGTAATCCGTCTTGGGTTTAGTTGAATTCGTTTACCAAATACGTTCAGAGGTAGGCCGTCTATTGTACTGGTTGTTTACTTGCGTCCCATGCTTTGTCCTGTGGGGCGGTAGCTGATCTCTTTGAGGATACGTCTGACCTGGTAGTACACGTGAAACATGAACACAGACTGACTCAAGCCCACGCCGAAAGTGTCGGTCAATGCCACACCACACCCGCTGTAGCGCACCACACGGCGAAGTTGAGTTGATTCTGCCAGAACTGCATAGGGTTGTTGAACCAAGCGTGGACTGCCTTGACGTTAGTCACCGAAAGCTTATACAGGCCGAACATATCTAAAAGCTGGGAGTCGAAATACATCCCATCAGCGACCGCGATCTTCATGGGTGAGAAATCTACGTCCAGTTTAGGGTAAAACACTCCAGGGGAGTAAGACACTCCTTGCGAGGATGCTCCTCCTAGGGAGTACATTTTAAAACTATTATATAATGAGCATATATACTCTAACATGTACATAACACTTCCAGGAATAACGAGCGGTGAGGCCGTTCAGCTGGCTATACGACGCGATCGATAATAATACCGGTCAACTCGAGTCGCGCACTCTGCGATATCACCTACCTACCGCAATGGACTTACATCAACGCCAGCAACAATAAGCTGTTCGTCAGTGGAGCTCGCAGCCAGATAACTGGCGGCTACTACACCGTGTGTTCTCTAAGCGATGAGGTCTTCAAACCCTGGGAGCCGAACTCAAGATGAGCGACTCAAAGCGGCACAGTGGTGTTAATCAACAACGGAAGAAACTCCTTGAGGCTCGGCCGCCATTGGCGAGGACACTCGGTATGTCACCTGACGAGATAAAACCAACAACTACCGCCACAGGCATGAAGTTACCCGACCTAGTACCGTACCGAGAGCTGTACATTCATCTCAACCAGGTGAGCACAACGGACAACATTCAAGGTGGGCACCCTTCCACTATACTGAGGGCAGTGCGGTTAAAGCGCGGAGAAATACAACGACGGTAGAACCGAAGTCGTTTTCACCGCTGGCAGTATAAGAGGTTGGCTCGGGGCAACATACCTGAGCTGATAATATCGGTGTTAGATATAAATCATAATCCCGTCAATATAGGATACCTCAGCTTAACGCTTCACATAAAATGACCAGCGCACAAGGGCCGGGGTGAAAAATGTGTCAATGTGGGGATCTCCGACCTCGAGGGACACACGCTGGTTTCGACGCTCCCGGAGTAGATGGTACATTGTCGCCTTGCAACTGAAAACAATATTTACAAACGCATTGAAGTCCCCTCCGTGGAGCCCTAGGTGATATAGTAGATACCTCAAGAGCGATTCGTCAACACTAAGTACACCCTAGTCAACACGGTGATGATAAATGGATAATATACCCATCGTTGAGGGGGTAAACTGTTCAACTTAGACGATGTTGAGAGCACTACCATATATGCTTCGTCTTCACTGAAGATGACAAGTGGGTGTTGTTACCCGATAAAGACGACTGGTTTCTTAATATTAGGCTCGGCTCCCCTCGTGTTCACGGATAACAAAGACAACCACCTAAACAAAGTCGTGAACAACGAAACCCTGCTAGTGGCTTACGCCCGACTCAGAGGCGTAAGCGTAGTCATCAGCCCAGTCGCCAGTATGGCAGCCCACATGCTATCGAGTAAACTGGGAATGCAAAACGTGACATTGCAGTTGGTGTCTGAATTCGAAGGCGTGGTCACCATCCTGGAGAGTCTAACGGCGAACTCAACACTGATCATCAAAGTCTACCTAGGGGAACAATCACGGGTGATGTCGAGATCGTGAAGGGGTCAAACTTCGGATGGCTTAAACGACACCAGTATCACGTTTGCACAGTTTACGTGCGGGTGGGTGTCGGCTCCAACACCAGTCTGCAGGGTGTCACCGTGATCGTGGAAGACACGATATCACTAACCAAGATCTTCCTACCTGGCAACATACACTTCATGGGGGTGAAGTTCACCCCTGAACTATTATCAGAAAACCAGTTGGAAACTATATCGTAGTAGTATTATAGCAATGACCAGTCATCACCCCAACACTATGCTTAACGACCCTAGGGGACACGGAGGGATTCGATCAGCCTGGTGAGGAAGGCTCATCGTCCTACACTTGAAAGACAAGCGTGTATAGGCGGATGACCCTAGCAGACTACAAAGAACCCAAATGGTTAATCAACATGATCCTCGCCGCACCTTATATCTCACTAGACAAAGATGGCTATGTCTCTGAAATTAGGAACAACGGTATCTTACTTGCGAGTTTCATTCCGAGTAGTGGGCCAAAGAAAGTCCAGCTATTAACGGATCACACGGGTAACATGTTATATTCACTACATGGTGGGTGTGATTCCCTAACTGGATCTTGGTACTATGAAACCAGGTTCCACACTCTTCATAGAAGCATATCTCAAGCTAGTAGATCCTAAAGCGAGAAGTATATCCTTTGTAATTGGGGTGGGAATAAAGTGGGACCCCATACACAATAACCAACGTTGTCATATCACATACAACTGGACCCGTATCGGGTTCTATAAGCACCTTAGTAAGCCCAATGGGGTTCTGGTGGAAATAAGGTCACGCCTATTAGACTCTCGTATATTTACCTGTACTCTTTTCTATCACTTATAAGCCTCAAGTACACTGCAAGCTAAGAATTAAATAGCAGACAATTAAAAGATATGTTATAAAGTATATTATAGGCAAACAGATTGGGTCTATACCCAGTCGTGGAGGAAGTGCTTAAGACCCTGGAAACCGTAGATTGGTTCCGCTTTGAGACAGTTATGTGATGTGAAAGCGCCAACTAGAACAAGACCGCTACACGGAAAGCACTATGTAAAAAGTACCATAGAGCTTTTCAATATCGCGGACGGGCTGACACTGCCCTTATGGCAGCCAGCATGGGACTAGGGGCGGCAGGTGTTGGGTTGTTAGCTACCATCGTAGCTACCCCGTGAGTGCTAGGTATTGAAATAACAGCTGGGGTGGCAGGGGTGTTAGGGTTGGTGCTTAAGTTTGCATCCACGCAGACTACATCGTAAAGGCGTTGAAACACGCAGCCGAGATCAGGGTTCTGGCTGAAGCAAAGCTGAACACAGTAAGTGGCGTATTTCTCAGCGGCACTCACTGACAACAAGATCTCAGAGGAGGAGTTTCGGTTCAATTCTCTCTGAACTCACAAAATATAATAAAATGAAACGAGATTCGATCCAAGTCTCGTAAGTCTGCTATCAGTGAGGACGAAAAAAAGTACATAGAACAAGCGGTGAAAAAGCCCAGCAAGCCTTTATTACAAACACCAAAGAGATTATAGGCGATTCACGTTAAACTGTTTGATTGAGGTCAATGTGGCATAGTGCCCCAGGGTAGACCCGTTAAACCAACATGCTTCACCCATATCCCCGGTAGCTCAGTTGGCTAAGAGGCGGTTGTGAGGAGGTATAACATTGAGCGTTCAGTATCCGCTGGCGTTCCAAACTTTTTATAGTAGGGGTAATGGTAGCAAGAGCTAAGGGTCCGACCAAAGCCTTATTTCACAAATAAGGCTTTGTAGAGGCTTTGTTGGACCTGGTCCAGAACCCCATTGTATATACTACTACCCGATTTTGCTGCCTGAATACTGCTCCAGAGTTTGCTTGTCTGGAGTCCGAGTAATGAAAGAACATTCATGTGTAGAATGTTCAAGCCGTACCATGTGAATATTCTCAAGTGAGTATTCTTGTTGTGTTTAGTTCAGGACATGGCAGGCAAGGAGGAAGCAGATCCCCGGGTAGCAGACGACACAACTCCACCCCCAGCCCGCCCCACCCGGCCAGCCACAGCAAAACCGAAATCTGCTGTCCGAGGCGGAACCACCAGCAGAGAAGTCAAAGAAACCAAAGCGCCAAAGGTGAAGTAAAACAGAAGACGGATACAATTGATGTTCTTGCTAGTTGGGACAAAGTTTTTAAGCTCCCGCCCCCAAATAATTGTTTTTTACAATGACAAACTCTTGGCAGAAGTTAGGGATTTCATACCTGATTTACCTCCTATACTCATCCTCTGGCAACTAAGGTTCATTTAAGGGGTGAGTTGTTGTCACAGTATGTGGAAGAATGGGCCATGATGGAATGGGATAAAGACATGTTGTAAGTGTGTTGGAGGGAATGAGTGACTTTAGTTTTACGCCACACTCAGCAATATTCCAGCTTTATTTCGGCGGTCTGTAAATAAACGAGTCTGGACCATACAATCCAGTGATCAACAGCATGAACATCGATCTGCGCAATTGGGAACCAATGACATGTGTCAACCAAGTCGGCGAGCCTGACAACCCGATCCCGTTAGTCTGGAGGGAATGAAGTGAACATACCATAGCATTTTATACCAAATTTTGCCAAAATTAATTTACATACTGGTAATGAATATTGAAAAAACTTAATCAAATAGCTTACAAAATACAAGTGAAATTCCAGGTATGTACAACCTGTTTTATTACCATCCTTACAACAGCACAGTTCTGTAAGGATCATTTCTATTCTGTGGCTAGTGATGTGTGATTGTGGCAGAATCAGTTTAACTTACAGGAGCCATTGATTGATTACATGTCAGTTTAACCAAATCAGAAGTATTTCAAGGAATGGTTGTCTGTGTACAGGTCGTGTGATGTCAAAAGGGTGGACAATATTCCGGGTAGATAGGGACAAAGTGCCTCTCCCTGCCCTGAAGATCAAGTATAAGCATCACAAACCTACCATAGAGGACTTGCCCAACATCAGGGAAAAGGTGAGACAGTGAGGGGTGTGATATCATAGAGGACCTGCCCAACATCAGGGAAAAGGTGAGACACTGAGGGGTGTGATATCATAGAGGACCTGCCCAACATCAGGGAAAAGGTGAGACACTGAGGGGTGTGATATCATAGAGGACCTGCCCAACATCAGGGAAAAGGTGAGACACTGAGGGGTGTGATATCATAGAGGACTTGCCGAACATCAGGGAAAAGGTGAGACAGTGAGGGGTGTGATATCATAGAGGACCTGCCCAACATCAGGGGAAAGGTGAGACAGAGAGAGGGTGTTATATCATAGAGGACCTGCTGAACATCAGGGAAAAGGTGAGACACTGAGGGGTGTGATATCATAGAGGACTTGCCCAACATCAGGGAAAGGTGAGACAGAGAGGGGTGTGATATCATAGAGGACCTGCCCGAACATCAGGGAAAAGGTGAGACACTGAGGGGTGTGATATCATAGAGGACTTGCCCAACATCAGGGAAAAGGTGAGACAGAGAGGGGTGTGATATCATAGAGGACCTGCCGAACATCAGGGAAAAGGTGAGACACTGGGGGTGTGATACCATAGAGGACCTGCCCAACATCAGGGAAAAGGTGAGACACTGAGGGGTGTGATATCATAGAGGACTTGCCCAACATCAGGGAAAAGGTGAGACACTGAGGGGTGTGATATCATAGAGGACTTGCCCAACATCAGGGAAAAGGTGAGACAGAGAGGGGTGAGATACCATAGAGGACCTGCCCAACATCAGGGAAAAGGTGAGACAGAGAGGGGTGAGATACCATAGAGGACTTGCCCAACATCAGGGGAAAAGGTGAGACAGAGAGGGGTGAGATATCATAGAGGACTTGCCCAACATCAGGGAAAAGGTGAGACAGAGAGGGGTGAGATACCATAGAGGACTTGCCCAACATCAGGGAAAACGTGAGACAGAGAGGGGTGAGATATCATAGAGGACTTGCCCAACATCAGGGGAAAAGGTGAGACACTGGGGGTGGATATCATAGAGGACTTGCCTAACATTGGGGAAAAGGTGAGACACTGGGGGTGATATCATAGAGGACTTGCCCAACATCAGGGAAAAGGTGAGACAGAGAGGGGTGTGATATCATAGAGGACTTGCCCAACATCAGGGAAAAGGTGAGACAGAGAGGGGTGTGGATATCATAGAGGACTTGCCCAACATCAGGAAAAAGGTGAGACACTGGGGGGTGATATCATAGAGGACTTGCCCAACATCAGGGAAAAGGTGAGACACTGAGGGGTGTGATATCATAGAGGACTTGCCCAACATCAGGGAAAAGGTGAGACACTGGGGGTGTGATATCATAGAGGACCTGCCCAACATCAGGGAAAGGTGAGACACTGGGGGTGTGATATCATAGAGGACCTGCCCAACATCAGGGGAAAAGGTGAGACAGAGAGGGGTGAGATACCATAGAGGACTTGCCCAACATCAGGGGAAAAGGTGAGACAGAGGGGGTGAGATACCATAGAGGACTTGCCCAACATCAGGGAAAAGGTGAGACACTGGGGGTGATATCATAGAGGACTCTGCCCAACATTGGGGAAAAGGTGAGACACTGAGGGGTGTGATATCATAGAGGACCTGCCCAATATCAGGGAAATGGTGAGACACTGAGGGGTGTGATATCATAGAGGACTTGCCCAACATCTAAGAAAAGGTGAGACAGTGAGGGGTGGGATATCATAGAGGACCTGCCCAATGTAATGGAAATGTGAGAATTTGAAATTGTGTCAGTAAAGGTCTGCCCAATATCAAAGAAAAGGAGAGACGATCAGGGTGCGTCATTACAGAAGTCCTGACCCAAATCACAGAAAAGTTGAGACATTGAGGGCAATGATGTCAGTCTGCAGTGGTTGACACACTGCACATGTTGTGCCCCAGCATGTGTCACCATGTCCTGAGGTCACCACACTGCAGGTTTTGTTATGCTGCATCTGTTGGTGTTTCCCTGCTGCAGGTGTTGGTGTTTCCCTGCTGCAGGTGTTGGTGTTTCCCTGCTGCAGGTGTTGGTGTTTCCCTGCTGCAGGTGTCGGTGTTTCCCTGCTGCAGGTGTCGGTGTTTCCCTGCTGCAGGTGTCGGTGTTTCCCTGCTGCAGGTGTTGGTGTTTCCCTGCTGCAGGTGTTGGTGTTTCCCTGCTGCAGGTGTTGGTGTTTCCCTGCTTTCCCTCTGCTGCAGGTGTCGGTGTTTTTCCCAGGTGCTGCAGGTGTTGGTGTTTCTCTGCAGGTGTTGTCTTGCACATATCACATATCATGATCGGTGGTGTCATGTCATGTTGCAGGTTTCCAAGGCCATTGATGACTACTACGAGAGTCTACGGCAAGCCCATGTCCAGACTGGGTTGGACCACTGGGACAGAATCTATTCTCACCGCATCCGCTCACACAAACTGATGGAGAACTTCCGTGAAGTGTACCGAGCTTATTCCCCACACAAGCAAGAGGAAGCCTTTGTTGTATGTCCGTGGGTTACTGGACCATTCCGACACATTCCCTCCCCCAAAAATGGCCCTCGCTCTCCTTCTGCCACCCCGTTTCACAGGCAACAGATTGGGGGACGGAAAAGTCCTGACCACGCTGCCCACAGTAGCCGGTCATCTTGCACTGGTCGCAGCTCTCAGGAGGGCCGAACATCGAGGGGAGAGAACAGGCCAGTCAGTGCATTCTGAACACTGGAGCTTTTCAGCCCATTATATACTGATTACTTTAATCATGTGCTTCATGTAATAGTAGGGATAGTAGAACACAAATCATATATATATTGAACATTGGCCTTTCATATTCTTGTTAATATATTCATGGAAAGAAGCTATATGAAGATTATTTAGTTATATTATTAAAGTTGAACCTTTTTAAAATCACTTTTGTTGTAGATGTACTTTTTTTAAACAGACTGATGCACATGTACATGTAGAAGGTACAAAGTAGTTTAGTTTACACATGGTGTATGCTCTTTGATATGTTGTTGTTTCTTTTTTCAACAGAAAACAAAAAGAAAAACTATAAAAAAATCATATGGTGGAATAAACCCCAAATATATAGAGTAATAATAGGGAGGTCAGATGTACTGTCAACATTATTGCCCATTGAGTGTTGTCCATGTACACATTTAACATTGACAATACTCTGAACATTAATCAGTGCATTCACATTAATAATAGAGCCGTCTACTGTTCATTGAGTAAATGATGACGGACCTAATGACGGACCTCCAGTGCCACGCTCTGGTGCAGTGATGACTTGGCATAATGTGACTTGTCCTAGGCTAAATTGTGTATCATTCCAGACATTTCTCTGTTAAATCAGAAGAGACTGGCCTAATGCAAGCTTTCCATTGTTCTCTTCATATTGTTTTGCATAGTTATATATACACATGGAAAAAAGTATCGCCACACTTGCGACTTTTACCCCTCATGTTGCCATTGTGTGACATGTGGATGAAGTTGAATACAAGAACTACTGTATGGCATGTCAAAACACTTTGCATAAATAGTAGTAAGACTGTAATTATAACCAAAGGCTCTAATCATCTACACACATGAGAAAAAGTATCACAACACTCGGATTTTAAATCCCTATATAGCCATTTATATTCATATCATAATTATCTTTGTTTGTATGATTATTTTGACCCCTCAAGTGCACCGTACATTGATTTTAGACTGACTGACTGAATTTGGTTTTACGCCGCTTTTAGCAATATTCCAGCAACATCACGGCAGGGGACACCAGAAATGGGCTTCACACATTGTGCCCATGTGGGGATTCGAACTCGGGTCTTTCGGAGTGACAAGCCAACGCTTTAACCATTAGGCAATCCCACCAACCCTTGATTTTAGAAATGCACATGCTACAATAAAAGGCAAACATCACATGCAATACATGTAAAATATCAACAAACTAATGATATTAAGGACCGACAGCGTTCAGGTCGACCACGAGTGACCACTGCAGGGAGGATGCAGGATACAGATCACGAAGCTTGCAAAGAGAGAATACTATTTTATTGCTCTAACAGTATAAATAATATTCCTATAAAAAATAATACTAAAAAATGTACACAAGAATGAGAAAATTGCAAAAGGTCATCTTACAATGAGAAACTGACCATCACACCACAAACGCATGCATGACCCTAAACACCTGTGCATGATTAACTTCATGATAAGTAACACGTGTGGAATGCTGATAGAAGTAGGACATCAACTAGTGTGATATTGTAGTCACTGCACAGCTGTACTGAAGTGTTCTAATGATTAGGAGCAAACCAGTCTTAAGTCGATAAAACTCACAAAGCCAGTAATCACACATACACTACCAGTAAGCATCAACTTCTCAAAGACAGGCATTTTATGTCAAATCAAAACAGCTAAATTCTCATTTAATGAAAATATTCCAGTTATGCCATAGTCAAACACAACTGAAACATTCTATTTACCATGGCGTCAAAGTTCGGCACTTAAGAAACTGTCAATGATTACTGAAGGACCGTTCATAATTTATGGCTCGGGGTGGAGGGTGTGATGATGATTTTTATGGATAAGCATGTACAATGTGAATTACCCCACCTACAATTTATGTACAAACTCAATGGCCCCCCCTTCCCTTCCCATAATTCTAAGCATAATTTTAAACACATTTTTATGTACAAAATTGCTGACAACCCCACACACACCCAGTATGTGTACAAAATTGATACCCCCTAGCTACCCAAAACAAAATGGGTGACACCCCCCACCCCACCCCACTCCCTTTAAAATCATCATCACTCACCTAGCCATAAATTATGAACGGTCCCTGACCCAGACAGACATTGCACCACTGCACAGGCACGCAGTAATATAACTTGTAACATTTGTACATTCCAGCAAACAAAATATTACAACCTTCTACCAAAATTCACACAGATTAAAATCTATACAAAGAATGGCTGAGATGGATTCGTCAAGTTTTATGCGAAATGACCAGTGAAGTTCCAAGTGGAACACCATGCATGCATTAACATGGGATAAATATCTCATTTATAACATTCTGAGTATTAATATCATTCTGATATACAAAGTTTCTGTGATGTTCCGATATTTTAGTTTCAAGGTCGCCTGATATGAAGGACATTTCATAATACAGTTTCTAGGAATTCTGATATACAGTGATAAAAACAACAAAAAGCAGTAACATTACATGCTCACATGATGCATATCAGTGGAATATCAGTATGGTATGCTGATATGTTTTCCTTTACCAAACATGGAACACAACTTGCTGTGCCGAGGCATCAATTTTCATGTTGATTTCTGGCAAGGTAACAGCAAATCTGATTATTGATCAGGATACTTGGACATCATTTATCAAATATACTCAAGTTTTTAAGCACTTGAGTTGGCAAGGTTTTATGTATCTTGTGAAATATGGTGGCATATATCAAAACATAACTTCATAACATGTAACCAGTGATGGTATAACATATATCATAACACATGACTTCATAACCTGTAACAGATGATGGTATGACATATATCATAACACATAACTTCGTAACCTGTAACAGATGATGGTACAACATATATCATAACACATAATTTTGCAGCAGACATGTATCAACATAAATTGTTAAGATGTAACAGATAATGGTATGACATGTCTCTTAACACATAAATTGTTAAGATGTAACAGATAATGGTATGACATGTATCAAAACACATAATTTTCTGACACGTAATGGATGATTATAGCATGATATGTGTAGAAACACATAATATCTCATGGTACGACATCTATCATAACACATAGAGTTTTAACAGACGATGGTATAACATGTATTATGTATCATAAATCACATTTTGTGGAGAATTCAGGCACACACTATCCTGGTCATGTAAAGAACACAGGGTGTTTGAGCAGCAGATGTGAGCAGATGCACTTCATTGATGACAACCGTCAATATGTTCAAGCTTACGAGTTGACCGACCAGTCGTAATGCAAGTATGAGACCTTGAACTTCTTTGCTGCTAGCACCTCCTTCAGCTGGTCCTTCTTCTCACCTTCCCCCATGTTCTTGTAGACCCACTGTGCCACCTACAACATGACCACACTGCATGACATCATGACAACACTGCATAACTATACGACACCAATGCATAACAACAAGTCCACTCCTTGACCTCGAATAAGAGAACACTATATTACAATGTTGTAACACTATGTAACAACTTGACAACCCTTCTGCAACATGGCAAGCCTAAATATTACCCTGTGTTCATAATAACACCACAACACAACCGTCAACTTGACTACCACACTTCACAACTGCCTCCATTAATCATAGTGGAGTCAACATTGGAAAAAACAATTACAAAAAAAGTTACAAGAATGGTATAACTGCCACAGTTTCGGGTGACCCACCTCCTCACTGTTTTGTCCAAAGTCCACCCCATACCACTTGAATATTTGTGAAAGAAAAAGCGTCTTCTTGGCCACGTCAACCTGACAGCCATCAGGACCATCTAGGAACGCCTCCGCAGCCGTCTGTAGCTGCTCTATCACACCCTGGGGAGACATGATCGACATGTGAGTGTCACATCATCTACCTTGTTGTACATAGGTAACTTTACCGATTGTAGAAACTGTTGTAAATACATGGCAGTCATCGTTACTGGCTGGAGATGATTGAACTTCTTGCTGACAATCATGTCAGTCTTCATGATTAACATGGCAGGCTTCCTGAAGATTCAGGATGGGACAGTTTCTAGAGTGCAGTGTTTCGGTTTGGAAATGACTTCATAACAGACTCATACAAAAGCACTCATGACAGACTTCTTCACCATGTGTCACATTAAGTTCCTCTAGTATCTGTCACACACTGGAGGACAAGCTGCCTGTACTGTGTCACATGCCTTACCTGCCACGTGACCTATATATGACATGTACTACATGACCTTCAGGTGTGTCATTTGACGTATATGTGACATGTCATATCAGTGAATGAGTTAGGTTTTATGTCGCTTTTAGCAATATTCCAGCAATATTACGACGTGGACACCAGAAATGGACTTCACACATTATACCCATGTGGGGAATCAAACCCGGGACTTTGGTGTGACAAGCCAACGCTTCAACCACTAGGCTACCCCACCACCCCTCATGTGACCTACATGTGACATGTGTCATCACCAAACTCTGATGTGTGTGACTTCCTCTGGTGCGTGTCAAGTCAAGTCAAGTCAAGTCAAGTCAAGTCTTTTATTTCGTATGAAGGCCTTCGGCCCATATACCAATATACAAATAGTTATTACAATGATGAATGTTGCATAGGTACACTTTAAACACGCTTAATGTAACATAAGAGGCATGATGAAATACAAATATATTATCCATTAACCAGCCGCTGTCGTAGCTCAAAGCTCAAACATAAATATTTACAAAGATTATTTAATAACTCAGTTGATGCAGAAGATAATAATTGATTGAATTTATAGGTAGACGGATTGTCGTTGTACATTTGTGGCAAATAACAGTTTCTTAAATTATTGTAGCATTCACATATAAGTATAAAGTGAAATTCATCTTCTATTCCTTTATTACATATGGGGCAAATACGTTGATTAAAATCAACTCATGTAACCTATTACCCACCTCTGGTGTGTAGGTCTTGATTGGTGGGCAGCTCTCTGCACCAACACCCCAATCATGTACTTCACTGTGTTGAAGAACTGAAACAACACCCCCAATCATGTACTTCACTGTGTTGAAGAACTGAAACAACACCCCAATCATGTACTTTCACTGTGTTGAAGAACTGAAACAACACCCCCAGTAATGTACTTCACTGTGTTGAAGAACTGAAACAACACCCCCAATCATGTACTTTACTGTGTTGAAGAACTGAAACAACACCCCCAGTAATGTACTTCACTGTGTTGAAGAACTGAAACAACACCCCAATCATGTACTTCACTGTGTTGAAGAACTGAAACAACACCCCCAGTAATGTACTTCACTGTGATGAAGAACTGAAATGGTCCCGCAGGAAGAACTTCCCATTGTTGACGGCTTAAATGACATGTTTTCTGGTTTCTTATATATGGAGCCTGCCACTATGTTTGCGATCTACTCAGCTATTATTAGTGAATGTTAGTGAAAACTCAAAAGGGAGTTCCCAATAGGAAACTTCCCCATAACAAATTCCTAAAGGAGTTCCTCATGGGAAGATTTCCAGAGGCATTTACAGGCAATTATGAGTCCACAGAAACCTGCGCTTGTGATAACAGGGGACATAATCCATGTTTTATGCAGAAATGTGCGTCCTCAACACACAAATGTATAAAATGGACACATAAAAAATATATATTGAATCCCCAAGGCCATACCCAAATACTCACTGTACAAAATTATTGACAAGGACTATAGTTGCTGCTATCAAAGAAAGCATATAGAGAGTTGACACACTGAGGCCTCAAACAACAAAGAAACACACACAAACTGAAGTATCCCTCTAACAATTTAGGTTGAACACAATGTTCCAGCACCACATGACTACTTTAGACCTCATCATGTACAACGTACCTTATAGCGTTGCCACAGGTTGGTGGCGGGCCCCTTGACAATGTTGGCATGGATTACAAGGGCGTTATACACGTTGACGAAGAAGGCAAGTTTCTCCTCACGAGTCGCGTCAACAATCTGGACCCGTAGAAGTTCCTTTGTGAGCTTTGTGTAGCGCTCAAACTCACTGCTACCTCCGATCCCAGCATAATTCACTTTCTGTAATTGTTCATAGAAAACACAAGGTACTTCAAAATGTGTCATTAGAGGCACATTCAGTGACTACACAATATACAGATTGGTAATAAAATCGTATTGAGTGGCATGCAATCTTGACAGATGCATTCATTACACTTTAAAACAAAATTGTAAGCAGCTTTTTAGATTTCACAATCTAACAGTATACATGCAACCTGACACCTGGGACCAGTTTCATAAAGCGATCGTTGCTCTATGACAGTCACAAGTTCACGTTAAAGTATGGGAGTTACGATCATCTTAGAGCTACAACTGCCTTGTGGAATGGGGCCCTGGATCCTAGAGGTAAACTGCCAGGCTGCCATCAACATGTAGCTCGATCTCGGGTTCCAGCAGGTGAGTTGGTGTGACAGCATATATAGTATAGATGCTCATGCTGTCAATCACTGGTTCAGACTAGTCACATGATACCACTGTATACAGTGTTGGGAATCGGAAACCAAAACCACTATCGATTATCGGAGGACTTGTGGTGAACAATTATCGACTATAATCAAAATATATACATTTTTAATGTAATCACCAATTTTAAGGGGTTTTCCCCAGGTTTTTTATAATTAATGTTTTTTTATAACTAATACTGTCATGCAATGAAATGCATGCATGCAAGTAAGACACTGGAATTGTAATTAAACAATACAGGTGGTTAAAATTTTACAATGCGCATAGCTTTACGCTGTTGAGCGCATGTTTGTTCGTGAATATTCATCAAATTAAATGATTAGTATACTTAATTCAAGGGTGTTATACAAAAACAACAAAATTCCGATTAATCACAAATATTTTTGTTTTACAATCGATAATCATTTGTAATCCTTCTTTCGATCGATTTTTTATTTTTTCGATCATCGGAACACCACTAATTATATAGCAGCATGATGCAAACCATGGTATAAAACACTCACTCACTCATTCACTCGAGGAAGTATATGCGACATACCCGACCGTCCTTGGACAGGAAGGCATTGTACAGCTTCAGAATGAGTTTCCTCAGTTCGCCTCCAAGGTCACTGGCTGGAGGACAAAACAAAGCAAGTCAGTTGACCGTGGTCAGAATGTTCCCTTACATTAATGTGTGTTGGACAGAACTGAAGCTGTCAATAGTAAGTTTTCTACAAGAGAACTGAATTCTCAATGCACCATTATCAGACTCAACATGACAGTCAGGTAAGACCATGGAACTGACTTCGCTGTTTCCTGTCCCACACTTACCTTGGCGTGGTTCACACTCCGACATCTGTCCAATATCATTCAGGGCGACAGAGTCGTCATCATCGAGCAGGCGATAGTACACCTTGTCGTCCCGGAATGTCTCCTGGCCAGTCTTGACCTGGTGGCTGAAGTGTTTGTCCACCAGCTGCTGGCCCATCTCCACTGCACGATCCCGCTCTGCATCATCATCATCATCATCATCATCATACACAACATAACCTACAACAACTTCACCTTAGTATAAGCAAAGCTACCCCATCCTCCATACCAATAACATTCTTTCTGTCAGCGGGGCGGTGGGGTAGCCCAGTGACTAAAGCGTTGGCTCGTCACGCCGAAAAACCCGGGTTCGATTCCCCACATGGGTACAATGTGTGAAGCCCATTTCTGGTGTTCCCCGCCGTGATGTTGCTGGAATATTGCTAAAAGCGGCGTCAGTCAGTCAGTCAGTCAGTCAGTCTTTCTGTCAGCCTTGGCTACAGGTCTGGTTGTCTGGAGTTTGCCATTAAACACAATCTGTGCCTTGAGTGAGTGAGGTGAGTGAGTGAGTGAGGTGAGTGAGGTGAGTGAGGTGAGTGAGGTGAGTGAGGTGAGTGAGGTGAGTGAGGTGAGTGAGTGAGGTGAGTGAGTGAGTGAGTGAGTGAGGTGAGTGAGGTGAGTGAGTGAGTGAGTATGGTTTTACACCGCTTTCAGCAATATTCCAGCAATATCACGGCGGGGGACACCACTAATGGGCTTCACACATTGTGCCCATAGGGTGTGCCTTGAGATATCTTTAAAGGTCACATGCAACCAAAAAATCAAACATAATTAAAACACAATTATCACTTATTCATGACATATAATATACATTGCTGGTTACGAAAAAAATATATAAACAAAATTATAAGCGTACAATCGCAAATCGAAAGAGCAAAATTGTGTAATCCGGTTTACTTCCCAAGAAACGAAGCAGCCGGGATACCGAACCCAGTCAGAGAGGGTGGGTGTGCACTCAAGTGTAACGGCTGGTTCATTTGCAGATGCCTTCACGGCTAATTGTGTGAATATATAGAGAGAAATGTTGGGTTTTGTAAATACATGCTCATTTTTTGTGTATAACATTTTGCAATCAACAGACATCATAACATGTCATGTGTTCAAGTATCACACCTGCCTGTCTGTGTAATTACATAATGTGACAGAGACCGAACTCGGGCCATAAATCAATGCATTTTGTTTATGGTGTATAGCCTGATTGGTGTTAAGTTCAAATTGCATGTGGTCAGTGATAGCAGCTGTGTATTGAATATTGTCATTAGCAGACAGGCAGGCAGACACACAGGTGTCAATAAAACAAGACATTGAGTTTTGTCTGTTCCAGCAATATCTATATATCTATATCACAGTTAGAAATTCTGCCCACGCTTAAATAATGACATTGCTTTTAAGCATCGAACTGAGAAAGGCTACTCCGGTAAGAAGAACGGTGGTGAAATAGACAAATGAAATTATATAAACAGTTAATTTACTGTCATAACATACAAAAACGCTACTGTGAGATATATCACAAAACATTAGAAAAAATAGCTCACACCAAAATAATCACATTGTATTCACCCGAACTCCAAGAAAGTGAACTCTATTTACTTGCGACGTGCTACGTGAGCGCGAGCCCAGCTGTTGAAAAATGAAATTTTATAAAAAGTCTGGGGAAAATTAGTGTCATAACGTTTGAACTCGATTTTCGACGTTTTTTTTCATCGCGTTATTTTTCGACTTTATAAGTTGAATTTGCATTTTTGACGATTTGTTTCGGTATGTCCATACCGAAAGGTATCAGAATCTGCAAAGTTGTGTTTTACGTTGCATGTGACCTTTAAGTAATTAGGGTCATATATACTGTTATTATTACTAAGGTTTAGTTAGGGGTTAAATATTATTTGAAAGACTTGATATACGGCTCAAAATTCACTGACATAGTATCTCTTTCCCTCAAACCCTCATGAACAACACAATATTTACAGAACAATTGTGAAAATGCTGATGAACCATACAGTTCCATTCATATTATTGTGATGAAGTGATGTTCAGAACGTGTCAGTGCTGTAGCAATCAATACTGTAACATCAAGAGCACGCTCTTACCCAAACCCTTATTCTTGACAACCCAGTCCACAAACTCTTTCCCCATGAAGGACTTCTTGTGGACGGTGAGACCCTGACGATGGTCAGCAATCAGGCCACTCTGTCTCAGTTCCTGAACAAGTCTTGCATACTCATCTGGCTCACATGTAAAATCACCAGTATCTGAAGAAATATACATAAATCACCATGATAAATAATGAAACTATACCTGCATTCATTCTTAAATCTTTCTGACCAACTTCAAGTTTAACAAACTCTTCTGGTGAACTTCTTGAAACACTTACACTTCTGCTTAACTTCTGCAGCACTTACACTTGTGACTACCTCATGCAGCAGACGTAGACTTATGACATATTCAATACAGAGCATTACACTTCTGGCTACCTCCATGCTGCACACACACTTCTGGCTACCTCCATGCAGCACTCACACTTCTGGCTACCTCCATGCAGCACTCACACTTCTGGCTACACCTATGCAGCACTTACACTTCTGGCTACCTCCATGCAGCACTTACACTTCTGGCTACCTCCATGCAACACTCACACGTCTGGCTAACACCATGCAGCACCCACACTTCTGGCTACCTCCATGCAGCACTTACATTTCTGGCTACACTACCTCTATGCAGCACTTACACTTCTGGCTACCTCTATGCAGCACCCACACTTCTGGCTACCTCCATGCAGCACTCACACTTCTGGCTACTTCCATGCAGCACTTACACTTCTGGCTACCTTCATGCAGCACTTACACTTCTGGCTACCTCTATGCAGCACTTACACTTCTGGCTACCTCCATGCAGCACTTACACTTCTGGCTACCTCCATGCAGCACTTACACTTCTACCTTCACACACACACTTCTGGCTACCAGCATGCTCACACACTTCTGGCTACCTCCATGCAGCTGGCTTATGCATCTCTTACACTTCTGGCTACCTCCATGCAGCACTTACACTTCTGGCTACCTCCATGCATGCTTCTGGCTACCTCCTATGCATCTCTTACACTTCTGGCTACCTCCATGCAGCACTTACACTTCTGGCTACCTCCATGCAGCACTTACACTTCTGACTACCTTCATGCAGCACACACACTTCTGGCTACCTCCATGCAGCACCCACACTCTTCTGGCTACCTCCATGCAGCACTCACACTTCTGGCTACCTCTATGCAACACTCACACTTCTGGCTACCTCATGCAGCAGACATAGACTAATGACACACTCAATACAGAAAGTACATTTCTGACAATCTTCATGCAGCACTTAACACTTCTGTACACTTTTGGCAACCTCCATGCAGCATCTACATCTCTGATGACCTTCAAGAAGTACCAACACTTTCAGCAAACTACCTGCTGCACTAACCAAAGATAAACCACAGAAAGTACATGCTGAAATCTTTAAATGCAGCACTTAACACCAAACACACTTGGGTGAAACACACAGCATCTCAAACATCTCTTATGAGCCCTTCAAAAGTACACACACTTCCAACACACTACCTGCTACACAAAACCAAACACCAAAACACACACACAACAAAACACACAACAAAACACACAAAAAACAAAACACACAACAACACACACTACAAAACACACAACACAAACAAAACACTACAAAACACACAACAAAACACACCTGCATCCTCCACAGCAGTGCTTGGGTCCGGCAGTTGAGGGGCATCTTTAGGTGGCTGATTGTTCTTTACATCTTCGATCAGCTCATTAAGACGTGTCTTGTCTTCAGCAATCTGAAACATCACTTTATACTTTACAATCAATGCTTTTTAACTACAAGAGGTATATCTTTTCCAAGCAAACTTAACATTCTTGCCATGGGATCGTCCTATGTTATTGGTAAAACTAAGAAGACACAACCTCAAGTTAACCCTAACATTTTTATTCATTTCTATTTTGCATCCTGCTCCTTAGAAGGGGACAAAAATTATCTGGAACTTTATAAAGCCTAACCACTAGGTAAATAATACAGAGTTAAATAACATTGTAACTTCATAAACTAACAATATCTACATTGGTATGTAATATTGTATCTAGCTTTTTCGTTGTACACACTAAAATAGATAATAACATGGTTTAAGACAAAGATATACTAAGGGAAAAAAATAAGGGATCACATGAAAGCACAAGTGTTCCTTTACGTGTTTCCAGGTTTCTTCACAAGCTATGTGATACAACGCTTGTGAAGAAACCGAGAAAAAAATAAAGGAACACTTGTGCTTTCATGTGATCCCTTATTTTTTCTCTCAGTATATATACATTCTGGGATAGACACCACCACTGATCTGTTAGTCCATGACAATTGAAAGTCAAAAGGCAGGACTTGATTAAAAGAACTTGACATGCACCAGGCACATCTTGACATGAAAACAAAGTTGCACCAAACAAAACCAAATTATACCTTGCTCAAAAATGAAATTACAAAATCTGAAAATAGGTGGCTCTGCTGCCTGTGTCACATATTGATTACTCACACCTGTAAAATGTTATTGGAATGTGCACAAAATCTTGAAGTAGCCACAGTTTGATTATGTCAAGCCTAAGATAGCATGACAAAGTACAAGTTATACAGGATGAGTGACAGTATGGTACACACACTTGTGAGTGTGATGAAAGATAAACTTTGTAAGGACAAGTAGGGTTAGTCAAACACAAATTTGAACATTTTGAAGACACGAAGATTAGGTTGCATTTTTCCAAAAATAGATTGCACTTCATGTGTTACATATCACAGTAGACTGACTGACTGAGTTTGGTTTTACGCCGCTTTTAGCAATATTCCAGCAATATCACGGCGGGGGACACCAGAAATGGGCTGCACTCATTGTACCCATGTGGGGATTCGAACCCGGGTCTTCGGCGTGACAAGCCAACGCTTTAACCACTAGGCTACCCTACCGCCCCCACATATCACAGTAGAACCCACAAAGGATATTTTTCCTACTAAATCTAGTTATTGCCATAAATGCTCATGCTGTTGATCACTGGGTTGTCTGGTCTAGACTCGATTATTTAGAGACCGCCGCCATATAGCTGGAATATTGCTGAGTGCGGCGTTAAACTAAACTCACTCACTCACTCACTCACTCACTATTGGCATAACTCACTGGCCCCAAATGATCTGTCAACTTGTTGAATATGAATAATGGTCTTCCATGCATGCACTAACAGGTTTGTTAGTTCTAAACAATGTGTCTTGTGAACGGTATTGATCATCAGCCCCAGCTGCATCCAATAACCAAGTCTATATATTATTTAGAAACAGAATCATGTACAGTGATATCACATTATCATGGACTACCTTCCATTGATTTATTGCATTGGACCATGTAACATTATACAAGCAGATGCTTAATGACACCATGGTGTAGTATCAACTTTCAGCTTGTTACAGAATATCAATAATCAATATCAGTATTCTTTGTATGGTTCAAATGGTGTCCAGGAGACTGTATTGATTTTAACTGTATATAGCATGTGACTTAATGTATTTACAAAGACTGTTGTGTCCAAATTTGATGTGTTAAACTTATTGTTTGATCGCTACATCTCTATATTCACCAGTTTTGGTTCTTCAGCTTCAATATAACATTTTCTTACCATATTTGTTCACACATTTCCACATAAAAGTATAACAATTTTGAATTTATCTCCAATATATTTGTGTGGTACACATCTGTACATAGTGATCCCATTTTATCATTTAGCTGTTTAACATGTTTAAATAATGTCATTTGTATATTTCAGGAAAAACAGTAACTAATATATATTTATTTGATTTATTTCAGATGTATGATTTATGAACAATCAAATCTCTTTTCAGGCTGCATAAGATATTTAAGCAGTTGTAAGTCAAGTAATATCATTAAAGCTCTTTTCTTTTGTTAAGTGCACTGCACTGGGTAAGTCCACTTCAGTGTAAGGTAGATCAGCTATCAATCAAAGTATAAGCCTAGATGTTTTAATGATTGGCTAGTTTTGAATTTGGTGTCCTACTTTTAAACCCTTTGTTTTAACATCTGCATTTTACACACAACAATCTGGACTTGAGTACTGACAAGATCAGACACTGAAGGGGTTAGTAGTTACTACATGTATTATTATGTTCTTGTTATGCCATTCTAATGTATAGATCACTCTATATCAGATAATGTTATGTTTAAACATGTCACACAAACTTTGTGTGTATGTGTGTGTGTGTTGAGTGATGTGTACAAGAAATATATTTGATTGTATGTGTGGTTTTGTTGATCAGGTACTAACCTGTATTGTTTATTACTGAATGGATAATAGTATAGATGTAATGTTTAGATGTGTAAATAAATTAGTACTCATGGTATATTTTATATCATGAACAGGTTGATGCATCATTGTCACATTGTCAGTTGCGTAGACCGCAACACCCCCGTGGGAGTCACAGGGTACATATATTTACATCTGTTTATATAGTATACATATTAAGGCTGTAACGATTCACTCGCATATTCGTTGAATCGAACCGTAGCCATTCATGAATTCAATTCGTTATTCGTGGTAACCAGAACCGAATACTAACGAATATCTACAAAAAAAATTAAGGGAGCACGTGTTACTTGAACCCTTGTTTACTTTTGGAAAGTGAGATGTGCAAGAAGGGATTATGTACTAGCCTTGCAGTAGCGTAAGTCATCTGAGTTTGCCAAGGCCTCACATGGTACTGTTGATTAACTATTACATACCAAATTTTTAGTGTCAGGAGATCACTGGTTATTGCTGTGACAAATTAACACTGTCAACATGGGCGTCCATATTGTGCATAAATAACTTAACTACAATATTGTATTCGTGAATAATTATTCGTATTCATTACCCAATATTCATGATATGTATCATATTCGCCACATAGTGTATTCGTTGCAGGCCTAATACATATATATGTATATCCTTTATATCATAAACACATTGTTCTGATTAATTGAACATAACAACATGCCATATCTGTATTGCACATGTAACTGCAACGCTTAAGATATGTCCAGCTTATACAAACTATTAATATCTGTATCGCTTATGATTATGTGATTTGCTGCTTTCAAATTAAATTTGAATTAAGAAAGATTTACCCGTAAGCCCCGTATTTATCATTAGTATTAGTGAGTTCACATCCGTTCTGATACATGCTAACACCACCCTAACCCTACCCTTTCATTTTCATTTTCACTACAACACCAATTTACACGTTGACATTTCAAGCGGGGATTACAGGCAGAACTCTTACCTCGAATTATGAGATAGGAGAAACTACATTCTTATAATCTCATTTATTGTTACAGGGTGTCAGTTTATCACTCACAAGTTTGTATCAGAAATAAATAAACAGACCTCACACCCTGGCATGTGCATCATGATTACTTCACAACTACACATTAATGGCTATTACATTTGAACAAGAATCAAAGGCATGGTTATGGGTGAACCATTCATACAACTTTTGGGTTGTCCATTTCCTGCTGTTTCCTGTCTGTGTACTACATTAGACCTTCTCTAAGGTAGTCAGTGTGTTCATTCATTTTCACCAGGCAATTTAGGTGCCATTTTGACAAGTCTCTGTATTACCTGATTTGTTTCTGCACAGAACAGAAATAAGCAGGGAGGTAGTAGATTCCCCTGTACATGTCCTAGCACAACACCAATACATTAGGCACAATCCGAAGGTTAATAGATCTTACTATTAATCCTAGCTAACCACCAAACACTTCCCGTGACCATTCACTACCCATAGACACCCATCCACCCGACCATACCCACAAAACACAATAACAACTATTGTGCTCCACACACAACACCAATGACTTAGCACAACGTGCATATATACTCTATATATAATCTGGAAACACATAAATCAATCTGTGACTCAACACTCAAACCACCCAACCAAATCCTTCACAAGCATATTCAGGGTCCACTTCAGGCCTGCTGCCTAGAGTGTCTAGGTCTGGGGGCGGTGGGGTAGCCCAGTGATTAAAGCGTTGGCTCGTCAAGCCGAAAAAACCGGGTTCGAATCCCCACATGCATACATTATGTGTGAAGCCCATTTCTGGTGTCCCCCGCTGTGATGTTGCTGGAATATTGTTAAAAGCGGCGTAAAACCAAACTCAGTCAGTCAGTCTAGGTCTGGTGTCTACTGTATCCAGGACAGCTGATGCCTTTACTATACCTCAGTTAAACCCTAAAACCACAGTAACAACTGACTGCTTAGCTCTACCCTCACCCACCCATGTCTTCATACCCCTGACACACACCACTGATAATCCCAGACCCTCTCCATAACTCACTCTCTTTGCAACATACACCCCACAAACAGGTTAATTAATTATCTTACTGTAACTCTCACCTCACCCCAGCCTACCATGTATATATAGCTACCCCTCGACCCACCCCACCCTACTGACAGTCACGCCCTCACCAGTTTTTGTAGGTCGTCGTTCCCACCGACGTGAACTGCATTGAAGAATATCTGCGGCACCGTCTTCTTCCCCGTACGTGTCTGCAACTCCTGACGACACTGTGGGAACTTGTCGAGACCGACATCAGAGTATGGTAACCGGAGTTCCTGCAGACTGTTCTTGGCCCGCATACAGTGAGGGCATCCGAGGATGGAGTACACGATAACACGTCCTTTCAACTCCATTGCAGGTAAGTGTTTGAATGCGGATGTAAAGCTCTGCGCAGACGACACGCGCGACAGTGCCCGTATTGACTGCCTCGCTAAGTAAAACTGCCGATTCACGATTGGAAATACGAATTGCCATGTCATTGTTGATGCGAGCTGTAACCATCGCAACAACATAAAAGTGCATTTGCATATAAATGCACACAATGCCGGACGCATGTAACGTTTCTGTACTCACGAGCCAAGGGACATAATCCAGGCACCAAAGACTGGCACGCGATTCGTATCTTGAACCAATACGGCTATGTCAAATGCAGGTACAGATCGTTGATCTGGGCTCGTGATCACTCACCCACCTGTCTGATGATAATAATTCAATCTCGTCAACACAAATTGGCAAAATATTTGACGTGATTTCAATGAGATTGAAGGGCAATCGTGCTGCGAGTAGAGCACGTTTTTCATAAGAGGCTAGGAGAGATAACTGTCCCAATTAGATAACAGCTGTTAGTGCGGCAGCAAACGGCACACACCTTTTCTAAACAATCTATTTGGTTGGTCAAAATATCAAAATACTTCTTTTACCTTAAATATATATTATTTATATCATTTGATTCAGTCTGTCGGTTCAGTGGGAAAAAGTAAATTCTGGTTCTAAATTACCATAGATTTTGTACAATGCCCTGACAATGCTATGACGTCATGAACTTGATGACGTCACAATGCTATGACATCGCTGCACTGCAAGTCTAATGGCAGTACCGTGTTCACAGATGTACATGTTTCATTGAAAACTAAAGAAGAGTGATTTTCGATGATAAATATAATCTCACCCTCGTGTCTTCTGATATCAAATATTCTCTATGTATTCCATCATTAAATACATGTGATAAAGTTTTTGCCAAGTGTGCAATGACGCAACAAACCTAATCACGTCATATCCTGTCATTGTTGACGTCACGATTTCCAACGTAGAAACAGACGTTTCACCGACAGGGGCTTGTAACCCTAAAAACTGCCATCAAGGTATGTACTGTCACTAACGGGGTCTTATCACTATATAAAAGGAAAGGGATGTAACGAGGTCAAGACACCAAGTTCGTTTCAGGGCGAATTCAACAATGATCACTGTATCTGTCCCATTTAAAGTATGCACACATTTCAAGCCAATAGATTTACCTACAAAATAAGAGATAGAGCACAAAAATCGAAGCAGTACTTTGGGAGCTAGGGTCATAGGAAGCTCGTTACACCCCTTTCCTTTTATATAGTGATAAGACCCCGTTAGTGACAGTACATACCTTGATGGCAGTTTTTAGCGTTACAAGCCCCGTGGTTACACTACACCTTATTACAAAAACGTTAGTTTTACATTTGTCTGTACACATCAAGTCACCTAAGTGGGTGATATTCAGGCTATATCACGGCATGGTGTATTTACTGGCATCGTGAGCGAGGTCCCGCGTGAAAAAGTTAATTTACAGATAAACTTTACTAAGAACAGCCTAGTTGTTGAGATGACGTGATGTGATCAATCTTTGACGTCATAACCAATGGAGGATTTCATATCAACAATGAAGCACACTGACGTCATGCTTGACCATTCAGCATTACTGACTGAGTTTAGTTTTACGCCGCTTTTAGAAATATTCCAGCAATATCACGGCGGGAACACCAGAAATGGGCTTCACACATTGTACTCAAGTGGGGAATCGAACCCGGGTCGTCGGCGTGACGAGCGAACGATTTAACCACTAGGCATTAAGACATTAAGTAATTGACTGACTGACTGACTGAGTTTGGTTTTACGCCGCTTTTAGCAATATTCCAGCAACATCACGGCGGGGGACACCAGAAATGGGCTTCACACATTGTACCCATGTGGGGATTCGAACCCGGGTCTTCGGCTTGACGAGCCAACGCTTAACCACTAGGCTACCCCACCGCCCCTAGTCAGTAATGGAAAAATTGCGAGTCACACTAGCTTAGTGAAGGTGCACTGAATGACTCGGCGAATAGCTGATCGATGCAACAGTAATTTCTTCTTTTGATGTTGGTCATCCGATGCCCAGGCTTGCTGACCAAACCAAACTCAGTCAGTCAGTAATAGAACAGATTTCATGTGGAACACTCATTAGAAATCCCACTGTCTTTCATCTCCGTTATACGGACGTCATGTAGGTGAAATATTGCTCAGTGCGGTGTACGTAACACTCCAAGTCTATTTAGATGTTTTTGGTGACGTGATTCAGTTGAAGCTGTTCAAAGTTAACGTGCACGTAACAGACATTGCAACTGACGTATAAATGTAGTAAAACGTTGTAACACTAAAGTCTATTTAGATGTTTGTGGTGACGTGATTCAGTTGAAGCTGTTGAAGTGAACGTGCACGTAACAGACATTGCAACTGACGTATAAATGTAGTAAAACTTTGTAACACTAAAGTCTATTTAGATGTTTGTGGTGACGTGATTCAGTTGAAGCTGTTCAAAGTTAAAGCACGTAACAGACATTTGACGTATAAATGTAGTAAAACGTTGTAACACTAAAGTCTATTTAGACGTGACGTGACAGTTGAAGCTGTTCAAAGTTAATTGCAACTGACGTATAAATGTAGTAAAACGTTGTAACACTAAAGTCTATTTAGATGTTTGTGGTGACGTGATTCAGTTGAAGCTGTTCAAAGTTAACGTGCACGTAACAGACATTGCAACTGACGTATAAATGTAGTAAAACGTTGTAACACTAAAGTCTATTTAGATGTTTGTGGTGACGTGATTCAGTTGAAGCACTAAAGTCTGTTTAGATGTTGTGGTGACGTGAAGTGAACGTGCACGTAACAGACATTGCAACTGACGTATAAATGTAGTAAAACGTTGTAACACTAAAGTCTATTTAGATGTTTGTGGTGACGTGATTCAGTTGAAGCTGTTGAAGTGAACGTGCACGTAACAGACATTGCAACTGACGTATAAATGTAGTAAAACGTATAAGGATGCCTGTAATTATGTTTTGTGGAAGGAGTGTTTTGAAATCTATCTAATTTTGCTAAACATAGCGACATGCTTTAATACGATGCGTACTAATGTGGTATGTAGGGATGACTGAAAAGTGTCAAGTCTAACCCGAAAAATGTTTATGATGTACTAAACAGTATCCAATAATTATTAAGTACTAGTGTTGGGAATTGGTTAAAATCTCATAATTGATGAAAAAAATTGTTAATGCAAAAGGTGTTCCAGAATTGTTTGTATTCGATTATGAGAAAACATTATTGATTGCTTGGTCGTTTAGTCACTGCGACCAATCTTCGATTATTTCAATTAATGGGACCAACACTATTAAATACAATACTTCCATGTTGCAGGAAGCATTGAACCGAAGACACAGACAACACATGTCTGCAGGCATCAACGTGACAAGGAAAGTGGAAAGTGTTCTCCAAACGGAACAGCTAACTCGGGACTGACAAATAAAGTGATTGTATTTAACAATGTGTCTAAAAAATACCATAGATAAAATCTGAAAGGAACCCAGCACAACTCTTCATTTCAGGGACTAACCTAGTCATTCTTGACGAGTTAGATTCCTTCTGTACACATTATCCAGGGTCTGAGTGAACGGCTAACTGCAACATCCATCCAGGTGGACATGTTCAGTTAGGGGGTGATGTTCCTCCCTTTACCATTGTTAGGGGGTGGGCTGAGTTCAAAGATTTTTTTTATAATTAAAATGTATTTTAAGACATCTTAACATGCAGTTATATCACAAAATCGAATTTGCGATATTTAAAAGTCTTAAGTATATGTTATCATTTGAATTTGCGATATTAATAATTCACCTGATCAATGAATTGCTGATATAATAATACAGGTGAAAATAGTAAAATGGCGCCTAATAATACAGTAGTTATCTCTGATGAGAATGACAAATGCTTCAGCGTAGTACTTTGCAAGGTTTCTGACCCCTAATCAGGTTCAACACCTCTCCTTAGCAAACCCTACTGATTTTGTTGAACATTCTTTAACCATGGATGAGTCTTGGTTCACCATTTCTCTTCCAGCCACGTAACAGCAATAAATAAGTTGACACAAAAGTCAAGAGTGAATATGGATTTCCATCGCTTTTGATGATCATCCAGCAACTATATTTGAGGTGTTGGCACACGAGATAGGAGCTTCAGACATTGTTCCTTTGTGTTGGATCAAACCACGGCCTTCAGCTTCATTGCAAACGCTTCAACCCCAAGTTTAGCGAATCACCAAGTCATGAGGTTAACCACTTTTGTAGACCAACAAGCATGTGTTCCAGACAAACCAAGGTCACTTTTGAAGTTCAATTCCAGAATCGACAAATCCATGCATGAGTAAAGAGCATTAAACCATTCCCACAAAGTAATGAGGCTTCGATACTTTAACGAACAAAGAACAAAACATTCTGTGAAATGCGTTTATTCTGGAAGAGGCATGTGGCGGACATGGTGCTGCCACCAAGTATCACGTTGCCGGTATACAGGGGCAGACAACCTCACATAACACAGTTTGTTCCTATACACTTCCTAACAGCTCTTCAATCAAAAAATATTATGTTGATTTATTTTTTTACAAATAAAAGTGCAATATATTGAGTAAGTGTGGTTTTCTGTGAAGTATCCTGTCAGAATGTCCGGCTATTGAAGAAACATATCTGAGAAAGAGAGCAAGTGAGACAAAACCCATCGGTGCAACATTGTGTATTTATGCCAGGATTCCATATTGAAAATAAATAAGTCCTATCTTAACATAAGACATACCGTTAAAAAACAGCATACCAGTCCTTTACATCATGCCATACTATTGTATACCTTTCCAATAAGTATGTTATAACACATGCCGTAATTCATGTTATACAGCAACCTCTATGTTATAACATCTCACACACCCGAATGTTATAACACCACAAGATTTGTAACCTTGGCCCACACCTGGTTGGGACAGTCTGAAGGCAGGAGTGCTTGTTAATATTTTCATCAATTTTACAGGTTAGGCCTTTGCCACAGGAAAACCAGAGGCATTTTGTTTTATCAGTAAACATATACTGTTGTTGACAAATACTGCTGCAGCTGTCAATGGGGATGTAACCAATCATCCCTTCTTCCCTGTAGTCTGTGCCACAATGAAAATCACCTTACAGACAAAACAGATCACTCTTATGCAAATACTGAGGACATTTCATGTGGTATTGCCCCCCAAAGAGCATAACTGACACATGATATACAAATGGTCTAAAGCCATCTCCAGTCAAAATGTCCAAATTTTTCAAAATTGGATTTAAGTCTCCAGTAAGGATCATCGAAAAACCTCTGAAGTACCAAGACGCTTTAAATCAAAACATACTGTTTTGTCACCATCACATGTCAAATTGTTTTGTCCCCTTCTTAAAAGGCGAAAATGTTGAAGCCGGGATTAAGTCACTTGTGATTAATAATTATTCCCTAATTCTGAAATTCCAGTCTTTGTCCTTGGAATATCCTCTTTCACAAAGAAAGAGAATAAATCCAAAACCCCTTTTTTCTGTATGCCACAACCAATGCCAAGTCAATCTTTGATTACATAAACTCAAGAGTCATTTATAGAACACTAACTTCCCACTGGACCTTTCTTATAACCAATAAAATATCTATACATGCTTGAAGAGACACTCCATGGAAAGGCAATCTTCCATGTCACTACCACTGTCAAATCCATAACTTAAAACTGTCCCAATTGTCAAGTTATAAATTCATCACCATCATGAGATTTTGTGACTAGCATGTTTTTGTATCTGCAGAGAGTCACCAGGCAATGGCCAGTCCTTAGACATCTACAGCATATCCACGAGGCAGCCATTGACCCAGGAAAGATCAGATTACCCTGTGAATGTTTCATCAATGTCTAACCATGCTATTGAGACCCCACCCAATAACATTTGACACATCCTGTGCAGTAAAAACACAAGTTGGTTCTACTGGAACAACCACTCAGCCAGTGTTAATATCTGATGTAACTTGTTGGGATACCTTGTCATGGTACGGCACTTGTCCTAGTTTAATTTCATTAAAGACATCCTGTGGACCTAACTTTACAGTGGATGCGACAAGTACTAACACACTGTGTTACTCAGAGGTGGCCTGTCACATCAAGCATGGCAACCATGACGGTCATATCCAACTCATGTGGCAGTCATATCCGATTTCTTTTTTGAATATCATCATGTCATATCACAAACGCTGCAAATATGACCACAGTGAATTCAAAATTATTGTGTCACCTAACAAAGGTCCTATCAGTGTAAAGAGGCTTGACCAAACTGAACTGAAGATTTACCACTTTGTTTAATTGTTAAGTTGGTGGAACTGGTCCGCCTAGTCACCCAGCTGACTTTCACATAGGGCACTTGTAACAAGTGTCAGCCTGCATAGGAAACAGACAGCACATCTTGCACCATTGCCTCTTTCAGTGATGCTTCAATGAGAAGACAGCCACCCTTCAGAAAATCTCACTAAAGTTGAGTCGTTCCAAACTGCATTATACATGTTACCATGGTTACTTACTTAAGCTGTACATGTCTGACTTACAACTACAACAGGTTACCACGGTTACAACTGGCCAGAACCATACAACACTCATCCTTCAAGCACACTGCAGGCAGACAGGCAGATAGGCAGGCGTGATATGGGAGAGCAGTCACTACTGATAATACAAGATACATGAGCTCTGAACTAAAAGCAGGATCATTTGGAGAAGTTGACTGAACACATGAGCTTCTTGGGAAGAGATGACCTTGAGTGGCCCTGGCGTTCACATCTCAGGGGTCACCATATATACATTAAAATGTCAACCATCTAGTTGCTTGGCAACACTAATGAGCAGAAGCCACCAGGAGGACAGCCGCGTATGTATGTACAGCCAGTTCGTGGACCAGATACATGGCCCCACCGAAGCACAGGGTTGTCTGGGTTACATTAAATCCAATGCCAACCTCCCCTCCTCTTCCTCCTCCAGTTGAGGCAGAGTCTGGCAGATCAGTTGTCCTATCTTCACTCCGACACAAGCAGTCACAGTAATATGTACACATTACACAAGCAGGTCGGCCAACTGGCTCTCCACACAACATGGCGTCACCAACACCTCACAGCCATGTCCTGCACAGATCCCAGGGAGGAGGAGCCAACCCAATCCATTATCAGTGAATGGCGCCCAGACATGATGGACATTCAGACAGGCAGGCAGACAGACAGATAGACAGACGACAGACTGGTGATGTTGAGCTGCAGCAGGCTGTTGGTACCGGGCGCCACCACCACAAGTCACACACTGTTTGTGTTTAGATAAAAGTACCCCCTAACAGCATCGTTTACTGCCTGAGTCCATATGTTTTATATCAACACCTTTAGGCTCAGAGTCCCGTCCTGGGGTCTGAAATGACAAACAGGAATCTCAGCAACAATGACATTCATAGGCATAATACTTGCATCAGAACCATTTGGTTTTAAGCATCTTTGAACAAAATTTCAGTTATATCAACACCTGTCTGTTTGTATGAGAAGGAAAACCTAAAGAGATGCATGTCTCAAGATGTTGACCACTTTAGTGCTCCAAAACAACTAATCAGGCTTGTGTCAGGCTGGAACACTGATAAACGCTTTCTGACAAACCCAAGGGATGTAACTCTGCACAGACTATTGCAAAATCACCCTGATGATCCAGTCATTACATATCAAAAACATTGAATATTCAAAATTTTGATATGTAATGAAATATGTAAGTGTTCCTATCAGCTAACATCTGGAAGGCAGGGTTTCTTGATGAAGAGGGTAAAGACGAAGTTACGAGTCTGCCGTGTGTCACACTGTTCATTGCTAAAGGCCACACTCAGCAATATTCCAGCTATGACTGACTGAGTTTGGTTTTACACCGTTTTTAGCAATATTCCAGCAATATCACTGCAGGGGACACCAGAAATGGGCTTCACATTGTACCCATGTGGGGAATCGAACCCGGGCCTTCAGCGTGAGGAGCGATCGCTTTACCCACTAGGCTACCCCACTGCCTCTATTCCCGCTATGTCTATTGTCAATAAACAATGAGCCAGACAGTGACTGATATCATGAGCATCACTGACTGACTGAGTATGGTTTTACGCCGCTTTTAGCAATATTCCAGCAACATCACGGAGGGGGACACCAAAAATGGGCTTCACACATTGTACCCATCATGAGCATCAATCTAGGTTATTAGGATACAATGCCATACACCAAGCAAGTCAATAAGTCTTGCCACCTGATAGTTGCCTCCTATGACAAGCAGGAGTTTCTGAAGGCCAAGTCTAAACATAGATAACCTGGATTTTCAGACATATAACATATTGATCACAGAACTGAAGGTTCATACTGTTGATCTGTTTCAACACTTTAAAGACTACAATTAAGAAATTCTGTTCTTACCTTGTTTAAAATTGCTTGTGCTAAATCCATGAAAGCTTTTTCAACATTAATATTAGCTTTAGCACTTGTCTCTAAGAATGGAATATTGTGTTCCCTGGCAATCTGTAAAACAAAAGTTACCGTGGTTATAGGCAAGACTATGTTCAAAACATGTATGGGGTGTTCACCGTGTAATTTTACAGATGGACATCCATGCGGATCCCTCACGATCCCTCAGTCCACCCATTACAACCCACCCCACAACTCCAGAACATTTACATTTCCATCCGTTGGTGCAAACATTCACTATAACCCCATCACACATGCTCTGAGGTATCAAACATTCACTATTATCCCAACAGACATGATCCAAGCAACAACACATTAACAAGTACTTCTTCCTCCCCATAAACCGCCAGACAAATAAACAAGCCAAAGCCTACTGACCACATCACCACGATCCTTCGACACCTGACGTTTGTCCTCCATGTCACACTTGTTACCCAAGATCATCTTCTCCACATCCTCATTTGCGTGCTGCAACAACAACAGGGTGTATCAGCAATACAATCATGAGGTATGTCAGCAATACGATCATCAGGAATGTCAGCAATACGATCATCAGGGGTTGTCAGTAATAAGATCATCAGGAATGTCACCAATAAGATCATCAGGGATGTCAGCAATAAGATCATCAGGGATGTCAGCAATAAGATCATCAGGGGTTGTCAACAACAATTCTACATCTACCTACGGCCTCAAATGACTTTGCTGAATTGCAACGTAATTATATTAAATGATTTATATATGAACAAATATCTGGTTGAATGAAAACTAAATCTACCTCGTCGATGTTGTGGAGCCACTTTGAGATATTTTCAAAGGTCTTTGCGTTGGTGATGTCATACACCAGCATGATGCCCATGGCCCCACGGTAGTAGGAGGTGGTGATGGTGTGGAAGCGCTCCTGTCCGGCAGTGTCCCTGAAGAGCAACATATCCCATAGCAACATCTAACTCAACTGCTACAGTCTTCAAAATGACCATGGGCACTGATGTTCTTCAGGATTTGAACTTGACAGAACCCCTAAATCTTAAACTTTGACATATTCTTGTGCCATGACAAGCATCCCTTGTATAATTGTTTGATCGACATTCAAGAAGTTGGTGTGTCAATAATAATGCATACGAATAATGCATACGACATTATGGATAACAACTTTTTGTTATTGCATAGAAGCATTTTCAGCTTGAAAATGGTGTCCGAATCTACACCAAAACATTGCTCTCTACAATAAACAAAAAGTTGTTACCCTGTATACTTATAAGTGAATACAGTTTTATGCCACTTTCAGCAATATTGAAGCAATATCATGGCAGAGAACACCAATAATTTACATGGTTGGTATGTAGAACAGTCAGTCAGCAATATTTTGGCAAGGCCAGACAAACCAGTGGTTGATAGTATGAACAATGACCTGTTCGGATACAGTGACATGTATGCAACCAGGTCACAGAGCCTTACCGCCTAATCCAATTTACTTTTTTCTTAGTCACCTCTGTAACGCAATACAGTACTGAGGTGCTGGACTCAAAACCAGGAACCCACTGGCTCACCTCTGGCCAGCTGGTATGCAGCAACACTGCATTAAGCAATTAGTCAGCTAATTATGCTGAACATTTAATCTAACCATAGATTCCTTACCATATCTGAAGCTTAATCTTCTTCCCACCAAGTTCCACAGTTTTGATTTTGAAATCAATTCCTGTATGAAAAACAGCACAATATCAATAGAGACACAGACTTTTCAATTCGACATTGCCACATCACATAACACAGGAGGTAGCTGAGTGAGACCTACTGAATTTATTTAAAGGACTCATAAAACTATGGTTTCCAAGGCTGCCAGTAACTAGTAGAATGTGTTAAGTCAGGTAACTTCAATACTTTCCTCATATGCAAATGTGCATAAAATAAATAGTCACCTTCAAGTGATACATCATGCATCCAATTTTTATCACTTCCATTAACCTAAAAAATATTAGTTACAAAAAGCATTTGGCCATATTTGCATAAGCTTTAAAAAGGGAAAGACGTGTCATCACAAAAAATACTGCTTAAAAAAATGATTCAACTTCATATTAAAGCGTAGTAAAGGAATGTATCTGTGGTACGCCACCACTGAAACTAAAATCATCTGGCAATGTCACCATGTATTTACAATTGTCATGATTATGTACAAAGGTCAAGAAGGCAAATATGCTATCCAAGCTTGCCCTCTGGCTCTTTTTATTATTCAACTTCACTGGTATGAACCTAACCGTACAAGGACAGACATCAGTGGTTATTTAAGAAATACACTTCGCTCTACCACCATGTATAGTGTAATAAAACACACTTTTGCCCTGAACTATTATAGTTAAAGCACAAGGACGCTTGCGTCCGAGTGCTTTAACGTTGTAATAGTTCAGGGCGAAAGTGTGTTTAATTACACTATACATGGTGGTAGGGCGAAGTGTATTCTTTCTAAGATGCCAAATTTAATACTTTCTAAAGATAATTACAATTAATTTAAGGCAGAAAACAAACGACTGTGTCGGTGACCTAAATTAAGAATCCTCGCACAGGGCTAACTGGCGCACTGTTTTATTGATGTGTCTGCCCCCTACGTTAAGACGAACGTTACCAGAAAAAAACAAATGATAACAGTTTGATGACGGTTTACGTTCGGATTAAATATCTTCTCTGAATTATTTTAATTACATCTGTCATTAACGTAAACCATATGGGGCAATATGAACGTTGTATTTCTACTACCAGCGTAAGTTTAGATCAGTACATCCAGAGGAAGTTGAGTAGTCAAGCGACATTCCACAATTGCATTATGGGAATGTAAACATTACTTAACGCTACCGTGTCGCTGAAAACTTGTGAGTCGAAATGACACATTTTAACCGTCGGAAAACATAAACATAATGTTTCCACCAGTGATGTTAGCTGCGTGAAGCAACAGCAAACCAAGAAACTGGATGCAACGGTGTAGTTTACTGTAGGAGGCCGTACGAGGCGATGACAACTGACATGCATCGTGACGTCGCTTACATTGTGACGTAATGTAAAATGGTTCGATCACGAGGGGGCACACTAGAATGGCGCAGTGACGGGATAACGTCATTCAATTGTTACGTCATCAAAAAACTATACCTTTATTGTCTGATAATGTATTTTTTTTATTGTTCTAACCGCTAGGCATCTTAGAAAGCAAAATAGTCTAAAGCTTATTTCGGACATGTGGTTTTCAACAATAACAACAGAAATAATATGGTTTTAAAAAGACTTTCACAAATTTCAACCCGACAGACTTGTGGTTGTGTCATCTGTGCAAAGTCACTTAACTCCAAAACAAGGATCTTAACCCTGCGGTTTCATTACTCCTGCATTGTCAAAGCCCTAAACAATACGCTCAAATAAATACATTAAGCAATCTCTCAGTGTGTGATTGGATTAACCCATATACACCGGAAATAATCCCCTTTCAATACATGTTTCACAAGCTTTTCATCATGTTTCCAGAGTGATCATGGTGACTCATGTAGGTCTCCTTCAATGTCTTCAACTTGCATGGAATAGTTTGTAATAGTTCTAAAACTGGTTACTTAGAACTCTTTAATGGTTAGTTGATACTAACTGCTGGGTCCTTTGTTAAAAGACATATCTACCAATGTTCCACCTAAATGACAGCCGTCCATAAATAAGAGTATGAACAAGGAAATCTAGTTACTCACATCAAGAGCACCAATCTGGACAACTGGGATATGACAAGCAATCAACAAAAACAGAGTGTACACATTCCATTTAATCCATTATAAAGCAGGACATTTTTAAAACACTGTGTAAAACAGGAAAAGGTATTAGTGGACAGCAGGGCAGTTACCTTTCATATTCCCAACGAGTTCAATTCATTATTAGCAATCACTGAAATCCAATATTCATGATTATATTTTTTAAGTGAAAGTTTTTACTTGAATTTGGGCGTGATTTATCAAAGCAAAATATGCAAAATGGAATACAGGCCTACCAAAGAATACTTTGCCACTGTGTAGAAAAACGCAGAAAAGCCCACATTAATCGTGGAAATAGCAACATAAACATAATACCTCGCTCCTGAAACAGTAAAAATGGCAACTTTAAATCGCTAAAACTGCATAAAAAACCGAAGAACCTGCAAATTCGATTTTGCGCATGCGCACATGGAAGAGGAAGTCTCGACTGCATGTTGACATTTTCCAGCTTGGACAAAAGTTACATTCCTTTTTAAGTATTTCTGTTATGTTATTTGGCATTTATCATCATGATACTTGTGTGCACACTTGTTTAGTTTACTTTCCATTCCTATGAAATGATTGACAGCAATTATTTCGACATATTTAATACTTTTTCTATGCGAGGCGATTCACAGTTGTTCGGAAATTGGAATGAAGCGCGAATCGTGATGTGCATGCGCAGTAGAGGTCAAAGTTTGCTGATTTAAAAATGTTGCATTTTCATAGTTTTTCATTGCCGTTTTTACTGTTTCAGTAGCGAGGTATTATGTTTATGTTGCTATTTCCACGATTAATGTGGGCTTTTCTGCGTTTTTTCTGCACAGTGGGAAAGTTTTCTTCGGTAGGCCTGGAATATATCTTTGCCAGGCAGGATAATAGTTGACACTTGTATATTTAATTTAACAAATATGTCCTCTGGTTAATGTTGTGATAAATTTTCACTGTCAACACGATCAAAACATGCAAAAGAATTTACCTCGTTATTGTTTCACTGAACATGAACATCTACTGTTGACTTGTTATTGAATTTGTGATCCAATATCTGTCTTAGTTACCCAAGATTTATTACATGTATCATTTGACTCATAGTGAATTCATTGTAGCCCTAGTGTATAGCACGATTGTGCACCTAGGACATGTAAATAACAAAACATGTTCTTTAGGCTTACATGGTGTACATCACTGTAATGCTCTTACTTTGTAGGGAGTGTTCAAGCAGACATTTGGTTCAGCAACACTGTTTCAAGGTGTCATGTACCGACTCAAAATGACACAAGTAAGGTACTTGGTGACCATGGTGTCATGTAAAATATATGAAATGAATGAAAATGAACTCTCCAAAAATATGTATTACAGGTATGAACTCAAGCTCAAGCCTATTAAAATGGATTAACTAAAATCTACTTATGGTTTGATTTCTAATTATTACCCCATGGTAAATGTTAAGTTTTCGGACAAGTGCATGACTTGTCATCCAGGTATGTGTCATATCACACCAAGTTAACTATTACAACCACAAGACTTTATCATCTCTCTTATGAACCAGCAAGTAGGCAAACAAGCAATTGTAGAGAGGATTTGGCTAAAATATTGATACTTATTCATGTTGTATTTATGATTATTGTACTTATTAATGTTTGGGTATTTGTAGTAAACAATCACTGTTTAACAGAGTTATTACATTCCTGCTGATTTCAAGCTAACATATTCTTAAATAAACTTACTTGAGATAAGTGATTCCCATTAGCCTAAATGACGGTATTCCAGACTGAAGTGCTATGTGATAATCATTGACGATAATAATCAGTATATATGTATTGACTGTATTACATGTCGAATGTTAACTTTAAGTCACAAACACAACACTATGACAAGTAAGACTTGACAAAATGTCACTTTTAGTAGACTGTTTGTATACTCAATGGAAATGCTTTTTCATGGCTGTCATCACTTCCTGGAGCGAGCGAGGATCACGAGATCGAGAAAACAGAATGTTTACAGGCAGTTAGTATTCATAGTTTGTACTCACCTATGGTGGATATAAATGTCGTGTTGAAAGCATCGTCTGAAAATCTAAAAAGCAAACACGTCTTTCCAACTCCAGAGTCACCGATCAAGAGCAATTTGAATAAAAGGTCGTATGTCTTTTTCGCCATTTTCTACCTAGCATTCAAAATGGCGACTACAACCTTATCACATTAAATAAATGTTCTTAGTTTGAAACAGCGTCGACTATTCAGTTCGTATAACGGTATCTGATTTCTTTGTTCAGATGGCAACAAACTCCAATAAGTTGGTTTCGCAAAGGAGCTTTATTGTTGCTCTTGCCGATTCATTTCCATCCACAGCGGCACTTGGCGATATTTCCTTACGTCATTTCCTAATCCGGGTACTCACATGATTAATGCAAAGGGAGGTAACTCTCACCACACCCTGTGGCGAAGTATATACAAACGTGGAGGTCTGACTATATGTCAATATACTAAATATAGGCTTCACTGCTTTATGCATAGGAATGCAGTAGGTGATAAACAACGAGAAGTGACAGGTCATGGTACACCGATGTTCGAAAACATAAGTAAGACCCCCAAAATATAACATCTGCCGCACCAACACTCGGGACTGGGGCAGATTTTGTCATAGCTGAACTTGACGCCCGTAACATTACGGTTCGCGAATGTATTGAACAAGAGGCTAAAAATAAATCAAGAAATGGCATTGAAATTTAGTAAACATCACTGAAAATATGCTTCCATGGATAATTTATTATATATATTCGCGGTGTTATCTGGCTAAATAAGACACACTCAACATACCGGACGCATAGATATCCTGTGCAACTGGTACAACTATTTCCTTGTTTACATACTATCTATGACATATATTGCAGGATATCCAACAGAGTCAACAGGAATTGCCATATGTTACATAACGAACGCTAATATATACCCTCTGTGACCAAATATATGGTCATAACTTACGTTAAAAACTGAATATGTAAAAACATTTAATGCTCCACCAAAACAACATGCAAAGATAGTGTTTCGGGCTGCTATCGACGAAATATATGTTGGGCGTACGAGGTCAAAGTCCGTATGTGGGCTTGACGTATATTCCTGCTTTCAAAATTTACTTTTCATGGAGACAAACCGACGCGCACATTATAAACTGAAGGCAAGAAGCGGTCTGAAACGAATGGTTGAGAATTTATTACGATTAAACTTATGAATTTAATAGTAACACCATTTTGAAAGGTTTGATTATAGGTAGTTGTTTCAAGTTCCGTCACAGACAGCAAACCCTCGGTAATCCGGACGATCCAATGATTTCTAGGTATCTGGATTAAAGAGGTTTCTCAATAACAAGATACAAGCAATGCATGTACGAGTGCAGCTGTGGAAATAGCTCATTATTTTTTTTTTCATAATTGATCATTTTTATTTCCTGCTTCCCCTATTACAGAAAAGGCCGAAGAATAGCTCATTATTTTGAGCTATAACTAGTCAGTGTGCTTTGACTGGAATTCAATGCAATGCGGTTTATTGCTGATAATAATCAAACCGATTTTTTCTTTGTTGTCGTCATGACTCATGCTCACGTGGGAGGAAACAGATTCAGAAACGAAGACAGAAACTGAGTTACTACAATAATAGACTGACGCAGATGTCATTACCACACCGGTTGTATTTCTGTTGCTTATTCAGTCATGTGTTTGCACGTTGTTTACGCAAGAGAGTAGGAAAACGCATTATGGACAACGCAGGTCAAATATTGACGTGAATGAGTATGGTTTTACGCCGTTTCTAACACCAGGGGACACTTGAAATTGGTGTCACACATTGTTATCATGTGGGTAATTGAAAACGGCGTTAGAGTGAGTGAGTTTAGTTTTATGCCTCTTTCGGCAATATTCAAGCAGGGGACACAAGACGTGTGCTTCGCACATTGTACCCATGTGAGAATTCGAACCCGGATCTTCGGCATGACGAGTGAACGCTTTAACCACTAGGCTACACCACCGATCCCGGCGTTAGACAACAAACATTCAATTGTTTCCTTGTTCTTCGAATGTATGCAGTCAATAAATTCAGTTTTTTTCCGAGACGTTTATTAATAAGGGACAGGCGATATTATGTCACATTCGTCCCCTTGTGTCTCAATATACTACAACGTCAGAGCGAGCACCGAGTAGGAGTGACAGACAAAGACGGGAAGACAGAACTTAGCGATGTCTAGCGATGTCATATGCTCATGGGACAGCCCAATCAATAAACGTATCTTCAGGCGATGGGTTGGCCTACTAATGGATGTAACGACTGTTCTCATCATTCAACACAAGCAAGTACTGGCACTGGGCTAAACCTTCGACTGACTGACTGAGTTTGGCTTTACGCCGCTTTTAGCAATATTCCAGCAACATCACGGCGGGGGACACCAGAAATGAGCTTCGCACGTTGTACCCATGTGGGGATTCGAACCCGGGTCTTCGGCGTGACGAGCCAGCGCTTTAACCACTAGACTACCCCACCGCCCCGCTAAACCTTCGACTAATGGGACTACTACTACTACTACTACTACTACTACTACTACTACTACTACTAATTTTGTTTGTTGTTTAACGTCGCCGTCCAGCTATATGGCGGCCGTCTGTGAATAATCGTGTGTGGACCAGACAATCCAGTGGTCAACATCATGAGCATTGATCTACGCAAGTAGGATACGATGACATGTACTACTTTTCTTTGTTGTTTAACGTAGCAGTCAGCAATAGTCCAGCTGAAACAGACAATCTAGAGATCAACATCATGAGCATCGATCTATACGCTAGCCTCACCGCCCAATTCCGTTAGAGGCCTCTTACGACAAGCATGGGTTGCTGAAGGCGAATTCTAACCCGGATCTTCACAGTTCCACTACTACTACTACTGGCGCACACGCATGCACGTCGTCATATGAGCGAAATATTCTCAAGCACGACGTTAAACCCAATTTCACCTCACCTCACCTCACTACTACTACTACTACTACTACAATATACATGTATATAAAATACACCGTCCGGTCTACGTTTTGTTTAATGAGGACAAGTATAGCTGGGATAGATAAAATAAGCCTGAATACAAATCGTTGTGAAACGTGACAAATATCACCTCTTATTATTTAACAAACAATTTGTCTTGACTTTCCTGTTATTTAAATACCATGTTATCGCAAGTTATTTGTTGCCAGTAGTTTTATACGAACAAATACTTGATTCCTATGAATTGTTCACATATATAATTCATTCTAGACAGCTGTGATAAATAGATCATTGTTGCAACAAACACAACGCAAAATGTGGTGCAAATAGGCACTGTCAAGCCCAAGCCGACCAAACACTTCATCAATACTACGACTAATGACAAAAAACTATGAATAAATGCAACACATCGGCGTTAATAACGTCGATTTCATTGGAAACACGACGTGAATCTACTAACCCTCTGTCGTCCACGATATACAGTGGAAGCCCTCTAAACCGGCATTCGTTGGGGCCGGCATACACACATGACTGACTGAGGTTGGTTTTTACGCCGCTTTTAGCAATATTCCAGCAACATCACGGCGGGGGACACCGGAAATGGGCTTCACACATTGTGCCCATGTGGGGATTCGAACCCGGGTCTTCGGCGTGACGAGCCAGCGCTTTAACCATTTGGCTACCCCACCGCCCCCATACACACAGGAGCATTAATCGATCATATTCTAGCATACTGGAAAGGACATGTAACGTATGTTTTTCACACTGAATCTCAAAACCTACAGGTCGCATGTTCATGTGCTGCGAAGGTTCCCCATTTGGGTATACATTTCATAACTGCAGTATGATCATAACAATATTCTGAATTGATTACATGACGACAGTTCTAAATATGAACTTTTCTTGACATGGCAAAACGTAGACTGTAAGAAAATACACGATGGCATCTTAGAGACACACATGACGCAGGGATACTTATAACCACACTACAAGTTGGGTCTTGTTCCAGCACTTGGGACACTCTGTGATCGACTTTATCAACAGGAGTCACAGGATACCGCCGTTCGTGGCACATTTTGACAACCATCCTCTTGATACTCGTCCATGGATGATGTTGATTCATGGATGATAACACTAGTCATCATTGTTCTGGCGCCTTCATCGCCTATTTGCAGAATAAGGCAAACATTATGGCCTGCAAGCAGACCGGTATGAACCCCACGGAATATCTTTGGGATATTTTATCAAATTTTGAGATGTTCCTTCTGTCCAAAATATGCAGGCAATGATGCTGGCACTTGGACACAACGTTTGAGATGTTCCTTCTGTCCAAAATATGCAGGCAATGATGCTGGCACTTGAACACAACGTTTGAGATGTTCCTTCTGTCCAAAATATGCAGGCAATGATGCTGGCACTTGGACACAACGTTTGAGATGTTCCTCCTGTCCAAAATATGCAGGCAATGATGCTGGCACTTGGACACAACGTTTGAGATGTTCCTTCTGTCCAAAATATGCAGGCAATGATGCTGGCACTTGGACACAACGTTTGAGATGTTCCTTCTGTCCAAAATATGCAGGCAATGATGCTGGCACTTGGACACAACGTTTGAGATGTTCCTTCTGTCCAAAATATGCAGGCAATGATGCTGGCACTTGGACACAACGTTTGAGATGTTCCTTCTGTCCAAAATATGCAGGCAATGATGCTGGCACTTGGACACAACGTTTGAGATGTTCCTTCTGTCCAAAATATGCAGGCAATGATGCTGGCACTTGGACACAACGTTTGAGATGTTCCTTCTGTCCAAAATATGCAGGCAATGATGCAGGCACTCCATGAAGAATGGCAGAGGACCCGATAGTCATATGCAAACTTAAACGTGGTGAGGTCATTTATACTCTAAGGTATATGTAACTTTCTGTGTGCTTAATGGGCTCTTTAAACGACATGCTAGAAATTGCAGTGAAGCAACTGATTCAATATTCGTTGAGTTTGAGTGGAATGAAACATTGTGAAAAACAGCGAAAATCAAGGGTGCTGAAACACACCAGCACCATGTTTGATTCAAATGCCCAAACCCCACAGCCTAGTGCATGTGGAAGACAGACTTCCTATGCAGCTTGTGACATTGTTTCCTTTTAAAGAAGCTACAGACAGTATTGAAGCCTCACAACTTCTTCACCATGCCACAGCGCAGACCATTAAGCGCCCATGACAGAAGCAGGGCCATTGCATGGTTACAGGATGGTGTTGCTCGCCATCTTCAGCTGTGTCCCTCTGACATTCGCAGGCTGAGGGACAGGTTCCAGGACAGACCTCACTCTGGAAGACCCAGAAAAATCAAGGGCAGATGACAGATCTGTTGTGCTCCAAGCCATTCGGAACCGATTCACAACTGCCAGTGCCCATTTGCCACAAGCTGCATAAGAAGTCTGTCTTCCACATGCACTAGGCTGTTGTGTTTGAGCGTTTGAATCAAACATGGTGCTGGTGTGTTTCACCACCCTTGTTTTTCGCTGTTTTTGACAATGTTTCATTTCACTCAAACTCAATGAATATTGAATCAGTTGCTTCACTGCAAGTTTATAGGACTATCAAAGTTTATGGTGTTCCCATACTTTTTGTTTGTAGTATATAAATCTGAACTAACGATTCCTGTGGTGTTATAGCATGCTTATATATACAGCTTTGTGCAGATATAACAATCAATTATTTAACACAGAACTGAGGATTTGTGTAAAGGTGCACAGCATAGAGAGTATATATAGTTGTCAGTTAAATGATCAACCATGTACATGTAGTAGTATTCCTGACATTTGTGTCAATGAACTCATATTTAGAGTTATGCATGCAAGAAACGCAGAACCTGAACAAACTGACAACACCAAGGTAGTATTGAGGACATATTTATTATTGTGTGCATTTGGAAGTGTGGATGAACCAGTAACAGTCAGACTGCCAGAACAAGTTGCTTCAATGACTAAACACCTGGGTAACATGTTACAGACTGTAGGACTGTCCCTGGTGAAATCACACATAAACATATATATAATATATATAGAACATGATTATTCAGAAGACAGCACTGTAACAACTGACCGCGGATACAGAGAGTATTGTGATGCGGCAAAAGAAATATTTACACTCATTCAAGGAAACAACTGTGAGCCTTACTCTGTGTCAAGAGGATGTGAAGAAGGTGTCACACTGAGACTTCAGTCACTACATCATACAATGAGACATCAGCTACTCAATAGCCTCTGTTACAATGAAACATCAGCTACTCAATAGCCTCTGTTACAATGAAACATCAGCTACTCAATAGCCTCTGTTGCAATGAAACATCAGCTACTCAGTAGCCTCTGTTACAATGAAACATCAGCTACTCAGTAGCCTCTGTTACAATGAAACATCAGCTACTCAATAGCCTCTGTTACAATGAAACATCAGCTACTCAGTAGCCTCTGTTACAATGAAACATCAGCTGCTCAGTAGCCTCTGTTACAATGAAACATCAGCTACTCAATAGCCTCTGTTACAATGAAACATCAGCTGCTCAGTAGCCTCTGTTACAATGAAACACTCAGCCCTCTGTCAGCTACAAGCCTCTGTTACAATGAAACATCAGCTGCTCAGAAGCCTGTTACAATGAAACATCAGCTACTCAATAGCCTCTGTTACAATGAAACATCAGCTACTCAATAGCCTCTGTTACAATGAAACATCAGCTACTCAATAGCCTCTGTTACAATGAAACATCAGCTACTCAATAGCCTCTGTTACAATGAAACATCAGCTACTCAATAGCCTCTGTTACAATGAAGAACATCAGGTGTCTCAGTCCTGTTCCACAAGCAATCACCGAGCTAAGATAATCCTAACTCCTATACTTTAACACAGGGTCACAATGGTCTTAGTGCTAAGACTGCTTTCTGGAATGGTGCCCTTACTTCATCAATCAGCTGCTCACGCCCCACAGGTAATGACCCAAATTCTGAATCAGACACTCCCCATCCTCCTTGAACAGTGATCACCATCTAACACTGTACACTCCCCACAACACACATGGGGTTAAATACAAGTTATATACAGGTAAAATGGTTATCTAATAAAAAAACACATATTTTGTTATTTATTGATCAAATAAAGCAATATCAGAAATAACTGATAAGATCTTATCTAATAAAACACATAAAAAATATAATGTTTTAAACACTTTAGCTATGTATTTGATGATTGTTGATTTTCTATGGTAAACAAATACTCAATAGCGAAAGAATTACTAAAGCTGGGTGTTGAGACTAGCACATGTCGTGAAGACTTGTCAGGTATTCTTTAGATATTTTCCACAACCAGCTATTAATGGTTGGATAAATCATGTTGGCATAATGCAGAGAAAGGCAGGATTAATCAGAGAAAATGAGGTTACATAAGGAAAACCACAAACACGTACACTATGAAAATAAACACATGATTTTGATCACCATATATCACAGTGATGTTTTAATGATTACAATGACAGTGAAACAGATGCCAGCGGCCATTGAGACCTGAGAAAAGACCACAGCAGTAAGGGAGACAACTCTTCTAAGTTCTATCTTTGGCTGACAACTAATTTGGAAATGTGGAAGAAAATAGTTTGCTGAAATGTCACCATCAACATTTACCTGTATGTAATATATAAAAAGGGAAAATAGTGCAGTTTCTTTGATTTACCATGAATGCGAGTATATATACTTCTATAAATGTAAGTTGTGGACATATTTGAAATTCTACATGTTTAACATAGGGTAAACAAGTGCAATAATTAACAATATATGGACTAAAATGGTGATTCATTTACACTATGATTGCCCTAAACATCAAGTCCTGAATGCTGTCCCCTCTTTAATGACTGCGTGATCAAGGTGGTGACATTTAATGATACAAAACATGCCTCACCATACCAAATGTATGCCCCTGAGACAGCCAATACACAAACTGTCGATACACTAGAGCAAGAATGACCTCACACTGATGACCATCCCAACATCCAAGTTGTCCATGACATGGCTTAGAAAGTCCACAAGTCACAAAGAGAAAACTTATCACAGTCACAATGAAAACATCTCCATCAAATCTCTGACAACAGACGTGAGATTATCTCCCCAAGGAAACATGACTTCAGGATTTCAGGTATCTGCAAAAGACAAATGGTGATTCAAATTAGTGAGCAAAGCATTAAAACCAGCATATCTGGTTTCTGTGTCTCAAAAAGGAACATATTCAGGTAGTTCTGAGGGCCACTGTATTTGCATCCAAGGGAGTTAACTGCTCAAGGTATATTTATGTTCTGTGAGTGTTTTCTGTTGCTGAGATATAAAGTTTCATATGAAGGTTGTAAATAAATGAGCTGAATGGCGATAAAAAACTTGGACAGTTAATTGGCTTGAGGTTCATCCTTCAAATATATTGAGCAGTCAAATTTTGCTGAGGGTCAATTTGACACTATCTTCTGTCAAATCTGGTGCAAAGAAGGATTTTGTTTCAGCAGAAGATCTGATGTTAATGAGATTTTAATACAAAGTAAAGACATCTGTTGCTTAAACTAATCCACTAGCCAGACTAAGTACTGTTGTATAATTTTAAGTTATTATTATATGCCTTTCTTACAGAACATCAAACTGAAACAGACTCTGGAAACAGAGACTGCCAAAAAGTGTCTTCAAGTGTGTACACCATTTGTCATCACTCAACTATCTATATTTTGATTTGAAAAATGGCTTATATTGAGTTGAATTTAGACATATCAATAATAATTTTACATAAAAACTAATTTCAAGTTAGGAGACAAAACAATATTGATGTAAAAATGTGATAAAATAAATCAACTAATTTCTCCACATCTGGAAATACATCCTGATTAATATGAACAAAGCAAGAGCTGGACATTGGACACAAGAGAGTGTACAGGACAATGGACCAGATCAACAGGATCAGAATTACCAGCAAGTGGTGTTCAAACTTAGTTAAGCAAAGAATGGCAAACATTTGTGGTTGTGTGCTTGTAGATACAAGAAAGGCAAAATGATGGTGACATACTTAGCAGCCCAGTCTGTGCGTCCAGGCACGGGTCCAGCCAGGGGTTGCCGCATGTTGGACCCTGGGTTGTTACTGATGGGAGTGGGCTGGGCTCTCTTCCAGCTCACGTTGCTGCCTGCATAGCCTGTGTAGACAACACAATAACATATAGACCAACACCCACACACTGCACAAAAGAGAAGCCAACCCTGAATCAACGCATTTAGGAATAACTGGGACAATCAGGGTTTTAAATGGGTCATTCAAAAAAGACACATATATATTTGAGGTTTTAAACCATCATCTGCTGTTCTTTAGAAACCCATGTTTATTTCAGTGTCTGCTGCCTCAAAGAGAAACGTATTAACTCAATATATATTTCATTTTGTTTTGAAGTGGGATATTTGTCCAATTTTTGGCTTCTTAATTCGCTGGACCCAGTGTTGTACTGATTAAGAAAATCCAACTGTAAACTCTTGATGGGAGAAAAGGCATCCTATAAAACAGTTATATATAAACAAGTTGGAGAAACTGCATTGTCAACTTAAACCAGTTTCTCAAAACTTTCAATATCCTAACTTTGTCTTCCTATCTGGCAATGTTCCAAAAGAACAGGGAGCATTAATTCAAAACAGAGAAATTTATTTGGTATAAATATCTAAAAGAAAAAACAAAACAACTGCTACATTTGCAATATCAAGGCCTTGTGAATTTAATGGTGATGTTTTGGGATTAAATTACAAAGGCTTTTCACTTTGTCATACTGGCTGAACTTGGAGCCAAACTTGAAAACTGGTTGGCATCTCTGTACAGCCCTTAAAGAGAGACACAGTCAACAATACAGAAAGCGTGCAACAATAAATCTTGACCCTTCTGAACATGCTGAACATGTAATAAGCTTGTTAAATGCAAAGTTAAGACGTGGAGAGAAGACTCACTTGGTTTACTGGACAGACCAAATGATGGCATGTAGCCGCCCCCTGAATCCTTCCTTGCTGGTGTGCTGAAGTTCTTCAATCCGCTGTCTGGAAAGTAAACAACACCACCTTCAATCACACAACATGATATATTGTGATTACACTTTCTAAACACATTACAGATTCTGGACTTTGGGGAGTTGAGTCCCATCAGAGATTTAAACCCACACTCTCAGAACAAGGCGCCACACCTGCCAGTACACAACGTCAGCGATCAAGCCCAGTCAACCAGAAAGTATTCCACAAATATGGATGGCCAACAAATGATAGTTTACACTACTGGTGTCTGTACTCATCTGTGAAGAAGAATGAGATTGTGAGATTACATACATGTTGTTTTACATTCCCTGTTGAAGTTTTATCATCAATGAACTCACCTAGATTGGGCCGAGTGATTGCTCCCAGGGGATTTCGCTTCATGCCACTGTTGAGGGGATTTAAACCTGGAACACAACTAAATCAGTACAAGCTCTGCCGGAGACATGCTATTGTCTGTGTATGTTGGATATGTTATCACCTGCATGAATATGCGAGACAAATCTCTCAGGTAAATGTGTGAGACATGTTATTAGTCTGTGGTCAGGAAACATGCTATTGTCTGTGTATGTTGGATATGTTATCACCTGCCTGACTGAGTTTAGTTTAAGCCACTTTTAGCAATATTCCAGCAATGAGACATATTAGTCCGTGGTCAGGACTATTGTCATGTTATCACCTGCCTGAATATGCAAGACAAATCTCTCAGGTAAGTGTGTGAGACATATTAGTCTGTGGTCAGGAAACATGCTATTGTCTGTGTATGTGAGACATGTTATCACCTGCCTGAATGTGCAAGACAAATCTCTCAGGTAAGTGTGTGAGACATATTTGTCTGTGTATTAGTCTGTGGACAGGAGACATGCTACTGCCTGTGTATGTGAGACATGTTATCACCTGCCTGAATGTGCAAGACAAATCTCTCAGGTAAGTGTGTGAGACATGTTAGTCTGTGGACAGGAAACATGCTATTGCCCGTGTATGTGAGACATGTTATCACCTGTCTGAATGTGCAACAAAAATCTCTCAGGTAAGTGAACGAAACATGTTATTAGTCTGTGGTCACAGACTGTCATTTCCTGACATCTGGGCAAGACATATCTTATCAAGTCAGTGGAAAAAATATTATATCACCTGTCATTATCTGTTGAGACCAGATTTTTCATCTGAGTTAGACATGTGCTATGAGCTAACATTCTGCTGACATTTTGATACTGAACACTGTATGTGAGGTTTTCCACTGTCTCTGTGAGAAGTGCTGTTCTAACAGGATAGTGTTTATAGTTTTAGGTTTAAGTTTTAGATTTATCATTTCAAGTTGTTTCATGTTCATTAGTTGCTACTTAGTTGTATGTGCTTGGATTATTTATCAAAGTACAGTGGAAACAAATACAACCTGGTAAAAAGAAACCACAATCAAAAACAGACCTGATAATCATAAACTGAGTTTTTCTTTGTTTTTGGCACTTAGAAATTTGGCTTTCATTAATTATCACTATTAGAGTCAAGTGTTAACTCCAATCATTCGGATGAATTTCTTATTTATTTCAATAGATTAACTAAATTTGATATTTCTGATACTGGTAACCTGTCACATAAATGTGCAAAATTTGAAAAGAATTTGATTAAAAGATGCTGAAGATAACTTCAAATTAGCAATCACCACATAATTTGACACTGAGGGCAGTCTGGTTTTCAGGCCAGTCAAATCAAACATCCTACTTACAACATTATATCACCTGTCATTATCTGTTGACAATACACTGACATCTGGAGGCCAGACATGTGATAAGTTGTTCATTCTGTTACATATGCATGAACATATACATACATCCCACGGTTGTCATTTGCAGGGTTTTATAAGTTTGGATAAGTTTAAAATACCTGATCAGTAAACAAATTGTTTCGAGTCCATTTGAAATTTTACTTATCAGGTTTCCATCAAAGTAGTTGGTCTATTTAAGGTGGACAGGGTATTTCATCCTGCATCAATTATCTAGCTTTTGACACAATAGACTTTAGCTTCCTATTTGATTGGTGTTATATAACTACAGCTTTCCTCCATAGCATTTGCACACTTTTCTAATCCCACTGCTTACAACTCTGCACTGGACAAGCCACTCAACCTAGCTCAGGAATGTGATACTCTCGTACTTAGTGTGGGTATATAGACACACCCCAGTGTCACCCACAGGGATGATTGACTGATCTAATTCACCGACTGATACTATGGAATAAATGTCATTCCCAAACACACCCGCAGCTTGTCATTTTACTGACTCACCCCTGCAACACTATCACGCAACTTTTATCTGACTGTATGTGTGTGAGACATGAAAGGGAACAGGATTGTTACCTACCAGGATGGTAGCGGGAGGAGCTCAAGTAGTGCTGTTTGGCAGACCGCGCGGACGACCTTCCAGAGTTCATGCGTCGACCTGCAGTTGGAACAGCTGGTTTGCTGGGAGACTTACTCAAAATAGAACTGAAAAAAAACAACCATGAAATATTCCACTCTTTTGGACCTATCTTCCTGCTGAAAACATTGACACATTATTCCTGTTCAACACATTTGTCACAAAATACCCGATGAATTTGTTGAATTATACTTTTTTAAACAAATGGTGAGTGAGGTTAGTTTTATGCCACACTCTGCAATATTCCAGCTTTATGGCGGCGGTCTGTAAATAATTGAGTCTGGACCAGACAATCCAGTGATCAACAGAATGAGCATCAATCAACACAATTTGGATACAATGACACATGTGTCAACCAAGTCAGCGAGCCTGACTACCCGATCACATGTTACAGACCTGAGTCTGGACCAGACAATCCAGTGATCAACAGAATGAGCATCAATCAACACAATTTGGATACAATGACACATGTGTCAACCAAGTCAGCGAGCCTGACTACCCGATAACATGTTACAGACCTGAGTTGGACATCAAGCCAGCTTGAGAACACATTACAACACACACCAAGTCAGCTGAACTACCCATAACATGTTACATCAAGCCAGCTTGAACACATTATTCAACATACATCGAACATGACTTTTGAAAGCAGGGAGACCACTACTAAAGGTATACTCACTTAAGAAAATCATCTTCAAATTCATCAATAGCCTTCTCAGGCTCCTTGTACTTTGGTTTGACTGCTGCAATTGGCTTCTTGCTTGGCAGTGAAAAGTCAAGGTCGTCCCAGTCATCCCACTTCTCTGATATGTTGGTAGTGCCCCAACGTTTCCGCTCGGGTTGTTTCCGAGGGACAGTCATAGCAAAGGGGCCCTAAATACAAACATATGAATATTACAGTGGTTCTTAATGATTACATCAGATCATCATCAACTCAACTACTAAAAACATCCACACCTGCACTGCTGATAATACATGACTGATGACATGTCTAAAGAAAATAATAGCATATATACATTGCAGTCTTGTAATTGCTGAGTTTCTTCAGTTTAACACAGCCGACACCCACTGACACTTACAGTGAGTGAGTTTAATTTTACCCCACTTTTAGCAACATTTCAGCAATAATCACAGTGGGGGACACCAGAAATGAGCTTCACAAATTGTACCCATGTGGGGAATCGAGCCCGGGTCTTCGGCATGACGAGCGAACGCTTTAACTACTAGGCTACCCCACCACCCCTGACACTTACAGGAGAGGGGTTGATTGGCTTGTCCTTGTAGTTGGAGGGTCCTCCCATGCCTGGGCCTCCCATGCTGTCTATTGAGGCTTTGCGAGTTTGTGCAGGTTGTACTGCATGTGCTGCCTGTGTTGTATGGCTGCTGTGGTTGGAGGCTACCTGTGGTCTGCTGGAAGCCATGGACACACCCAGTGTCTGATCCACTTGAAAGTAGGCATGTCGCAAACACTGCAAGTATGTAACAGTAAATACAGTCATGTCATCAACATCATAATTTAGGCTGGGAATTTTGCACAATTTTCTACTGTTGCAAAGTAAGTTTAACAGGCTCCCGATCCACAACACATTCGTAGCCAGAGGCCCAGATAAGCTGCGTATCCGGGTAAAATACGCATAGAATTACGCATTGAAAAATAATTGTTGCGTACAAATTACGCATTTACACTGTTAGATACGCAAATAGTTTAAAACAAATGCGTACGGAATCGATTGCTATCAAGTTGTACTGTTAGAATAGGACAAGTGTTGTAATGTCAGTATAGGATGAGTGATTTTTTATGAAATAATTTCCATCATATTTAAGTTGGTTTTGATTAGGTATGACATAAGGCAGAACATACCTGCATAGTAAACTTGCTCAATGACATAATACTTAGGTGAGTAAAGTGACTGAAATACACACATATTTGAAAGCAGTGGGTAACGGAAAATGAAATACCCACTCAACATTCATAATACCCACTCCCCAAAAATACAGTGGGTACAGTACCCACATGAGCTAAATCTTATCTGGAGCTCTGCGTAGCGCTATAGAGTTACGACAGGTCGTAACGTTACGAATGCTTTGTGGATCGGGACCCAGACCATGATGAACACCCTATTGTTGTGTCTCACTCACACTGAGTCTACAGCTTAACTTAATTTACTTAACTCTGGAGTCAGTCAATATTTGTAGGTCTATAACCTTAAGCTCGTCATAGTCCTCACATCAACACGTAACAACAACCGAAATTGATGCAGAGAGACAATCTCCATGTCAACTCGGCACAGGCTGTGTAGAAAAATCGAGTACCTGACTTGATCCGGGTCGATGTGACGGGTTCCACTTTAACATGCGTGCCATTATGTCAAGGCCATCCTTATCAGCACTTGGGACGAGTGATTTAAGGTTGACCGGTACAGTTTGTGGGAATCGGTAATTCATGCTACTGGCCAGCTGGTAGCCCTCTGGCCACTCCTCCTTGGACGGGGTCCCGAGACATGTGCATGTCTTGAATATCTGGTCAATCTCAGAGCTGCCAGGGAATAGTGGTCGGAGGGTGTACAGTTCGGCCATGATGCAGCCGAGGGCCCAGATGTCGATGGGGGAGCTGTAGTTAGTTGAGCGAAGCAACACCTCAGGGGCCCGGTACCTGTAGAAACCACATGTATCATTTATAACTACTGGTTTATGTTGTGAGCTCAGACATAAGAGGATACACTGTATAAAATGGAAGAGCCATGATATAGACCCCTTTTGGCCCACCGAAATATCAAACAAGGAAAATTACAGTTGCTAGACACTCATGGTGACCTGTACATTACAAACACATACTTTATTGCCACTTAATTTAGTCTTGCTCTTTTGAGCCAAGCTGAATGTCTTGGGTGACTTTCTGACCAGATTCATACTTACTCGTGACTGTGTGTAACAATGTACTTATGCTGGTCGCACAAATTGTACTGATAGGCTGAGGTTCCAGGTAAAACTTACCATCGTGTGGACACATAGTCTGTGTATGGGGGACGAGATCGAATCTCACGAGCTAGACCAAAGTCAGCTATCTTTACTAATTCTGGGCCTGCACAAAGCAAGTTCTCTGGTTTCAAGTCCCGATGGAAAAATCCTGAAACAGTGTAGAAACCATTATGTTAGATTGTTTATAAAACACATATATAAACAAAAGATCCACAACCATGTACCAGACCTGACCTACAATATAACACCAGACTGAAATCATATTGTATCAAAACTACATGGCAGCCAGGTCATGTACCACCTAACCTACAACCAGCCCATGTACCATCTGAATTGTAACATAACAAGAATTTGAAAAGTGGTCCAAGTGTCGTGGTGACCTTGAAAATAAGGTCAAGGTCACCCAAATCGACTGGTGTCAGCGTAATCCCCCAATGTAGGCTGTCACCAAATGTGAAGACATTGGGTACAACAGTTCATGAGATATCGCGTTAACAACAATCGGGACGCACGTGCATGCATAACAACCTGAGCGGGAATGGACGCCGCTGAATACATAGTCCCCCATTCCGACGGGGGACAACAACTAAAGCATGTGCCACCTGACCTACAACATATCCACTGACCTATGTACCACCTGACATTTGACAACACTGGCGCATGTACCAACTGACCTTAACAGGACACCTTTCCTGAACCACATGCCATCTAACCAACAACACAACACCTGAACTTTAACACAATATATGACTTACCTTGTTTGTGCATGTACGCCAATCCCTGTAGGACTTGATAAATAATGTTTCGCACAACTGATCCAGGTAACAATTTTTCCCTGAAACAAATATCACATGTCAATCAAACAGCAACCACAGTAGACATGGAAGTGCAAGATCCTACTTCCTGAGGAAATACAATACAAACATGGATGTAGGACCTTTTAACACTTTCTAAGGTAAGCATGGTCAGAGATTTCCTCATAATTAAAACAAAAACTTCCTGAAAACCCCCAAATTGCCTTTTCAACACACTTGGCATCACACGTCCTTTAGTATATACATTCATATATACGTTTTTTTCCAATTTGCATATCATGCAGTTGAACTTGAAGAGAATTCATGTCAATTAATTTTTTTCACAAGCACCTGCTGCTTTTACGTCTTGTCACTGAGGCCACATAGCTGAAACAGTAGACACAGCACTTACCTGTCCTTCATCATCTGGTAGAGGTTCTCCTTCATGAATTCAAACACAAAGTACAGCATATCGTTTTCCCGAATCACCTCCTTCAGCTTCACTATGTTGGGATGGTTCAATTTGCGGAGAGACTGCAAATAACATCCAGATAGTGATCATTTCTGACTACCAGACACACTTTCAAGAGTGAGTGAGTATGGTTTTACGCCGCTTTTAGCAATATTCCAGCAATATCACGGCGGGGAACACCGGAAATGGGCTTCACACTTTGTGGCCATGTGGGGAATCAAACCCATGTCTTGAGCGTGATGAGCAGGCGCTTTAACCATTAGGCTACCCCACCACCCCACACATTTAAGAAGCAACTGTACCATTTGATATTTAATAATATGTTTTCAGATTATAAGTTTCATTTTGCCCCAAGAAACTCTGATGAACTATCATTTGATGTGAAACCATCTCATTTTCCACTGCATTAGTACTGACCTTGACTTCCCTCAGACTGAGGCATTCATCCCAGGAGTAGTATTTCTTCTTCATCCTGAAATCAAAATTGGATCCATTTACAGATACATGCATTTAACACAATGTCCTCATGCAGTGCAGACTGTTTCATATACATGATTAACTGAAGGAAAAGGTTGTCTCTTCATATATCATGTAAATCTTAAGTAGTCTGGAAAATGTTCAACACAGGCACTTGAATATTCTCTCACACAGTGTGAGCCACCAACACCTCGAGGTATCAGATCATTATTAAGGCTGTAATCATTCACTTGCATATTCGGTGAATCGAACCGTAGCCCTTCATGAATTCAATTCGTTATTCGTGGTCACCAGAACCGAATATTAACAAATATTTACAAATTTTTAAGGGAGCATGTTTTACTTAAACCCTTATGTCCTGTCCAAAGTTAGATATGCAAGAATGGAACATGTACTAGCATTGCAGTAGTGCAAGTCATGTTAGTTTGCCAAGGCCGCAAATGGTACTGTCGACTATAACTATTACATACCAAATTTGAGTCTCATGAGATCACTGGTTATTGCTGTGACAAATCAAAACTGTTAACATGGGCGTTCCATATTGTACATTAATCACTTAACTACAATATTGTATTCTTGAATAATTATTCGTATTCCTTACCCAATATTCATGATACGCATCATATTCGCCACATAGTGTATTCGTTGCAGCCCTAATCATTATCCCAAGAATAACATGCAGCCTTCAACCCCATGGTTACCAAGCAGAAACATGATAGTCAGAGCGTTGTTAAAGATGCAAATATCCCGGAGGAATGATGATAAATTAGTGATATGTTATTTATTGTCCACTGACAAGATGTGATCCCTGGAGGCACACCAGCCTATTGCTCATTGTCAAATCACAATATATTGAATTGTTTTTATAGCAGGGCTGTTATGATTCACTGGCGAATTTGGTGAATGGAACCATTCCTTTTATAAATTCAACTCATTATTCGTGATCATTAGAATTGAATATCCATTTTTTTAAGAAAAGAATGTTTTAAGTTGAATCTGAGAACATCAACTGAACATAACAAAATATAGTACATGATAACTTTACAACAGAGAATTCATAATGTCTTATTTCCGTGGATAATCATGATGATGGGAACCTGATACTTCTGTATCTTCCTGTCAAAAACATTGTCAGTAAATGCCACCCTCTAAATATCTTTCCAGAAATCCCATTTTGACATTCCTACAAGTCATCTTCCCACATTAAGCTAATATGTTGTGAAATAACAAAAATATTCTTGATCAAGGCAATGTTAACCCTAACCTTCCTTATAGTAGTAATACAGAGCTTTAAGAAAGGCAGACATTGTTCATTACAACCTGGAGTTATCTGAACATTAGTCACTGGACACAAAGCCTTATTTACTTGTTTCTTCTAGACTCACAGTCCCTAAAATAACCTCAAGCACTGTCAGGATATATTAGCACCAGACATAGGCAGTGGTGTTAACCTCAAAATGCTCAGTAAAGCTGTGGACACATGTGAATTTCACAGATACTTACTTCTTGACAGCTACTTTCTCCCCCGTCTCGATATGGGTGGCAAGCAGCACGCTACCGTACGTGCCGTCCCCCAGCTGTTTCGTTAGTTGGTAACGATTCATAATGAACTGTTGATGTCTCTACGCGCTAACTAGCTACTGTATCCTGAAAAATAACATCATTAACATCATTATCACGTAACAAGCACCAAAAAAATTACTTGTGGTTGTCATTTGTTTTCTTCACGCAATTGTCAACAATTGTTACTGTTCTCTCATTTATCATTACAATCATCATAATGGCAATACACAAATCCATGTTATTGTGTTTCTCATATTCTCATCACTTCACAGTGACACTCCCTCCTAATGTCTACTTGGCATGGTTAAATAGTGAACTTGGGATATCATGTTCTGTAAATCATTAAATTTATGTATGCATGAAATCACATGAAAAATGTGTGCGCACCTTGCTTGCATTAATAAAGGGATGCACTTTTATCTGAACACATCATCTGGTCTGTTTCAATTTAGATGACAATCAAGCAATTTTTGCAAAGGGTGCCAAGGTGCACCATGCAGAATAATTTAGGTGTGCCTTTGTGAAAATAAGTGTGCACACATGATGATCCAATTAAACTTAAAACATTAAGGGTTTAATTTTCAGAAAATTCACTTCACTTACTGAAAAGTCGAGAATGCTTTCTGCATACCTGACTCAAATAAGAGCTGCTGATTGCAAGTAAAACTGCCAGTTTCAAGGACAAAGTACTGCATATATTTCATTCATAGATCCTCCCTTTCAGTGTGAGTAATGTTTTTTCCATATACACTTTTCAGAGTTTTCAGAGCACATTGCATTGTTTGTACATGTGATTTCCGTTTCCTTGAACACTAGCAACCCCATAACACGAGCAACAGACAACCTTATCAGTCTATGTCAATACTGTGACATGATGGAATAGTCCTGACATGACAACATTACTGACATCATCGATAAATACAACACTTTCCCACAGAACATCCTGGTATGGAAGTACGATGTGAAAATAACACAAATATTGGCATTAAATAAAAATGTAGGGGATGACTAAGCATGTTATTGTCTGCTGTTTAATGCGCCTGTCAGCAATATTCCAATTATATGAAAGAGGCCTGTAAACAAGTTAGCCTGAGCCGGCCAATTTTGTACTGGACAAACGCGTGCGTCAATTTAGGTAAACTCAGCAAGCCCGACCACTTGATTCTTTCTGTCACCGATATTTTAAGTATATGAAAGAGGCATGTAAACGACTTATTCTGTGCCTAACAATCTTGTGCTGGACAAACATGTGCGTCAATTTAAGTAAACTAAGCAAGCCTGACCAATTGATTCTTTCAGTCACCCCTCACGACAAATATGCAGAAGACAAAGTATGGCATCTCAAGGGTTGACATAGGAAACAACCTAATTCCTAACATCATGGACCAATCAGAATAAATCTTGGGTAACACACACCTAAAATATAATTCCCCTTTGTTGCACAAGTTTTTCAGTATCAGTGATTTATTACAACTATGCACTACTTTGGATAAAGACCATGTACATTCGATTATAATAGTTGGGCTAACAACTGGAACAGACCTTTGAACATAGATCTGTTTTCATTCCATCATTCAGTGATTGGAACTGGAAGTGATCAAGGCCGTTATTCGCATTACCAGATGTCAACATAATAACATTAATGGCCCCCAAAACAAGTACCATTGGTGAATTAAGTATTAACGTCCATGAAAAGACAAATGATGTGCAGAAGGGATAGTTTGTGAACTTGACTGTGTCCGCTGTCATTGTCAGCCGGATTGAGTTCCAACATTCCAAGATCATTAGATCTCTATCGACTACCGTTTCACGTTTCTCACATTTTCTGCCTCATTTTCCGTGGTGAACGTTCGTCAACACATACTATAATTTTCTTAGACCAAAAGTACAGTCATATTACCTAAAACAACGCGATATATCCCGTTGTTTACTGCATATCCAAAGTGTCATGTTATCCTTGTCCCGTCACACGCCGCCATGTTTGTAGTTGCTATTTGGCTCTCGCTGCTAGTCACGTGACACTTCTGACAACAATGGCGTCGAGTGATAGATCAATGACTAGTGTTGTCTATGTACATACCATTATATGTAGTCGGACGTTTCTTATCACGTTACATCTAATTTTCTGTAACTTATGCAACTTCTGATTTTATAAAGAATTCTAAACAGCAGATTTCTAAACACAGAATTTGAACAGAGACATGGTCTATGGAGATAGGCTCAGAAAGGTTAACATTAGCAGAGACCATATGGTATCTGACATTGGCTGATCCAGAGGGAGGGAGAGGGAGGGGGAGGGGTTCGACCCCCTCTTTTGAAAATGACTTAAGACCACATTGAAGATTTTTTATGTGTTGGGGGGTTCGAACCCCCTGAACCCCCCCTTTTCAAAATTCCTGGATCCGCCCATGTCTGACATTAGGTTTCGGCCTGGCAAGTGATAGGTTGTACACTTAAATGCTGAAGTTCTTAGAAACAACCATTCTGTCGCTGAATCTAGACTTGAGGTTCTATTTTATTTTCACCCAGACTGTCAAGTGACCATAATAAACGTAACACCACAGGTCCATTAAATATTTATTGTTAGGCCTACATGCACTGTATTGACTCTTTGAATGCATGACAAATTGCGGATAATAAACTTTATCTTATCTTATCTTATCTATTTTCGTTGTTTTTAGGGGTTTTCGTTTTTGTATTTTTAAGTATCTATTTTTAACAAATCAATTTAATTGTTAATCATGAACGTTTGATCACCTTTGCTCAGTCGTTTCGGGACCTGTGTTTGGTTTGTGTGTTCCGCGCTTTGCTATACGATTGCTATATGCGGCAGTCTCTAAATAATCGAGTCTGGACCAGACAACCCAGTTATCAACAGCATGAACATCGATCTGCGCAGTTGGGATACGATGACATGTTAACCACGTCAGCGAGCCTGACCCCGATCCCCTTAGTCCCCTCTTACGATACGCTTGGGTTACTGAAGATCAATTCTAACCCGGATCTTCACGGGTCCCTGGGGTCCACAATGATCCAGAATCCCTATAGGGGCTTTATTTTTGCCAAAAATAAGACACAATCTATATGACTGTCAATGAACACAGGCCGTGCGTAGCCTGGAACCCATATTCTGAACAGAAATTAACAATGGAGCTGAATTCCATAATTTTGAAAGGATTTTCTATTTCAAAGCATTTCTTCTTTTTTCTTTGATTTCATCTTGAATACTTGTGTCCTTAATTATACGTAATAATTTCAGGATTTACTGCTACAGTATATCATGACTTAGTGAATGTATCCATCACAACACTGTAGAATATGCTCGTCATAAGATACGACTAACGGGATCGGGTGGTCAGGCTCGCTGACTTGGTCGAAACATCCCAACTGCGTAGATCGATGCTCATGTTGTTGATCAATGGGTTGTCTGGTCCAGACTCGATTATTTGCAGACCGCCGCCATAAATCCTTTCGAAAATATGGTATATAGCTCGTTAATGTTGGGTCAGAATATGTATGGATTGCCGGCTACGTATGCTAGTCGTTACAAGAGCCATTTAAATCTGGTTGTCGGTCAGGCCTGCTTACTTGGTTCATTGTGTGGATCGATCCTTATAGTGTCAGTCACTAGATTGTCTGGTCCAGACTCGATTATTGACAGACCGCCGCCATATTGCTGGAATACTGGTAAGTGCGGCGTAAAACAACAAACAATCAGTCAACAACAATGTTAGTTATTTTGGGGTCATCTCAGTTTCCAATGTATACTTTTTTTTCCTCCACAGTTTCATGTTATTTAATCAAGAAGCGACGACCTGTGACCTTGAAAACTTGTCCTTTTTCTATTGACCCATGATCATACATTCAGAATCAGCCGCTATTGTACTCTTTATCAGCTAATGTTACATACAATATGATTTAGAGCATAATCTGTACAAGGAACGGCGGATAATCTGCGAGAATTCATTTTGCAAATGAAAGCCTTGTAAATGACTTTCAGCAATCCCAGATTACCCGTTACACTTAGGTTGTAATGTGTTTTATTCACGGGCGTACTTCTGTTCTATGTAGAAAAGTGTATTACATGTCCACAACACTGTCCAATGCTTTTGTTGGACCCACGTCACTTAACATCTATTGTGACATCATGTACAACTATTAGATATTTATTACTCACCCGTTGAAGATATCAGTGTTTAATAATTTTACAATGTTATTACACTGCCGTACGTAAAACTGGTTTACAGTTATGACGTCACAATGCTAATACCTCTGTCGCAATAGTATTAGACCTTGCTCGACTCGCGGAAAGCTGAGAGTCATCACACTCGTTGAATTCTTAGGAAAGAAGTACTTTGCTCGATATCATTTTGCTAATGTTGGGTGAGTAATAAACAAAATACTAAGCTATGTCCCGTGTATTACCATATTTATGAAACTCGTATTACACGGGACATCGTTTAGTATTCTCTATATATACTGAGTCAAAAAAGAAACTTCACAAAATGTAATTTGAAAAATAATGAATAATTTTTCTCTGATGATACATCTATGTATCCGAAATGGGATCCCTATCTTTCGACTCTAGAAAAACGTTAGCAAAACCCACTCAAACCCATCCATTCGTCGTGCAAATGACGTTAGTGCCAAATCAGGTTTTGCACGTGCAGTCGATCACGTGATCTTCGCATCGAAGTTTTCTTTATATGCACGTGTTTGCATTGGCCTCAAGAATTGAAAAAACACTTTTAAACCACAGTTCTAACGGTACTTGAAATGCCACGATTGTCAAATGTGCAGCGTGAACGTGCCGTTGGCATGTTGCAAGCGGGAAGATCAGTTATTGACGTCGCAAGAGCAATGGGATGCAGCCGTCGTACTGTGTATGACTTGCGAGGTCGTCTACAACAAACTGGCACCACTTCTGATCGCCCAAGGTCGGGTCGTCCACGTGTGACGTCACGAGCAGAAGACCGTCAAATCGTCCTACGTCACCTACGTGACAGATTTCTGCCGGCTACACGAACCAGGGCTGAGATGTTTAGAGGTCGACTGTCCTCACAGACCATTCGAAAATCGGTTGCGGGCTGCCAATCTCCATTCTCGACGTCCATATCGTGGGCCAATATTGACGCCGTTTCATCAACGTCAACGTCTGCTGTGGGCCCAACGTCACCTCCGATGGACCCAGAGAGACTGGAATCGAGTCGTCTTTAGCGATGAATCCAGGTTTACCCTCAGATTCGCGGACGGCAGGCATAGAGTCTGGAGACGACGTCGTGAACGGTATGCCCAATGTTGTGTACAGGAAGTCGACAGATTCGGGGGCGGAAGTTGCATGGTGTGGGGTGCTTTCTGTGGGAATAACCGTTCCCGACTTCTGGTCATCCGTGGAAACCTCACAGCTGCTGCTTACAGCGACCAGGTGCTCACCCCTGAACTCGTTCCTTTCATGGCGGTTCATGGCCCAGGTCTACAGTTCCAGCATGATAATGCTCGGCCGCATACCGCGATGTTGACATGAAATTTCCTTCAACGAGCTGGAATCGACGTCATGGACTGGCCATCGAGGTCCCTTGACCTTAATCCAATAGAGCACGTTTGGGATGCACTTGGGAGAAGGCTTCGTGGTCTTAGGAACCAACCTCAGAATTTGCAGGAACTTGGCGCTGCCTTGCAAAGCAATGGCGCAGAATCCCCAACCACGTGTTCACAAGCATCAGGCAGTCGATGAGGAGACGGTGTTTGGCAGTGGTGAATGCGCGGGGCGGCCATACACGATATTGAACTGAGAAATTTCGCATTTTGATTCTTGTGACTTGACATTCTGTATACCCCATGTTTTGGAACGGCGGTGTAGCCTAATGGAACTGATTATGGCACTGTCAGTGTATCGAGTACATCACACAGATCTCAGCAATGAAATAATAACAATTTAACCATCTTACCATCTCTTGTTCTTTTATAGTTCCCTGAAGAAAGAATGTGAAGTTTCTTTTTTGACTCAGTATATTACTCTCCCGTGGAAGATACTGCAGTGTAATATTTCTACGGCAATATTACATTAGAGTAATACGCATGACGTCATAATGGCTTACAGCTATGACGTCACAGTACTACTACGTCTGTCACAATAGTATTGGACCTTGCTTGACTCGCGGAAAGCTGAGGCGGAAAGCTGAGAGTCATCACACTGTAGGCAGTTTCTGTCATATTCATGTTGGAGAGTAATAAACAGAATGCTAAACTCACTTCCGTGAAATACCATTTTTATTAAATTTGTGAAAGATTTAGTATCAAACTGGTTTTCGCTTGTTTGATACTAAATCTTTCACAAATTTAATAAAAATGGTATTGAAACTCGCTTTCGCTTGTTTGATACCAAATCATTAACTCGTTTAATGAAAATGGTCTTACACGGATGGTCGTTTAACATCCTCTATACAATTTAATGAGTTGCTATGGACGCTTCAGAAACAATCGAACAATATTGTCTTTAACGTTTGAAAGTAATTCGCACATTACCCTTTAAGAGACCTGATGAAGGAGCAAGTATACGCACCAAAACGCCGTGTTATTCACAATAAAGAAGTTGACATCCATAAATCGTGCTTTTCTTATAAATTTGTAATTCCCTGAATCTTATTGTAAAAGTCATGAGTCAGGCTCTTCTTTATCGGTTAGGGACATAAACGTTTTGATTGTTGAGAATGGTTTCCAGTAAACTATGGTAATGTGTTGTGTATGCTCCAAAGCGTTTTTTCATCGTGTTCAGTGTGCATCTTTTACAAAGATCAGCAAGCCCTGCACGCTTACTTCGCTATTACGACGTCAACCAATCCAGTGACCAGACCACCCGATCCTTCTAACCTCAAAAACCGTGGCAACCCGTGAAGATCCGGGTTAGAATTGATCGTCGGTAACCCATGCTTGTCGTAAGAGGCGACTGACGGGATCGGGTGGTCAGGCTTGCTGACTTGGTTTACACATGTCATCGTATCCCAATTGCGTAGATCGATGCTCATGCTGTTGATCACTGGATAGTCTGGTCCAGACTTGATTATTTACAGACAACCGCCATATAGCTGGAATATTGCTGAGTGCGGCGTAAAATTAAACACACTCAGAACCGGCCGTTTATGAAGACTGATTCTAACCTGAATCTTCTAGCGCTACAAACAGGGAGACACCATGTCACCCGACAGATATACACCTCAACATAGATCAAACATATTGAGGGAAATTCAAACACAAGACGCCGAATGATTCAGTGTTAATAGCTGGAGTTAACACACCTCTTTATGCTGAAATATTAAAGCTTATTTAATCTGCTTGCAGTGTAGGTATTGCAAGTCGACGCGTTCACCTCTGTATGTCTTATGTAGGTTGTTGTACCAGCAAGGGACAACCTGTTCACCTGCATGTAACTGCATGAATGCCTCTGTTGAAATGTAATCACAAAACGGAGGGTCTCCAACTGAGATTTTAGTCGTGAGGCACTCCATGGGTTCACGGTTCTGCATTGTCCGATGTCCACGACCGGCATTGTAGACCGTCTTCAAAAGAACAAGTTATGTTAAATCACCAAGAGCACAAGTTATAGTTGGTTATAGATTATGTATTAGATGTAGTTCGATTCAAGAGCACATTATATAATCAAACGCGTTACAGTCACTCATCAGCCAAGAGCATGTTTTAGATCATCATTAAGAGCATTCTATAGTCCACCATTAAGAGTATTTTATAGTTCTTCATGTACAGCACCTGTATGTAAATTGTAATCAACGCACTTGTTATATACTTCATCAAGTCCGTTGTCAAGAGAAGGTTACGTAATCCCATCATTAAAGCACATGTCAGTCTGTTTTTAAGATCATGTTTAGTTCCGTCATCTGGAGCATGCTGTATGTTATCATGAAGATGTAATATTTAGTTAAGCCAGTGCATGCGTAATAGTCCGTCCTCAAGGAGTCTGACATCTCGGGCCAGTTATAGTAGCTTGTTTGGGATATGTGTTATGTCCCATCATCATGTACAAGTGATATAGTCTATCAGGGCAAGTTCTAGTCCCTGTAGTCTGTTTAGTGCAACCGCCTCCGTGGTGTAGTGGTTAGAGCGTCCGCCAGGAGAGCGGAAGGTCGCGAGTTCGATCCCCGACCGCGTCATACTAAAAGACGTTAAAATATGGTACTTGTTGGTCCCTGCCTGGCGCTCGGCATTAATGGGTACATCAAGGACTGGTCAGCTCGGAGTCAGTGTAATGTGTCCGAGTGGGGTATTCATGCTTCACTGTGGCATGGTATCTCAGTGGGCTAGCACTATAAAACCAGCTTCAGTCTGGGCTAGTACAAGCAGCCGCACCTACACATACACACGCATGCACGTCGTCATATGAGCAAAATATTCTCAATAACGACGTTAAACCCAATTGCACCGCACCTCACCTCACTTCACCTGTTTAGTGCAGGTGTTTTAGTCTGTTGTTCAGGGCCCCGTTCCTCAAATTGATCTTAGCACCACGACTGATGTAGGTCCTTGTTGAAGTATATGAGTTACGGTCGCCTTAGTGCTAAGTTCACATTTTGGAACAGGGCCCAGGACCAGTGTTTTATGCCACAACCTCGTATATCTGTTGTAGTCTATTGTTCGGGACCAAGGATATATTCCACAATCTGGTATATCAGTTGTAGTCAGTTATATAGCATGCGTTGTAGACTGTCATGTGGGGACAATGTTAGTCTATTGTTTACCGCATGTGTTTCAGTTCTTGGTCTAGAACAGGCATCATAGTTATCCTAGACCACATGTTATAGTCCTTGGTCCAGAGCAGGAATTATAGTCCCTGTCCATGGTTCTGGGTAGATCATAATATACTGAATGTATGACACATCCAATCAAGAGATAAACACAAACCTCAGCTTTGGCTGACTGACTGACTGAGTGAGTTTGGTTTTATGCCGCTTTTAGCAATAATATTCACAGCAATATGTGTGTGTGTGTGTGTGTGTACCAGAAATGGGCTTCACTCATTGTACCCATGTGGGGATTCGAACCCAGGTCTTCGGCGTGACGAGGCAAAGCTTTAACCACTAGGCTACCCCGAGATAAGCGCCCCCCTCAGCTTTGGAGTCAGTTTTGAAAGCGTCTAAGTCTGCTTTGTTCTTTATCAGTCAGCCATTATGAACCTTTTGACTGTAGTCAGTAAACACTCAAGTGACTGATATTAGTAAAATATTTTCAGTGCCATCAGGTAAAACAATAGGCAACAACCATGTCGGGACTCTGACCACCTTTGATCCAGTTTTCATTGACATCTGTTTCCAAGATATTTAGAAACCATTTTTCAATTAATGACACACAACTCTAAATGGTGAATAAAAATCTTTTATTTGAGACAAAGATGAATGTGTTGAATACAAGTTATTTCACCCCCTCAAGAAACATCTTCCAGTAAGACATAACAAAGCATCACCCACCAGACCCATCCCTCTCTATTGATGCCCATACCCCTCTGGTGTACACCCAATGCATCAATTCCTATCAATGTATCCCACCCACTTCATTAGGTGTCCCCACCACGCTTCCAATATCAACTGCATCTTGTAAGTGTACCCACATCACTGGTGTGTACCCTGCCCCTCCCCAACCTACATCAACAGCATGTTGTGAAGCCCACCCGTATCACTAGTGTGAGCACCCAACTCCACCCATATAACCTTCTGAACCTTCAGTCCCTCAGATGTCACTATCATCACTGATTGTACCCCAAGCAATTCACTTGTCTGTACCCCCACATATCACTAGTGTCTGTACCCCCATATCACTAGTGTCTGTACCACCCACCCATATCACTAGTGTCTGTACCCCCCACCCATATCACTAGTGTCTGTACCCCCCATATCACTAGTGTCTGTACTATATCCCCCATATCACTAGTGTCTGTACCCCCATATCACTAGTGTCTGTACCCCCCATATCACCATATGTCTAGTGTCTGTACCCCCATATCACTAGTGTCTGTACCCCACCCATATCACTTGTGTCTGTACCCCATATCACTAGTGTCTGTACCCCCATATCACTAGTGTGTCCATATACCCATATCACTAGTGTCTGTACCCCCACCCATATCACTAGTATCTGTGTCCCCCATATCACTAGTGTCTGTACCCCACCCATATCACTAGTGTCTGTACCCCCATATCACTAGTGTCTGTACCCCCCCATATCACTAGTGTCTGTAAACAACATAATTATGTTAATTATGTTGTTTTCTTTGTTACATTGTTACATCCAGTATATATATACTTCCCCCTTCTTCATGTTCCATTATGCTTGACAACGGTACAAGAATCTGTATCGAAACGTCGCACTCACGAATAAATAGAAGTTGTTATCCATAAAGTTTGTTCTATATCATATCACTAGTGTTTGTACCCCACCCATATTACTAGCACTTACGGGTCTCACTAGGGGTCTCACTAGTATCTAACCCCTCCCGTATCATTAGCATGTCATGCACCCTCAATAACATATCCCCCATTGAGCACTGTGAGCTGTCAGCAGATACCAGTAAGGCAATAACAATAATAATAGAAACAATAGTAGTACAAAGTCCCACAGGGCTAAAGAAACAATCAACAGACCACCCTCTACACAGCCGTCCGAGCTGTCACCCACAATGATCCCGCTAGGTCACAGATCGCCTCTTATAAAGGCACTAGGAATTACTCAACATACAAAGCCTCCTGTTCAATGATCATTTCTAGAGGTGCACCAAGATCAACTCTACAAGCAAGCTCAAGTACCAAGGTCACCTGTAGAGGTAAGCCTCAGATACTAAGGTCAGTTCTAGAGGTCAGACAATGTACCAAAGTCCCCTCGACAACTAAGCTGAGGAACTGAGGAAGCAAGCTGTGGTACCAAGGTCACCTGTAGACAATGTATCCTCTACTACTAATCTGAGGTACCAAGATGAAACTACAAGCAATTTCATGTACCAAAGTCATACATCAACACTCACTCAGGTACAAACGTCTCCTCTACATATCAGCTGCAGTATCAAGGTAGCCCCTAGAAGTTAGATGATATACCAAGGTCACCTCGGGAGAAATTTTAAAACATGAAGGTCACCTCTGGTGGTAAACCTGTGAAACAGATCACTTGCAGAGATCAGTCAAAAGCATCATGGTTATCTCCTGAGGTGAACATCATGGAACATTCGAGATCATCTTGGTAGTACTATCACTTCTAGTGGTCAGCCTACTTAAGCAAGGTCACCTCAAAGGGTCAACCTACATCACCTCTGGAGTCTGCCTACTGTTGGAAGATGACCTCTACAGATCAACCTTATGCAACAAGGTCACCTCTTGGGTGTCTGCCCTCAGTAACAAGGTCACATCTAGGGGTGTGCCCACTGGATCATGATGACCTCTACAGGTCAACCTTCTGTAACAAGGTCATCTCTAGCGGTCAGCCTAGTGATGAGAGGTCATCCATAAATTCTAGAATTATACTTTTGAGAGCATTTTATACTCTTTCACATATTAGGGTCATCAATACGACCAGAGGTTAGTGTGAGAAGTGCAACGAAAGGAAACAAGGTGCACATTTTGCTAACATGCATTCACATTTTACTTACACATGCAGTGTAATCAAACAACAAGCTGTAACAGTGTCTCAGACTCTATGAGAACAAGAATGCATAAACTCTATCACCTGTATCACCAGAAGACACCACACAAGGACTGGTTCTATCACTTATACACTCCTACACAGCAGGAGTATGGTTGCAGTATTATGTCTTAGACAGCACCAAGTCACCATCTGTACTCATTATGCAGGGAGTTATCACTGGGAGTCGTGCTGCCATTTTAAACATTGTTGCAAAAACATCATCACGACCTCAGATTTTCACTGACACATTCCGTCAGAACGGGACATGTCACATTCTGTCAGTTAACACACACACACAGGTTATCATGGCTGCCAATGTCGCGCAATACTTGTGCCATCTTGATTCTTCTGAACGGGACATGTCACATTCTGTCAGTTAACACGTACACAGGTTATCATGGCTGCCAATGTCGCGCAATACTTGTGCCATCTTGATTCTTCTGAACGGGACATGTCACATTCTGTCAGTTAACACACACACAGGTCATCATGGCTGCCAACTGTCGCACAACACTTGCGCCATCTTAATTCTTCTTCTGTGGCCTATGCCCTCTCCAATTCATAAAGACCATGAGGCCTGCATTGGTAATAAATGTCAGTTTTGCGTATCCCAAACACAAAGGCATCTCCTGTACACCACATGATGCCTTGCACCACATTACAACACTGTTGCCACATCACAACATCGGGCACACGCGTGTCGCACAGTGCACGACATGGCCCTGTTCTGTGTTTTACACAGTGCACTACACATACAGCCACAGTTGACCTTGACCTCTACACGATGATGCAATCATCGAACTATGACAACATCCACTCTGCATATTATGCTACACTATGTGTTGGGCAACCTAGCACTATGTCGCTTCTATCTGCATCACGCTTCGTTGGCACTTTTGAACATAAGTATGCTGTTGAAGATCTTGAGAGCAGGACCAAGCTTTATATTCATGATCTTCACAATGTCAGTTTGATTCAAGAGAAGGAACGCTTCTCCATCAATTTGCTGGAACAGAGAAAGTCAAGGGATAGTATTGTTTCATTGATACAATATTGATAATGTGGCATTGATAACACATTTAATTAACTTCGACAGTACTGAAACGTTAATTTGACATAATTTGATCAAGACACAATAGTTGCCTACTGCAACTCTGTCATGAGAAAAAATCCAGCTGCTTTAATAGAGAAACCAGTTGGTATACTAAATAGCCATCTCCTGAGATGAATCAAACATCTTGTATGATAAATCATATCCATGACTAACTGTCTATCTCGATGAGTTATCAATTTGCCAAGAAAAATGAGCACCCTTCTTGGATACAACTATCAAGCCAGACAAGGAAACTATCAGGTTGACTAATGCTACGTGCATCCCATATGTATGAAATCAAGCTAGAGTTACCTCCTCCTGAAAGACCTTGCCCTGTTCCTCACAGCCTGGGAGTGTCTGCACAAAGTCAGCCACCTCTGTGATGGTCCACTTGGATACAGTGCCAGCCCTGATCTTGTCGACGCCTGGCAACAGCTTAGAGTGCTGTTCCCAGCACAGAGGGAGGTCACGCGCAGGGTTGGGAGCCATGGCCGACATAAAGACTGACTGGTGGATCTCCTGGTGAACAGCCTCTGTGTCTTCCTCTGGAGGAGAGAGCATGTCGTTAAGTCCTGGATGTACATCCTCCATACAGACACGATAGTCTCACATATACACAGCCAGGGGGAGAGAAAATGTCTGACACATCACCAAATAAACACCCCCTGTAACCTATACACCCCCCAACCCCACACAATATTCTCATATATACACAGCCAGGGGGAGAGAAAATGTCTGACACATCACCAAATATACACCCCCTGTAACCTATAATGCCCCCCCACCCCACAGAATATTCTCATATATACACAGCCAGGGGAGAGAAAATGTCTGACACATCACCAAATAAACACCCCTGTAACCTATATCGCCCCACCCCCACAGAATATTCTCATATATATACACAGCCAGGGGAGAGAAAATGTCTGACACATCACCAAATATACACCCCTGTAACCTATCGCCCCCACCCCACAGAATATTCTCATATATACACAGCCAGGGGAGAGAAAATGTCTGACACATCACCAAATATACACCCCCTGTAACCTATAAGGAGAAAATGTCTGACACATCACCAAATAAACACCCCTGTAACCTATCGCCCCCCCACCCCCCACAGAATATTCTCATATATACACAGCCAGGGGAGAAAATGTCTGACACATCACCAAATATACACCCCTGTAACCTATCGCCCCACCCCACAGAATATTCTCATATATACACAGCCAGGGGGAGAGAAAATGTCTGACACATCACCAAATATACACCTGTAACCTATCGCCCCACCCCACAGAATATTCTCATATATACACAGCCAGGGGAGAAAATGTCTGACACATCACCAAATATACACCCCCTGTAACCTATCGCCCCACCCCACAGAATATTCTCACATATACACAGCCAGGGGGAGAAAATGTCTGACACATCACCAAATATACACCCCTGTACTAATATCGCCCCACCCCCACAGAATATTCTCATATATACACAGCCAGGGGAGAGAAAATGTCTGACACATCACCAAATATGTGATACATAACCTATACCCCGAATATTCTCATATATACACATTGAGTGAGTCGAGTTTTATGCCGCTTTTAACAATATTCCAGCAATATCACGGCAGGGGACACCAGAAATGGGCTTCACATATTGTACCAAACATATACACAGCTGTTGTCTTCCCAGGGGCGGAGAACACATCTGTCGCTGTCTCACGATATATCATTAACACACCCTACATATTTTTTGGGACAGCTGTCAATTGAAGAACCCTCTGGTGGCGTAATCTATTGTATTTGGATACTTGAGATATTGGTATACCGTTGATCCTTTTCACAAAGCAGACCACTTCAGCCCTGATTTTTAATTTATTTTCAGAAAAACATGCATACCCACTGAGATAGTTAAAATAATGTTTTAGCCTGTCCCTTCTCTAAAGTATGTCTTGATAAACATTCAAACATCTCAATAACCTGATTTTTCCTCAGGTGAGGTGAAATTGGGTTTATCATCGTGCTTGAGAATATTTCAGCTTCACATGACGGCGTGCATGTGTGTGTATGTGTATGTACTGCTGCTTGTACTAGCCCAGACTGAAGCTGGTTTTATAGTGCTAGCCCACTGAGATACCATGCCGCAGTGACGCATGCATACCCCACTCAGACACAATATACTGACTCTGAGCCGACCAGTCCTTGTTGTACCCATTAATGCCGAGTGCCAGGCAGGGACCAAAAAGTACCATATATTAACGTCGTTTGGTATGATGCGGTCGGGGATCGAACCCGCGACCTTCCACTCTTCGGGCGGACGCTCTAACCACTACACCACGGAGGCGGTGATATTTTCTCCGATACGTCTGAACAAACATGTCGCTGTCCCCTGTGATACTTGAATTAACTGTTGTGAAACTTCTGACTTGACCACACTTACTGATCTCCTCCTTGACCCGGAACTGTCGTTCTACACGCTCACCGAATCTCAGGAACTTGTGTCTGAAACACGACACACATCTTAATCTTGATGACAATCAGACCATCATTAGTGAGTGAGTGAGTTGGGTTTTATGCCGCTTTTAGCAATATTGAATTCCTGAAATTCTATCCACAACTAACCCTCAACCTCAAGACGGCTATGTCAACACACAACAGAAACTGATAGTGGTGAGTGTGAATCTCTATGTATGTATCCAGTGTACCTTTTTCGACCCCGTTTGGCACCAAAATATGGCTTTGGTGGACTGTCTTCTTTCTGTCTAAACTTGAGAAGGTTCTTCTCTGCTAGAGGACATCCAGACAGCTTGTGATGAGCAGTGAACTTGCCTGTGATGTGACCCGAACCATCACAGCCTGGTGTAGGACATTTCCTGAAACATGAACACGAGATTTAGAGATTTAGAGAGAGATTTAGAGAGAGAGATTTAGAGAGAGAGAGAGAGAGAGAGAGAGAGAGAGAGAGAGAGAGAGAGAGAGAGAGAGAGAGAGAGAGAGAGAGTGAGAGCTGAAGGGTCACATGTTTGTGAGGGGGTGATATTGTAGTGCTAGGGTGCAACTCACTTGGCCTCAGGGGACGATGGGTAGTCCAGCTTGCTGCGGGCTGACAGCGGAGTGGGTAGAGAGTCCTCAGACCGGGTGGAGCCGAGGCGGTCCTGCAATGTGGTCTCTTTGTTCATGTTCATGGTAGAATATGGGCAGCCGAATGCACTGGAACAATGGAAGCATCAGTTACAGCCATGGTATCATGTTAATCAATAAATGATAGGAGTCCAGGGCTCCTTGAGATCACTGACCAGTAATCTAAATCTGTTTCAAGAAAAAAACTCAACATAAACTTTCAACCATGACTTAAAAACGGTGTTCCACTTGACACATCAGCATGATAGTACACAGTACTATTCACTGTGTACTCAGTTACGACTTCTGAGAGAATACTGACCCAGAAAACAACACCTTACAGCATAAAACACAAAAGTATTTCCATCCATGTTAGTAACAACATAACTTGAACAACGTTAAGAACTAGAAGTCTGTTTGCATTGAAAACGTACCGATGAATGTCAATTTAAACAAAAAAGTAAATCGAATAAGATGAAATTAAGATTGCTAATCCTCATAATTTTACCTTGCCAACTGACCATTTAAATCTCAGAATTTTATTCAACTTAGGATAAAAGTTGTTTAACAAACGATCATAGTTTCAAATCGCTATTATTGGTTTGTATTATAAGGGTGTATGCACATTAAATGAAACACCGAGAACAAGTAGAGTTGTCTAAGTTAACGCTCATCACGAACCCTGCACGTGCATTTGTTTCACTGTTCCATCTACTGTGCTCACCCCCTTGTAATACAAACCAATAATAGCGATTTGAATGTATGATCGTTTGTTAAACAACTGTTATCAGTGAATAAAATTCTGAGATTTAAATGTTCAGTTAAAGGCAAATTTTGGAGGATTAGCAGTCTTAATTTCACTTTATTTGATTTACTTTTTGTTTAAAGTGAAATTCATCGATCGCCGTTTTCACTATACAAACTGACTAACCTCAAAGGCCCTTCATGTATAACCTAAACATGGGTTTAAGACAGTTATTGTTTTGTGTATAATGAGCAAGCTACGTAAGGATACTGATGTAACGATACACTACATATGATCAAACATGCCCAGCTATGACGGTTGTGTCACACCAAGATTCATCCCTTACCTGTGATGGCCGACATACTTGGCCCCCTTGATGTGGCCGACACCCCTACAGCCAGGGGTGGGGCACCCTCCTTGACTGGGGGAAGATGCCAGCTCAGATGGACCTTGATGGAGAAAAAGGTGACGTATAAATAACTATTAAGAATGCAAACGATACGATTCCCAGACTATGTGACATCATCGCTGTGACAAGCTACGTGACTCCCTCAATGGCTCAGACTATATAACTTACTCAGCCGACCAGACAGACTACCTACATGACACACTCAGGGGCCAAGACTACGTGACTCCCTCAATGGTTCAGACTATATAACTTACTCAGCCTACCAGACAGACTACCTACATGACACTCTCAGAGGCCAAGACTACGTGACTCCCTCAATGGCTCAGACTATATAACTTACTCAGCCGACCAGACAGACTACCTACATGACACTCTCAGAGGCCAAGACTACTTGACTCCCTCAATGGCTCAGACTATATAACTTACTCAGCCGACCAGACAGACTACCCACATGACACTCTCAGAGGCCAAGACTACTTGAATCCCTCAATGGTTCAGACTATATAAACTTACTCAGCCGACCAGACAGACTACCTACATGACACTCTCAGAGGCCAAGACTACTTGACTCCCTCAATGGCTCAGACTATATAACTTACTCAGCCGACCAGACAGACTACCATGACACTCTCAGAGGCCAAGACTACTTGACTCACCAATGGCTCCAGACTATATGACTGACTGACTCAGACTGACTGAGACTTTTAGAATACAGCAATACATGACACTCTCAGAGGCCATTGTACCCACCACTTGACTCCCTCAATGCTTTAACCACAGACTATGTTACTACTGAGCAGCCCAGAACAACTATATGACTTACTGAGTGGCGGTTCAAGGACATGTCCCGTCTTGCGGCACCAGCCAACAGGGCGAATCTCCGGGCTGTCGTCTTCCAAGTAGTAGTCGTAGACGTCGGACCAGCCATCAAAATGGATCCTGACCTGATAGTTTTCTGCCTCGGCTATAGTAGCAACACGCATCAGTCTTGGATTGCGACGGTCCACTACTTCTACCTTCATGGCGGGCTCAAACCCAACCTGGGGACGCTGCAAAAACATCAGCAGGTTACACCAAACCAGGTCTTACCATCATCACAGGATGCAGTGGAGCAGTGTACTGTACCCAATGTAGTATCAAATACCTGGGGAACCATTTATCCACTGACACAAATAGTCGGCACAGAGGTTAAAATTATTTAAAACATTGTGTAATCTAAATGTGACATTCAGGCACTAGGAGCTTACTATAACTGTGCCATAATGACTCTAATTATGTCTCTGGGACTCTTAACACAATGAACTTTGAAGCCTGGTGTAGCTTACTGGTTTGAAGGCCCTAGCTGGGACTGCTGAAGACTTGGACTGTTGCAGGTAGTCCTCCCAGGTGAACTTCTCTATGTCCTTCGTGTCTGCCAGCAAAATGGTCAAGTCAGAATAAGTGAGTAAAACATGCTTTCTGTTATATCAGCTATTTCAGCAAGGTCAAGTCTGCATACAGGAGATCTGATTGCATTGGATTTTACATTGAAGACTAAACTAACAGTTAGTGAAACAAATGCAGTTCCATGACACAGAACTACTATTTCTACAAATGACACTGATGTATCTTTCTCTGGAACTGTAGCATGTCATTGCAATATTCCAGCTATATGACGGTGGTCTGTAAATAATCGAGTCTGGACCAGATAACCCAGTGCTCAACAGCATGAACATCTATCTACGCAGTTGGGACATGAAGACATGTCAACCAAGTCAGTGGGCCTGGCCACCTAATCCTGTGAATCGCCTTTTACGACAAGCATGGGTTGCTGAAGACCAATTCTAACCCGGATCTGGAATTCTACTCATGCAGGGTGTTGGTCATCTTGACAGGTAACTCCAACCTGGAATTCTACTCATGCAGGGTGTTGGTCATCTTGACAGGTAACTCCAACCTGGAATTCTACTCATGCAGGGTGTTGGTCATCTTGACAGGTAACTCCAACCTGTCACACTCCAGTCATGTAACTCCAACCTGGTCATCCCTCACCAGGGTGTTGGATCTTCCCAAGCCGACCAGCACTTTCTCCCCAGCGCTGTTCTGTCACCAGCCGGCAGGGTGTATGACAGGGGAAGTTGTCACACCAGTAGTCCAGCTGCCTCCAGTTTCATGTGGATCTGCACTTTCTCCCCCAGCTGGTCTGTCACCATCTGGCAACACAGATCAGTTGACGTATAGTGAGTGAGTGAGTGAGTTTAGTTTTATGCCGCATTGAAGACCAACCTAACAGTTAGTGAAACAAATGCAGTTCCATGACACAGAACTACTATTTCTACAAATGACACTGATGTATCTTTCTCTGGAACTGTAGCATGTCATTGCAATATTCCAGCTATATGGCGGCGGTCTGTAAATAATCGAGTCTGGACCAGACAATCCAGTGATCAACAGCATCGGTCTGCGCAATTGGGAACTGACGACATGTGACAGAGGTATAAACAGATGTACATACAGAAGTGTCAGGCATAAGAAACAGAGATGTCAGACAGAAGAACAAACAGAGGAACAGACAGAAGAACAGAGGAACACACTGAAGAACAGACTGAAGAAACTGAGGAACAGACTGAAGAACAGACTGAAGAACACAGAACACTGAAGAACAGACAGAAGAACAGAGAACTGACAGAAGACAGAAGATCAAAAGAACAGAAGAACAGACTGAAGAACAGAGGAACAGACAAACAGATGTACAGACAGAAGCATCAATCAAATTGCGGCATAGGATAGAAGAACAAATGGGAGAAGATTAAACAGGGGCATCTGACAGAACATCAACAGAGGTATCTGACAAATGTTCAATTGTAACCATGCATTGAATGCCTACATCAAACAGGCACAAAAAGATAATCAAGCTGAATTAAAGAGAGAGGTATCCAACTGTTCGAAGTAGTCAGGACCTAACTATGCTTGTCCTCTTTCAAATCTAGAACCCACAGAGCAGGGTACAAGCCCTTCAGTATGTACACTTACTGTTGTAGGCAGGTTGATGAAGAGGGACTTAGGTGCTGCTGGCGCTCTTGACATTTTCAGATACATGTTCCAGGAAACCCCTCAGGTGCATAATCTATAACAGCAGTGAATATAAACATACAAGGCAATAAAGACTTTCGGTTTTGGTGGCCTAAAGTCTATAATACATAGTACTTTAAAATCAAAATTCTACAATAACCTACAAATAAGTGGCTGAATGAAAATGGAAAGTGACAATTTCACTATAAAGGATGAATTCTCACTTTTAGGGGGCTGGAGGGTTTTGCCGTTCTTCTCACACCAGCCAGTGGGGAAGAGGAAGGGGCAGTCGGCCATGGCCCAGAAGTCATAGCACTCGGAGTAGCCATCAAAGTGTAGTCGTATGCGATGTCCCTGCAGCTCAGCTACTGACAACACGCAGTAGAGCGACTGGTGGCGGGGGTCGATGCCTTCCAGCTTCATCCCCACCTTGAACCCAGGCTTCTGGCTGGCTGGAAATGGCTGCAACACATTGTAAGAAAACGGGATGTAACAGTCTGGCCTAGCTAGTTTGAATTAGGTCACTAAAACAACACTGATTTTATTAATCATATATTAACCGATTACCCAATTACCCTAATTTCATCAAGATAATCTGTTGCAGGAAACAGGCTGTGAGACTACAGTGAACATATGAAATATGGACTGTGGCACACATAGCAACTTGCCCACTACAGGAAATGCACATTACATTACACACATGCACTACGCAAAACAGCACCCATCTGTTGAGGAGTGAGTGAGTGAGTGAGTTGGAGTTTTACGCCGCACTCAGCAATATCCCAGCTATATGGCAGCAGTCTGTAAATAATCGAGTCTGGACCAGACAATCCAGTGATCAACAGCATGAGCATCGATCTGCGTAATTGGGAACCGATGACATGTGTCAACCAAGTCAGCGAGCCTGACCACCCGATCCCGTTAGTCGCCTCTTACAACAAGCATAGTCGCCTTTTATGGCAAGCACATGGGTTGCTGAAGACCTATCCTACCCCGGATCTTCACGGGTTGCACCCACATGAACTACACACATGAGTGAGTGAGTGAGTTTAGTTTTATGCCGCTTTTAGCAATATTCCAGCAATATCATGGCGGGGACACCAGAAATGGGCTTCACACATTGTACCCATGAAGGGAATCGAACCCTATTCTTCAGCGTGATGAGCGAACGCTTTACCCACTAGGCTAACCCACCACCACTACAGACATGAACCAAGCACAGCAACACCCACATGTGTTTCATACTACAGCACTCACATGAGCTACTCACTACAGTTCATACATGAACAAGACACTACAGGAAATACTACACTACATACTAGTGGTGGTCCGATTAATTGAAATAATCGAAGATTGGTCGTAGTGACTAAACGACCAAGCAATCGATCATAATTTCTCATAGTCGAACACAAACAATTCTGGAACACTTGTTTTCATTAACAATATTTTTCACATGGTTGGTTTTGTCTGTTATATTTCGTAAGCACTACAAGGTCGTTTCAAGTCATGACTGAATTTATCTTAAAGATTCCAAGAAATTTATGTTCCTAACACACTAGTCATCCTTTAAAGATATGAAATTTTGCCAAAAAACCCCAAATAACTACATGGTTTTTTCCCTTATTTTTATGTGCATTAACAAATTTCATAAATGACGCTAACCAATTATTTTCATTGATTGATGGGTAGAAATGAACCAATCATCAATTATGAGATTTTAACCAATTCCCAACACTACTACATACAGCAATGACACACTACATTTCATGCAGAAATTACCCACTGCATACAGGAACCACACTCTAGTACACACTGGGACACACCCTAGTACACACTGGGACACACCCTAGTACACACTGGGATTACATAGTGGATTTGTCTGCTTGGTTTGTTGTTCAGTGCTGCACTCAGCAATATTCCAGCTATGTGGCAGCGATCTGTAAATAATTGAATCTGGACCAGACAATCCAGTGATCAACAACATGAGCATCTTTCTATGCAATTGGTATATGATGACATGTTTCAACCAAGTCAGTGAGACTGACCACCCGATCCCGTTAGTTGCCTCTTACAACAAGAATGGGTTGCTGAAGACCAATTCTATCCTGGATCTTCACAGGTTGATTACACATTACAGTTCACACATGAATCTATTGTTTGCCAAACACAGAGGAAACTAATGACAAGAAACTCACATTCTTGAAGAGTTTGGCAGATGCCTCCACAGCATGCTCCTCTTCGAGGTACTGGCTCCAGGAAAATGTCCGTGACTTGCGACCTGCAACAGAAGTAGACAGTTCCTATCATTCATGGAACAAGATTTCATAAAGTTGAATCTATCAAGATTAGATCCTTATAATCTGGACCATGGTCATCACTGGACTAAATTTACAGTCTAGAATTTACGATATTATTTGATCTAAAACTAAAATCTGGACTCCTGATTCAAGACTGAAACATGAAACGGACTAACCGATCATAGTTGTCCCATCATCACTAACAAGAACCTATGCCTCAGCAACTCAAACATTGGTCCTACACATCCCAGGTTCATACAGATTCCACTGTATTTCTAATATCCGTGAGTGAGTGAGTGAGTTTAGTTCAGTTTTAAACCATTTTTAGCAATATTCCAGCAATATCACGGCGGGAGACACCAGAAATGGGCTTCACTCATTGTAACCATGCGGGGAATCGAACCTGGGTCTTTGCAGTGGCGAGCGAATGCTTTAACCCCCAGGCACCCCTCCACCCCGTCGACGAAAACTGAGATAATAACACACCTTGCATTGAGGGAAGTTTGTTCAAACCATCTTCTTCACTTCCAGGAATGCTGATCTTCAGTTTTGGGCGACCATCTTCTCCCATCACTAATTTGCGTTTCTTCTTCTTCATACCCAACAACAACCTTGGTCGTCCGGGACCGACTCGCTCCTTCACTGCAACCACTTCACTTCCAGTCTCCGTCCCTGGTTCAACCTTCACTCTGAAATATCAACAATCAACCTAAATCACACAATTCATCTATCTATTGTGATTACATAAGGTGTTACCACTTAACAAGTATTGACCTACAAGCATGACAGACCAGTCTTTAGGTAAGATCTTTCCTGTAACAATGAAATGAGTGTAATATGTTATACACAAAAAAGGACTAGGAAACATACTACTCTACTTTTCTTCAGGGTATAACATAATGTCATTCTATCAAATATACACTTTACCTATGAGTATTTGTTTTATTTATCATGCAAAGGTAAAAATCAAAAGGTCCCAAATGGACTAGGTCTGAAGTGGCATACACTGTGGTTGTAGTGTCGACATCAGCGATGCTGTTGTCACAGGGCTTGGTGTTGTCAGGTCGAGGAGGATCACTCTGCTGCTGCTGCTGCCCTTGGTCACTATCTGCAGGAGCTGTAACCAGACGCAGACAGTTCATCCCCGGCACATCATAGATAACCTGGTGTGTGTCCTGACAGATACAGTGCATCTCTTGACAGATACCCCGGTGTGTGTGTGTTTGAAATATACCCCGGTGTGTGTCTTGAAATATACCCCGTGTGTCCTGACAGATATAGTGCGTCTCTTGACAGATACCCCAGTGTGTGTCCTGACAGAAAACCCAGTGTGTTACCTGACAGATAACCTGTGTGTGTGACCTGACAGATATGTGTCCTGACAGATGTGTGTCCTGACAGATACCCCCAGTGTGTGTACCTGACAGATAACCCTGTGTGTGTTACCTGACAGCTATACCCCAGTGTGTGGTGTGTCTGACAGATACCCCAGTGTGTCCTGACAGATACTCCTGTGTGTGTGTGATCCTGACAGATACCCCTGTGTGTGTGTCCTGACAGATACCCCAGTGTGTCCTGACAGATACCCCAGTGTGTCCTGACAGATACCCTGGTGTGTCCTGACAGATACCCCAGTGTGTCCTGACAGATATCCCTGACAGATACCCAGTGTGTCCTGACAGATACCCCTGTGTGTCCTGACAGATACCCCAGTGTGTCCTGACAGATACCCCAGTGTGTCCTGACAGATACCCCAGTGTGTCCTGACAGATACCCAGTGTGTCCTGACAGATACCCTGTGTGACCTGACAGATACCCCGTGTGTGTCCCTGACAGATACCCCATACTCCAGTGTGTCCTGACAGATACCCTGGTGTGTCCTGCATCCTGACAGATAGTGTGTGTCCCAGTGTGTGTCCTGACAGATACCCCAGTGTGTACTGACAGAGTGTGTGTACTGACAGGTACTTTCGAGTGTGACCTGACAGATACCCCGGTGTGTCCTGACAGATACCCCGGTGTGTACTGACAGGTACTCAAGTGACTGGCACAGAGTTCTGGCAGACATTGTATCAGGTGTGTAATGTGAATGACCAACCTGCAGATAAGTGATTGTTGTTGGTAATGGCTGCCGAGTTTCTTGCACCCTCGATGTCAGCAGCATCATCTGTGATCAACTCCATAGCACCGAACTCGTTTATCTTGAACTACAACCACAAAGACATCTGTAGCATTCTATCCAAGTCTGGTGTCATCACACAAGGTACACAGAAAAGTGCTTATTGTGTTCATAATATATAATTTGTAAGTAAAAGGTTAATAGTTGACAAAAAACACTATTTTTCTCATATCTGGTGATGGTCCAAACTGTGTCCACTGATGACCTTCACAACAAAGAGGTCATAAGGTCACAAGCTTTTTCACTACTTTGATATAAGCAATGACCTTGACCTTTCATGTCAACAAAAAATATAACTGGAATGATCTTCAAGTAAAGCCTAAAACCACATTCATTACACCTGACGTTGATCTAACAGAGATAACAGTTCAACACTTGAGTTCCCAGATGGGCAAGCTCACCTTGAAGTCGCTGCCAGGCAGTGTGGCTACTCCATCCTCCCACACCATGGCATCCATTGGGTCAGCAGGTTCCTCTGTCACTTTGTCATCTCCATGTGTACCCTTAGCTGCCTCCGTCTGACCATGGTCATTGGACTGACTCTTGACACCAGACTGATTCACTTCACCGGAATGATTCCTCACACCGGGCTGTTTCTGCTCATTGGACAGATTCCTTGGCTGACTGCCAACATCCTTCACCTTGCTCTCATCCCCAGCTGCCTCAGGACCCTTGTGTGCCTCCATTGCTCGGTGTGCCTCTGGACCTCTATGTGTTCCAGTTCCATCTCGTCCCCCCTTCTTTGTCTCGGTGGCTTCCATGGTTGTCCTTGATTCCCCATGCCCTGCATCAGCAGCAGGAGCAGCTCCCACTGCTGTTGCAGGCTTTCCAGCACTTTCTGCTTCCAAGGAAGACACTATAGGGGGTGGCACAATGACATTTTGGGGTCGGCTATTTGGATCAGAGGCCATGATGACCCCGCCAGACATGCCCTGCTGGGTCTGCAGCACCATGGATGTCATGCCGTCTGTCTTCAGCCCCGGGTATGGTGGCGGGTCCTTCAGAATTATCGGGGTGTGAACCATTGCCTGCTGCATGGGGTCTTTCAGGAGAAGAGGCGAGTGCAGCATGGGGCTGGTCACCTGGGTGCTGGGCACCAGAGGTCGAGCGGTTTGAATCACCAGCTGTGGCCGAGCCTGAGCAAGTAACTGTGGCCTTTGTTGCAGCAGCTGTTGACCTGGACCTAGTCCTTGTGCTGCCTGAGATGCTCCTGGTGCAATCTGGAAGGTAAGCTGTGGTGCCGACACTGGACGCAAGCTGGGATGAGAGGCTGGAAGTCGGGCATTCTGCATGTTTATCGGCTGCTGGGCAAATCGGGTTGGGCGTTGTAATAGCTGCTGTCTCTGTGTGTGCAGTGGTTGTCGTGGTAACAGTGTTATTGGGTGTATCGTGACCTGCTGATGTGGAGAACGAGCTGCACTGGGTTGTCGAGGAAGAGCTGACATGTGCTGTAATGGAATGGAATGACCTGGTGCTGAGTGACTGGAGCCGTCCTGAGAGAGTGCCTTGACAGTCATTCCCGCAGTCATGATGGGCTGCCCTATTGTAGCCACTGTCTGGAGCGGCACAGACGTACGGGCAGGTAGAGTCACGGTCAAGGTGGCTCCTGCAGGGAGCGCCTGGCTGGGGGAGAGAATGGGAGTGGGGCCTCGCATGGGGAATGTAGAGGGGTTAGGAATCTTGAGCTGTGTGTGACTTGTTACCATGGGTGAGCTGGATGCTTGTTGAGGGTGTCCCTTTAAGGGCATACTGGTAGCAAGCACTCCTCCTGCCTGCTGCGAGTGGCTTTTCAAGGGCATGCGAGCTCCTCGGCCTGCAAAAAGAAGCACAGATGAATAATGTGTTTATCTTTACTGCTTAACAATAGGTAATATGACACATATCAACAATGATGGTAACTGTTTAGACTACATGATTACTTAGCAGCATGTAATATATAAGGATTAGTATGCAAACATGTTTCATGCTTATTTAGTGTCAGTATGATACACATGCGAGTGTAAGAATCTTTTAGTACTGATCATTTCCTTATCTTTCAGCTTTTTGGAAAAAATGCACCAACTATGACTGCCATCATAGACACGACATCATTCCAACCCTACAAGATTCCACAGCTGTCAACACGTGTGTCTGGACGAGGTAAACAATACACATGTTAAGTGGTCTGTGCACCAGAACACATGTGATTTCATAATCGTGGTTATTTCCTACCATCTGAGCAATAAAAGCTGTAGCTAGTGACTGAGCTGAAATTTACGCCGCACTCAGCAATATTCCAGCTATATGGCGGCAGTCTGTAACTAATCGAGTTTGAACCAGACAATCCACGGCTCAACAGCATGAGCATCAATCTACGCAATTGGGATACAATGACATGTGTCAATCCAGTCAGCGTGTCCGACAACCCGATCCCGTTAGTCGCCTCTTACAACAAACATGGGTTACTGAAGACCAATTCTAACCTGGATCTTCACGGGTAAAGCTGTAGCTATGAGAAGTTACTTGTGTTGCATGGTTAGCAGTAGAAAACTGATCTCAGGTCTCTTTCATGAAAGCAAACAATGGTGTAAGGTAATAGCAAACATTCTAAGGCCCCAAAAAATAAATGTTGTGGTTCCGATTTCCTACATTTCAGAACTAGGGTAGGTAGGTAGGGGTTTGGGTTTTTTTGGCAAAATATTTTTACATTACTCATGTGTCAGAAAATAAATTTAATTTATTATGTGATGAGTAAAATTGTTAGGCTCAGCGGGAATATTTAGGGTCGGTCGGGAAATCGGAACCACAAGCTTCTTTTTTTTAGGCCTAATTTGGGCCAAGGTACAGAAGCTCACATTAACATATATTCAACCTGACCTTTTTTGCCCAGATTTGATTGGTCACTTTATAATCACAGTGTGTCTGTATCAGTATTCTGATATCTATTCCAAATGCACACAAGATCATTTACTGAGTGCTCAGAAGGCAGATATTGTTTTGGAGCAGGACTACTGACAGAAAGCGTCAGAACACCTGACATATAAGCCTGTAAGTGGTATGGATTGAACAATATTCTTGTCTTTTGACACAGGAGACTACATGGCGGATGGTTGACTTCAGATTTAATAGAACATGTTTTGCTTCAATACTGTGACTTCCCCTTGATGAAATGCAATTTCAGATGTCCCCCATTTTCCAATACAAAATAGTCATCAGGTGTGATCAGTATGTAACATTATTTTAAGATTACAACATTTTAAGCATCATCAATACATAACATTCTTCTAACACAAATACAAATTGCAGTGTACTTCAGCATTTTATAACCAAGCAAAAAACCAGGCTAATGTGCACTCTGCTATTGAATGGGTTAGTTTGGTGCTTTTAATAGTATTCCAGTAATAACATCTCATGTGTGCTTAATGTAGGAGAGATAGAAGGAAGGTATGAACATTTCCTGCTTTGGTGAAACACACAAACATAAATCTGAACCTAAAATCATAGCAGAGGTGGAAATAACCCATTGCCCGACGCCCGAGTCCAGTGTCTTTTTCTGTCGGGCAAGCAAACTTGTATATCACACTGTACCGGTGTCCAGTTGACTTTCCAATGTTAATTATGTTATTTATTTAAAAAATCAACAAGAAAACGGCCGGTATAGTGGAAAAATTATCAGGGCAAGTGATTTTACATGTACCACTGTACCGGAGTACACTAGCAATTTTAAAGTTTTTTCCACCCTAGACAAGCCCATTTAAATTGAAAAGGAGCCCCAGGGAGACCAGAGATTCAGAACCTGAGGAAATCTAGACTTGCTTTATTTAGGGCTTTAGCACTACTGAGAGGGCTTGGCAGTGGGGAAAATAATGTGGTTCAGGGACTGTGAGACAGACTATTTCCACCCCTGCATAGGTTTATGTTTTAGTGACACAACCCTACACAGCTATTTGAGGTGCTTATAGACGACTCAGCCCCCTGCGAGCACTTAGTTTACATCACACAAACAGCAATATCTATTGTGCAAGAGGTGTCATATAGTGACGTCTGCTGAACACAATACTTTGACATCAGGCAATAAAGTCACACAATATTCATCCATCCATGAGGGCTCAATTCACTTCGGTAAGTAGTATCTCATTCTGTAGTTAAAAATACTCTCACATATCACATGTACAGAGCTCCAGATAAGATTTAGCTCATGTAGGTACTGTACCCACTGTATTTATTTGGAGTGGGTATTATGAATGTTGAGTGGGTATTTCATTTTCCGTTACCCACTGCTTTCAAATATGTGCGTATTTCAGTCACTTTACTCACCTAAGTATTATGTCATTGAGCAAGTTTACTAAGCAGGTATGTTCTGCCTTATGTCATACCTAATCAAAACCATCTTAAATATAATGGAAATGATTTCATAAAAAATCACTCATCCTATACTGACTATACAACACTTGTCCTATACTAACAGTGCAACTTGATAGCAATCAATGTCTTTTTCATTATGCAAGCGAATTTTATAAATATATTCCGTACGCATTGTTTTTGCGTATCTACCTTTTTAAATGCATAATTGGTATGCAACAATTATTTTTCAATGCGTAATTCTATGCGTATTTTACCCGATACGCAGCTTATCTGGGCCTCTGCAGGGCTCCAGATAATTTTTCAACATCAGGAGTATGTACTCTTCATTTTCTCAATATAGGAGTACTGGAAAACCTTAAGTGTACATTTAGAGTACTGAATGGAATTTAATGGAGTATCAGTAATCTTGTGTTTCGTTACATATATGCACCACAACATTGCTGCTCTTGTGTAAACAGGTCAATAAACAATAAAGCAAGACCTTTTCAGATAAATACGTCTGTAAATGATTCTAAGACCGCGCACCATTGCTGTGGTGCGTATCTGCTACGTTTTCTAAATCATTTCCTACCGTACCGTGCATATTTTTTATCCGTACATACGCCCCTTATCTGGAGCCCTGCCTCTGCATGTATTAATGGGGAAGGAGAACATAGTGCACTCAAACCAGTGATGTGTCTACGATGCACTGATGCATGCAGCCATAACAGACGAACACAACACGATATACTATTTCATTAGGCTATCATTTAACTACACAAGGTCTTGATAGAAACACTCAAACACAGATTTGACAAAAGAAGACCAACTGTCCAGAAATTAAAATCAGGGAAAGACCTGTTGTCATGGATGCAGAGAGCACCATTAATTGTTGGAAGGCATTGCATTCCAGAACGACAAGTCCATCTACTGGCACAGACGGCTCAGTCAGCTACGGTGCCACAGTGCAACCCTTCATTATGCCAGGAACATCTGGGCTTTGTATCTTGGACTTTAAACATTCTATTTTGAGACTGTATTCAATTCAACAACATAAGACAAAGCACTAGAAACTCTTCCTTTTGACTGTTCCAGTTTTCAGTAAAATAAAATTTATGTCCACAAACTAGTAAAATTAATTATTGTTTACATATATCAGCATGAGTTAGGTGCTTTTCAATTCTAGTTAAGGATTTTTAACGGCATTTGTGGCAAGTAAATCCCGGCAACACCATGCCTATGTTTGTGGGTTTCAACAGAGACCTGCATCACAGACTGAATAAAGGAGTGAATTTAGTTTTACGCGCCGTACTCAGCAATATTCCAGCTATATGGCGGCGTTCTGTAAATAATCAAGTCTGGACCTGACAATCCAGTGATCAACAGCATGAGCATCGATCTGCGCTATTGGGAACCTATAGCATGTGTCAACCAAGCCAGTGGGCCTGACCACTTGATCCCGTTAGTGGCCTCTTACGACAAGCATGGGTTCCTGAAGATTCATTCTAACCCGGACCTTCACGGGACACTGAATAAAGGGGGGAAAGTGATGCAGCTTACAGACGTTTACTAGTTTGGTGAACGGGTTTACTGCTGACACTCCCAGGATAATAATCAAAGTTACTCTGCAGATCCTGGCAGCAAAGGTACTGAACTCTGTACAGCATGATTATAAAGAACAGGGTATGTTAGTAGATGAACGCATGCAAACACAGCACGAAAACAAAGAGAAATAAACAAATGCTTGGTAGTCTATCAGAATTCAGGAATCACATGCAAAGACTTTTATTAAGGTCTTCTAGACACACTGACTTTTCTACCCATCATGCACCAGGCCAAGAAACCAATATTACCCTTCACCAGACTTCCTGCTACCCCAGCTAGGATGGTGGACTGGGCGCCCCTCACACCTGGGGTTACACTGGACGCCTTCCCCGCCACACCACCTGGTGGCGCGTTCAGGTTGATAACACCTAGAGGAGAAATGTGCCTTGAGTCCACAGTGAGAATGAGGAACCTTTGACGCACTGTCCCCAACAGGTGAGCTGGCACCCGTGCCGCCACAACCAACTAGCACCATCACTGGAACTACCATGGAAACACTCAGACAATGGGAAGGTGGGATGATATGGAAATGAAGCAGTTTCATGCAGACAATATATGGGGAATATGGGTGTTGGAGATCAGGTGAAAACAATGGATGGGGAATATGGGTGTTGGAGATCAGGTGAAAACAATGGATGGGGAATATGGGTGTCAGAGATCAGGTTAAAACAATGGATGGGGAATATGGGTGTCGGAGATCAGGTGAAAACAATGGATGGGGAATATGGGTGTTGGAGATCAGGTGAAAACAATGGATGGGGAATATGGGTGTCAGAGATCAGGTTAAAACAATGGATGGGGAATATGGGTGTCGGAGATCAGGTGAAAACAATGGATGGGGAATATGGGTGTTGGAGATCAGGTGAAAACAATGGATGGGAATATGGGTGTGGAGATCAAAACAATGGATGGGAGATCAGGTGAAAACAATGGATGGAATATGGGTGGAGATCAGGTTAAAACAATGGATGGGAATATGGGTGGAGATCAGGTGAAAACAATGGATGGGAATATGGGTGTCGGAGATCAGGTTAAAACAATGGATGGGGAATATGGGTGTCGGAGATCAGGTGAAAACAATGGATGGGAATATGGGTGTTGGAGATCAGGTGAAAACAATGGATGGGAATATGGGTGTATGGAGATCAGGTTGAAAACAATGGATGGGGAATATGGGTGTCGGAGATCAGGTGAAAACAATGGATGGGGAATATGGGTGTCGGAGATCAGGTGAAAACAATGGATGGGAATATGGGTGTTGGAGATCAGGAAAACAATGGATGGGAATATGGGTGTCGGGAGATCAGGTGAAAACAATGGGGAAATATGGGTGTCGGAGATCAGGTGAAAACAATGGATGGGAATATGGGTGTATGAGATCAGGTGAAAACAATGGATGGGAATATGGGTGTCGGAGATCAGGTTAAAACAATGCATGGGAATATGGGTGTGGAGATCAGGTGAAAACAATGGATGGGGAATATGGGTGTTGGAGATCAGGTGAAAACAATGGATGGGGAATATGGGTGTTGGAGATCAGGTGAAAATATTGGATGGGGAATATGGGTGTTGGAGATCAGGTGAAAACATTGGATGGGGAATATGGGTGTCAGAGATCAGGTGAAAACAATGGATGGGGAATATGGGTGTTGGATAGTATGGTCAATAACTGGGCAGAAATTAGGAGATACTGGAGTAACTTGTCATCACTGTAACCAATACAAAACCACTGGCTTCATACCTTTTGCCAACAGAAACACAACCGGTAAGATATTATTTTAAAAAAATAAATAAAAAAGAATAGCCCAATTGAAAGTCAACTATCCCTTGCTGTTCTGTATAATAACTGAAGGAAGCAAATGCTCTCATCGATAGCATCCATTTACTAGTCTGGTTCCTTGGGCATGCAACGCTGGTGCTACTCCGGCGAGGACTGAACAATGGCGGCCTCTGATAGCCAAACAAACATGGCAGCAGCCAGTCATATAGTTACTATAGAAAATCCCAAGAACGGGTGGTGAGAATTTTGTTTTAGCATTTTTATCAATACTATAGCAAAGATTACATAATAAGAATAATGACCATTGTTACTTTCAGTGATAGAAAACATTGCTTAAACAGTTTTGAGACATGAAAGTTGTCATCAAACAGGCAAAATGTAAACAATGAGACACCATATTTTCAACAGAGATATGTACATAAATATTGTGTCAGCCCACTTGTCAAGAAAACATAGTCAGCCCACTCAGGTGTAAGTACTCCTTAGTGTCAAGAAAACATAGACATGAAATACAGTAATGTCTGTCAAATAATCTTATGTAAAAGTCAATAAACAGCAGACAATCCAGTGATCAACAGACCATGAGTATCGATCTACGTTTTCTAAATCATTTCCTACCGGATCGCGTTATACCGATGACCATATAATCAAGTCTTGAGCAGTGATCAACAGCATGAGTCAGCGAGTTACGATGACCTGACCAGCGAGCCTGACCACCTGATCCCGTTAGTCGCCCCTCACAACAACCATGGGTTACTGAAGCCCAGCTCTAATCTGGATCTTCATGGGTCAGAACTCTCAGTACAATAAATAGAAAAATAGTGCTTCCTAATTATGTCCACAAGAAAAGCCATTCATTTTATCATCACATTAAGAAATTAATCATAAATGTCAGAGTTTGAGAGAAATTATTAATTCAAACATGTGCTCTTTGCGAGATATTCATATCTGTTATATTTTCTCACGGAATGATCATGAGTAAGACCATCAATGATCATGAGTAAGATCATCAATTGCCCCAAAAACATAACAGCAGTCATGGCGTGGCACTTCATTATGAGGGTTTAGAGACGTTTATTACAAATCACACCACTGGCATATTACCTACTGGATAATCAGTATTCCATGAAATTCTCCCAGATATTATTGCCGTGTTTGTGACATGTGTTCGTCACGCTTGTCCTGAAAGAGCCCACTGATGTTGAGGACATCAGAAACGGGGACACAAACACTCGGAAGGGATTAAGTTTCCTTCAGTCATGTTTGGTAAAAACAAAAACAGTAAAAGTTAACAATGTTTCTATAATCTAGAAAAATACACATGATAACTGTAGTTAAATATCAAAAGGAAATTAGGGAGGGGGGAGTAAAATTATTATGATACACATTATTTTCAAAATTTAATATATTCAGTAATGGTACTTGTTAGTTTTAAAATCACATCTGCACAAGTACAAAAAAAATTCTCCAGAATTCACAACTAACTCCCTGATTGTGTGTTGAACTATGTATAGAAGCACTGTTGTGGTGTATAACATAGTAAAACATACAGATTCCAATGCAGCATTCAACCTAAATAATTAACTATTAACTAGCTGAATAATTACTGATATCAAATCATATTATTCATGACTTGTATTGGATATCTCTTCATTGCTCTGAATGATGTTAGTATATAGCCAGCATATACTCTGATACGGGCTTCAAGCCATAAAAACTATAGTATTCATGATGGATTCAAGCCAGTAAAAAGCTATAGAATTCCCACATGGTAAAACCAAACTCAGTCAGTCAGTCAGTCACTGCTAAAATCACTCTTAATTCAACAGCTGACTCAAGCTTTCATTCTCAAATATACTTTTTTTTGGTGCATTTTGATTTGAAATTTTATCCCCATGATTATACTGGGTTTTTTTACAAGCTAAATGTAAGCTAATGATGTGTCTAATTCATTGTATTGAGCAGTTGTCTATATTTTTTTAACATAAAAAGTTTCATCTGACATGTATAATAACCTCTAAAACATTTCAACAATACTGGTATGCACTTGTTCATTGTTTTGCATACCGATTGCGACATCTGATGGCTATTGCATGATCCTGTGAAAATATGCCCACAAATGTATCTGTGGACTTGCACAAGTCTCTGAGGCAATATATAATAGTTTAGTGATAATTTCTAAAAATATGAGTGAGGGAGTGAGTTTAGTTTTACCCCGCTTTTAGCAATATTCCAGCGGGGGACACCAGAAATGGGCATCTAAAAATATGAATAAAAAGAACATATTGTCCCTCCAACAGACTGGCATCCTTAGATGCACTGTCCGTTTATCTAGACTTTCCTCCTTAAAGGATAGAATTCACTATACATGCATAGGCTTCGCTCTCTGTACCGCAGCAAGGCTAATATATCTGTTGCAAATATTTCCTCTAAACCTCCCATTTGACTATAGATACAGGACAGAAATTGGCGACATTTGTTTCTTCAAAACTTTAAAATACAGATACTAACAAAATTAATTAATATGGCCATTCAGTTCTATGTATTGTGTGTATGACTACGTGACTCAAAATACCAACACACATTTTGCTTTTGAAAATGGTGTAAGTGTCATTGTTTACATTTCGCCTGTCTCTCAAAACTTCTTAAATAATGTTTTCCTTCACTAAAAGAAATAAAAGTTGTTATTCTCTTCACATAAACTTTGCTACAGTACTGAAGAAAATGCTGTGAAAAAATACAAATGACCCGTTCTTGGGTTGTCTTTAGAAAACAAATGGCAAGTCATGATGCCACTGTGCAGCCATTGCTTGAGGTCAGTGAGGCCCCAGCACAGCATACCAGGAACCAGATTTCCCCAGTGCTAATATCATGAGCAAAAAGCTGAGCAAAGTGATGGCAAGTGAGGTGCTGGGTTAAGATAAGCAAAGCAAAAATAATGAAGTGTGTACATCTATAAATACTAGAATAAGGCTGTGGTTGGGTCTATATTGTCGTGGCATGTCGTGAATATTTAGGTGTGGAATATTGAATATTCATGGGTTCATGTACATGGATCCAGGCTTGTTACTTGAAACATGGTACGTTGCCTGGGATTAGGGTTTGTGTACCAGGGTCGGAGCTTTGTGTGCTGGGATTGGGGTCGCAGGTGTGAGGTGAGGTGAGGTGAAATAGGGTTTATCGTCGTGCTTGAGAATATTTCGCTCATATGACTGACTGACTGACTGTGAGTTTGGTTTTACGCCGCTTTGAGCAATATTCCAGCAACATCCCGGCGGGGGACACCAGAAATGGGCTTCACTCATTGTACCCATGTGGGGATTCGAACCCGGGTCTTCGTCGCGACGAGCCAACGCTTTAACCACTAGACTACCCCACCGCCCCCCCGCTCATATGACGACGTGCATGCGTGTGTATGTGTATGTGCCGCTGCTTGTACTAGCCCAGACTGAAGCTGGTTTTATAGTGCTAGCCCACTGAGATACCATGCCGCAGTGAAGCATGAATACCCCACTCAGACACATTATACTGACTCCGAGCCGACCAGTCCTTGTTGTACCCATTAATGCCGAGTGCTAGGCAGGGACCAACAAGTACCATATTTTAACGTCTTTTGGTATGACGCGGTTGGGGATCGAACCCGCGACCTTCCGCTCTCCGGGTGGACGCTCTAACCACTACACCACAGAGGCGGTTGGGTTGTAGGTGTACTGGGAATGGGGGTTTGTGTACTATGATTGGAGGTTTATATACTGGGAATGGGGGTTTGTGTACTATGATTGGGGGTTTATGTAGTGGGATCAAGGGTTTGTGTACTATGATTGGGGGTTTATGTAGTGGGATCAAGGGTTTGTGTACTATGATTTGGGGTTTATGTACTGGGATCAAGGGTTTGTGTACTACGATTGGGGGTTTATGTACTGGGATCAAGGGTTTGTGTTCTATGATTGGGGGTTTATGTACTGGGAATGGGGTTTGTGTACCCAAATTGGGGGGTTGTGTACTAAGATTCATGGTTTGTGTAACGGGATCAGGGTTTGTGTAGTAGGATTCAGGGTTTGTGTACTGTAATCCTGGCACGAGTATCAGATAAGAGTTTGTGTACGAAGATCTGGCTAAATTACTGGCTGTGTACATACTGCTGTAAAACTTACCATTGGTGATGGTTAGGCTGATGGTTCCAGGAGGAAAAGGTGACATCTGATTGGATACAATTGGAGGCGTCTGATTGGTCAATACAGATGATGTCTGATTGGTCAGGACCTGAGATGGTGGACCAGAAATATTTGCTGCAGATTCCTGAACAACTGATGGTGGTGTACTGAGCTTGATCTTCTTGGCAGGAGGTTGACTGGATTCTTTTGTTAAAGTAGGCATTGGCGTTGGTATTGTAGCCATTGTTGTTGGTAAGCTGGGAACTGGAGTTGGTAAAGTTGGCATTGGTGTGATTGTTGGTGTGGTTGGAATTGATGATGCTGTGGTTGCTGGTGTTGATGTGGATGTTGCAGCTGGCGTTACAGGGGCCTGCCCTGGCTGACCACTTGGTGGCTGGGAGTTCATTCTTCATACAGGCAGTCTGTAACAGATGAACAGACGACAATTGTCTTAAGCAGATTAACAGATTACTACAACCTGTAACAGATCCCTATAAGTCTGTGTGTCAGTGTTAAGTAGGAATACGAGGGGACCAAGCTTTCACTTCAACCCAAACAAAACCTTGACACAAAGTTTGACACTACCATGTTTGACTGTATTTATTGGATACATATTTCCTCAAACAAAATCATATATATTTAACACAAAGCAGATTATCTCCCATAGTGATCATCTTCTGGAACAAATCCTGGAGAAACTTAACCACTGATTTCTAAGCTCACCTTAACGAATCAAAATATTTGTAGAATCATACAAGATAACATTTTATAATTCCAAGATGATACCACAAGGGTCCTTAATCCATATTCAAAATACACTACACAAAATAAGTTTAAGAACATAAAGAATTTTCGTGATTTCATGTTCTTTTATTCATTGTTTATTCTTTCTAAGAATAAAAGAAATCCAGAAAATTTGTTATGTTCATCAAATAGCATCTTCTAAAATGCCAATGAAGCATCTAAGTTAAAGAACACTCACTAGTAACAGGTGAAGTAGTTAAGTCATTGGTTTGGGCTTATTAAACTGCATCTGGATTTTACAGTATTTTCTCTTCTCATGAAAGTTATTAAACTGCATCAGGATTTTACAGTATTTTCTCTTCTCATGAAAGAGGACCCTGATAAAATTTAACAGTATTTCAGATTTAATATTTCTTATAATTGACATTGAAATTATTAACAAACATAAGGATCAAAATATGGATCAGTGGCGAAATTTGTCGTAATTACAGTAAGCTAGGCTGCAATAACTCCACTATAAGTCGAATATGATACATGTCAGAAATAGGGAGTAATTAATACAATATGATACATGTCAGAAATAGGGAGTAATTAATACAATATGATGCATGTCAGAAATAGGGAGTAATAATACAATATGATGCATGTCAGAAATAGGGAGAAATAGGAGTAATTAATACAATATGATGCATGTCAGAAATAGGGAGTAATAATACAATATGATGCATGTCAGAAATAGGGAGTAATTAATACAATATGATACATGTCAGAAATAGGGAGTAATTAATACAATATGATGCATGTCAGAAATAGGGAGTAATTAATACAATATGATACATGTCAGAAATAGGGAGTAATTAATACAATATGATGCATGTCAGAAATAGGGAGTAATTAATACAATATGATGTACTATTAGGAGTAATTATATATGATGCATTATAGTCAGTGAAACAATAACAGAATATATTGTTTGACATGTTTTGAACATGACAACAGTGTTGACATATCACAATGACCAGTGACCACATCACTGTCAAATTAACCATGTGGGAGTCATGACTAATGTCTGCCTGCCTTGGATGTCTTCCATTGTGCATACATTGTTTTGATAAATAACACTCAAATTCCAGTAAAAAATATATGCTTATAAAAATCCATGAATATTCAATTCTACTGATCGCGAATAATGAATTAAATTCATAAAGGAATACAGTTGAATTCACCAAGCATGCAACTGAATCGTAGCAGCCCTACAATAAACTACATTCATAATGAACATACCTACAACAAAATGATGGATATGACGAACTGGGTTGTTGTTTTTACAAACCATTTGTTCTATTTTAATATATAACTTATGAAATTTGTATAACAAACCAAAATTAATGGTCCCTAAGATTTTTTTAAAACAGTAGCTTCATTTATTCAAGATACATGCTGTTTGTCGGTATTGTGAAATATCTGCAGTTTTTATGCAAATTCTGTGTAAAACTCTGAATATTCATGGGCCATCTGTATATGAAAGCATAAATTGAATTTCTGTTTTGCCAAATATCAATGATAATCATCTTTGTTGGGAGCTCCATCAGATAAATGCTGCCATTACCGCAACACCTGTGACATTCACCTTGACAGTCATGACAGCATATGGTCTGCATTTGTTACAAGTCTCACAATTGTAAACAATGGAACAGCAGGGGATGCTATTATACAAACAAAACATTCAAACACAACTGAAAAACACAAGAAAGGACTCTTCTCTTTAAGAGAATATTATCACGACTATTCCACTATGAAATTACAACAGCTATCTTTACACCCCTCAATTACTGCTACATGGATCAGTCCTACATCTAGGCTGAATGTGTGGCTGGGTTACTGCCTGGGTGCATTACGTAGACAATTAGCTATCTCTTATAGACAAATCAGGCGAGCACATTTGATCTAACTCTATTTCATTAATACTTGTCATGGAATCGACCGCAATGTCATTAAAGGGACTGTCCCCACTCTCCTTCACAACTTAACAAAAATAATTGGGTGTGGTATTGGACTATTAGGTGTGGTATTTTGTTTTGGTTGTTGTTTAATGACGCACTCAGCAATTTTCCAGCTATATGGCGGTGGTCTGTAAATAACAGAGTCGGGACCAGACAATCCAGAGATCAACAGCATGAGCATGGACCTACACAATTGAGATACAATGACGTGTCAACCAAGTCAGCGACCATGACCACCTGGTCCTGTAAGTCGCCTCTTACGACAAGCATGCGTTGCTGACGAATTCAAACCCGGATCTTCATGGGTTGGTATTTCGTCCTGTAGAGAACGGACTGTGATTGGTAGAGAAAGTTTGGGGAATTGACAATGTGAGGCATTCACCATGAGGGATATTGACCAAGATGGGTGTTGACCATGAGGGGTGTTGACCATTAGGTATATTGACCATGAGGGGTATTGACCAAGATGGGTGTTGGACTAGTGGTGTTCCAGTTAATTGAAATAATCGAAGATTGGTCGCAGTGACCATACGATCAAGCAATCGATTACATTTTCTCATTATCGAACTCAAACGATTTTGGAACTACTGTTTTAGTGTTTGAAATACTTGACGATGGAACATATCTTAGAAGTTGTCAGCGCCTGAAAACGTGTTTAATTCTTGGAAAACTCACTTAACTTGCTGAAAATTCGTGACTGAATATTTCTTGAAGACACTGGAAACTTTATGTTCTGAACTTCATGATATAATAGTCATCACTTTAAAGTAGCACGTCGCATCATTTTACACATGCTGTGAAATTTCATCAATGCAATTTGTGCTGTTTCTAAATAAAACAAAAACAACAACAGAGAACCACAAGTATTTTTCTTTATACATATCTGCAATAACAGCTTAACCTGAAAAGGAAAATCTTAAAAATTATGCTGACCAATTTTTTTCGATGATTGTTCGTTGGTAATGAACCAATCATCAATTGTAAGATTTCAACCAATTCCCAACACTAGTGCTGACCATTATGGGGTACTGACTGTGATGTGTATTGGCCATTCAGGGTATAGTCTGTGAGTGGTTCTGACATTGAGGGATATTGACCAAGAGGAAGAAATGCATGTACGTGGAAATGTCCAGATCCCTGTTTTCTCAAAGGGAATCCAGCATAGAATACCCTGTGGATTGTCTGGTCCAGAATTAATTGGGAATCGAATATTGCAACAACCAAAACAAAGAACAATACAGCACTATAATGATGCCAATGCCAATCACTGGATTGTCTGGTGAATTAATTGTTTACAGACTAGAATAGTGCAACAAACAAAAACAAAGAATATTTCGTCATTGCACTATAATTGACAATACTCGTGATGCCAAACACTGGATTGTCTGGTCCAGAATTAATTGCTTACAGATTACTCGAATATTGCAACAAACAAAACTAAAGGATATTTCGTCACTATACAGCACTATAAATGAAATAAATTGGTTCACTTGATAGTCTGAATTTGTTTGACACAGACCAGGTGTGTGAAGAAGAGGTCTTGCTAGCTAACCTGCCCGTTTGCACTCACTGTTTTTCCTTATCTTATCTGCATTTATTAACATGATTAAGGTTGAAAAGTCTACTTTACTTCACTGAAGGTAAACATCCAGATAATAAACTTTGTCAAATGAAAAGATCGTAATTGCACGTAACAGTACCTGCAGTCACATGACTTGCTTTTGGTTTTAAAATTAATTTATGATCATTCAATGTTTAATCGTGTATGTCACAACCAAAATCACAGTGGGGATTCTTTCTCAGTAACCTTGTAAATAAATATTCCATATTTCACTGCACCGTGAATGTATCAGTTAGCAGACCTAACAATAGAACTATCTTGAAGCCATGACCAGCAACATGACTTGTGAAATGTTTCATCCTCTTTATGCTTGAATGTACTGTTCCCCTAAATCCATTTCAATGAAATAAGTGTGAGCTCTTTATAGATGCTGACCAGCAACATGACTTGTGAAATGTTTCATCCTCTTTATGCTTGAATGTACTGTTCCCCTAAATCCATTTCAATGAAATAAGTGTGAGCTCTTTAAAGATACTTCGAACAGCATTTCAGTTACATCACAGGCTCAATGTGTTAGCTTTTCATAGAGGAAATCAAGACCTATCTTGAAGGCTTATATTCACCCCAACTGTGCAACAAATATCCAAAATGGGAGTTACAAGTTTCCCAGTTGATGTTGATATTTTTTACTGCATGGAATGCAGATGTTAAAATAACATGGAATATTTTACTTTTTCTAAATCCCAGCAAAATAAACACGTTTAGCCTGAAATTTGAATCAAACGGAAGTCATTTTCAACATGGTCGAGAGTGTCACCTTGAAATAACAGAACTGTTGTCCTCCACAACACCAAGGTCAACAGCATGTTTGTCCTCGGTAGAACTGTTTGGTGAGGTTTCGTTCTGGGTGTGGGGGCGATGGGGTAGTCTAGTGGTTAAAGCATTGGCTCATCATGCCGAAGACCCGGGTTCGAATCCCCACATGGGTACTATGTGTGAAGCCCATTTCTGGTGTCCCCCGCCGTGATGTTGCTGGAATATTGCTAAAAGCGGCGTAAAACCAAACTCAGTCAGTCAGTCAGTCTTTCTGGGTGTTCAACACCTTCACTTATCC